GAGGGCGTTATGGCACTTGGTACTTTGTTTGTGTGCCGTAAACTTTCGAAATAAGCCTAATACGTCAACATGTTAAAATACAGTAGTAGCCCGCATAAAAGAACCTAGGTTTTTTTCTGGCAGCCTGAGAATAGGTTATGTTTTCCACCGCAAGAATTCTAATGGTCACACTTAAACCAGCTTTGTTTTTTTCATGTTAAATTTTAGCCAATAAAATGAATTTGTGTTGTTAGGTTGTACAATTAGAATGCAACATAGCTACCATAACCTGATTTACTCTAAGCTGGTTTAATTTGACAGTGTGAATAGGTTGTAAAAAAACAATTCTTAAAACCCTTTTTCTTATAAATAAGAACCTCTCCAGGTTTCAGCCTCTTGGGGGTTCTTAATTATAGGGTTGAAAAGATTAAATTTAAGCCTCAAGGTTCTTATAAAAACAGGTTCTTTTATGCGGGTTTCTACTGTACATGATTTGTCAACGTTTGATAGGCTATACACAGGGCCGCAGAGAGGATTTATGGGCTCCGGGTCAGAACAAAATATAAATAGTAAAACATGCCTAAGGCAGATGCTTCTAAGGGGTACGGGAAATGCTCCCCCTGGAATTTTTGAAATTGACGATTGTATAAATTGCTATTGGTGGCTAACTTGCTTTGGTGGCAGTGGCGTAGATAGAGGGGGTCAGATGGGGCAAAAAACCCCTGTAGAGCTAAACTGCTATATTATCGGAAAACCTCTGGTCTTGTCGGAAATTTAACATGGTTGTCCATGTTTATCTAACTGCTATGTTTTTATGGTAAAGAATTTAAAGCCAAATAAACATAAGAATATCTTAATATATCAGAAGATTGATTTATTCCAGTTTCGAAGTCGTTATGTTATGTTAATATTTATGAAAAATATAAATGCTTGTTAAATTTTTGTCGGAAAATCATAGTTTCTCACTCTCCTACGAATTTTCCTATCTAAGCCATTGTCTGGTGGCTATTTATTACTTCTGTTTGCTGTTTGATATAATTTGAGCAAAACTGATATCTTAACACCATAATGCATAAAAATGAAATTTTCTTAGAAATTTTGAAAGTCTTATAAAGTGGAAAATGTTTAATTCGTTAACTAAATTTGATCACAACCGACACACTGTTGCAAATAGATGCGCATGCCATAGTGTAAATCTGTATGACATACATATTGCTGTATGTTGCCCTGTTGCAATCACATTTTTTGGTTACATCCAGAAGCTTTTCGAACGCAAAGATGAAAAATTCTCAACAAAAATATATTTAACATCCAGGCAGTCAAAGACTCAAACTGCTTCTACCTTACTTCATTCATAAACTTTTGTCACTATTGTCTCTACTAATGACAATGTGTGGTAATGGAGAGGTTGGATTATCACTTAGAAATTTTTTTAATTGAATTGTTTTTTATGGGCCCCTATAGCCAAGGGCCCGTGGGTCAGTGACCCCCCTGACCCCCCTCTCCTCAGCACTTGTTATACAAATTCGATGCAATGTTGCCATACATATTCGATGAAAAATTAAAAATCTAAGATGCACGAGTATTTACACCATTTTTCGGCTGTCAGCATCGATCTGCAGAATACATCATTGCACGATAATTTGTACAAAACCCCCTAAATTCCACTACGAGGAGGGTTCGTTGGACGTATATCGGCTTACAATGCTCTTAGAGATATGTGAAAAAACCTATAAGAATGTTCTTAGTTCTAAATTTCATATAATACGAAGCCTTCATGTTCCTAACATTCCACAACATTAAGAAATAACCGTTTCCTTTAGTTTAATCATTCAGCAGGGTATCTGTTGAAAACCTGTAAGGTCATATAACTTAAAAAACAGAAATGTGTGTACATACGCAGCCTTTGACAACACTCAATTTTGAACCATACTTGTCTTATATATTTGATTGTCAAGAACACTGTTCGTTGCCTATAACTAGGATGAGCTCTTATGATCTTGAAATCGAGAAGAGTAAATTGTAGAGTTGTGTATATATAATATTTGATTAGTTGCCGCTTAATGCCATTGAATTGCAACTAGGCTGTGATTATTTACGACAAAGCTTTTTATATAAAATAAACATGATATTTTCAAATGTAAACTTTTTCAATAAAAACAACAAGTTTGTATGGATAATAACCCAATAAATTGTTTCTGAAAAAAGAACAGCTCTTGCAACAACAATCCCTATGACTTTTAGCTCCTTACTTTTTCAACTTTATGCTTTACAAATATGTTATTGATAGTTTGAAAAAAGGAAACAAATTGCTATCGTTTTTTTATGAACTTAAGTAGTATTGTTTGCCCATAGTTGGTTATGTTATAATTTTATTGAAGCCTTTTGTAATTAGAGCCTTATATAACACATGCTTAGTTGCATTGGGTTAGCTTTTGTTGACGTTTTAAGCTAGGGGCCATCTAGGCCTAGAAACTTTGTTTGAGGAATAATAGTTTTTTTCAAATGAATTAAGAAGACGAATAGCATTTCAGAAGAAATCAGACATCAATTATTGCTTTCTTTTGCCATTTATATTTGATTATATTCAATTCGGACAATGATTGCTTTTGTCATTCTCGGATAGTGTGTTTTTTTTAAAAGGTAGTTTTGCCTTAAACTTGAAACAGGTTTCTTTTTCTTTTAAAATATTTCTAAACTTCCTTTCGTTTTGTCAACCCCTAACCCCGCCCAAGAACTGCTGCTTATGGGGGATAGGTTTTCGACTCTACCTTTATTGAGGGCCTCCACCGCTCATTGATGACACAAGAGTAGTTTTTTATTGCAATAAGTTTTTTAATAAATTGCCAGATAGATTATGTAATCAATTATAGAGCCAATGTTTTACACCGAAGGGTAAAAAAGTTGGTATTCGAAACAGTTTGTTGGTAAAATTGTACTGTGTTTCTTCAAATCAAATTTGGCCCAAATTATGCGTTTTTTGTGCTCATCAAGAAAGGCTACTACATTTTTCTCATTCCATCAATGCATGTACATTTTAAACTTGCCTTTTCATGGTTAAGAACAGGTGGTGTGACGACTGCAAAAGCAAATAACCAAACAACGTTTGAAGGCAGGTTGAGCAATACCACTTGAAATTGAATATTTTGCTTCAATAATCACCAAAGTCGCATTGCAAAGGCTAACAATGCAACTATGTAACATGATACTGCTGACTTGAAAGCTTTCAAGATTGTATTTGCCACGGCTAAGGCTATATGGGCCAATTAATTTTAGCAAGAAGCACAAAAATGACTGCCATGATGGCCTAAACTTTTAAAGGTCACGTGGGTTTTGGCGCCTAATCGCAAGAGGTTTAAATATTCCATCGAACGAAGGTGGGCTGTTTTGATTTGTTATCTGCAGTGGCAGTGAGGAAACTCTCGTGAAGTTGGATACCATTTTGATTGAAGTAGTAGTACCCATTGTTTGAGCGTTTGAACAATAGAACGATTATGGCTTTGAAAAAAGCAAACATTCAGTAAACTAAAGCTTTTCGTCTGACACTCTTCAGAGTTTAAAACGTCAGAACATAGACTCTACGCTAGGAAATATATATACCCAGTTGTGGATCGAAATAGGCCAATCAGAAACACGAGCACATGAATGTTGAGGTTGACCAATCAGTGCCGCTTGCCTATTGAGAATGTTACCAATGGAGTTCTAAGGTGAAAACGAACTCCTTTTGTCTACACAGTAGCGGTTTTTTCGTGCTTATGTAGATAGATTCCAAAACTGCTAGGTGGAACGATGATCGGGCTTTGCCAATAATCCGCAAAATGTCGCCATTATAGTTTTTTGCACAATCTGGGCTGCCCGATAGCAGAATCGCAGGTTTTTGTTGTAATTTTAGATTTGCAAGACCGAGGTAGCTGTTCTCTTTGGGGACGACTTTTGTTTCTAATACTAGGCGGAACATGTTGTTTTATTCTATCCTCCAATCTTTAGGTAGTGCGTCCTACGTAGCCAGAATCGCACTGGCACGTGAATTCATAAACAACAGAAATTTTTTGTGTGGCAGGAACGCAGTCCTTTTGAATGGACGGAAGGGCCTTTTTTGTACTATAAACAACACGTGGGTTGACTGCGAAGAAACAATTTGTTATGGCCTGTTTTATTTGGCTTTCAAAACGTAGGGAGCTGTTACCGATCCAGGGTAGTTTTAGATAGACCGGGCACTTTTGAGGACCAAATTTTACGTCAGCCGAGAAATTTCCTATTCTCTTCTTAATGTAAACTGAAATAACATCCAAAATAATAGTTCGATTAATCGATAATCCATTAATCAAAAATCGATTACTTTGTAACTTCGCCTCTGAAAAGGACAAACAAAACCTTAGAAAACGCAAACTATCTTAGTATTCTTATTTTCTCTTGGTATAATAGATATATTCGTAACTGTTACAAATTTTTAATGCTTGCATTCCATTAAACTTTGTTTTTATAATAAAACAAATATGAGCAGTTTGAGCTTTTATATTTCACATGCCTGAGTCAGTATAACTCAGCAACTTATTCTGTTGAAATGCAATCGAATCTGGAATGAAAATACAATTTCAGTGGTCAAAACGTAGAATAGAATAAAATTTCGTCATTGTCAAATTTTCCTCGTTTTTCGCTAAGCATTTAATTCTCTTACTTCTATATATGACTTTCTCAAACTGCAAATCGGTAAGTCGATGCAGTAAAATTCCATGAAACTTTGTTAGAGTTGCATAGGAACCCTTTAAAAATAACTTGTACTTTACCTTTTAATCTAGTACATCGCCCAAAAATAAAGGCCCAAAAATATCAAAAATCACAAACAAGTGATATGCCCAACAGATGATGGTGTTGAAGACCGGAGCACTATCTTCTGCTCTGCAATACTTACGATGTAAACTGACGTAGTCTTTTCGAAAATGTAAATGCGATATTGTCGCATCATGGCTTGGTAAATCTTTCAAGCAAAGAGTTGTTCAATGTTCTCCTTTATGGTCAGAAATAATTACCATTTGACTTCAATGCAAGAATTTTTACGGCAACACTGGAGTATATCCAGGCCTCCAAACAAAAAAACTATCACCTCTTCTTTTTAAGAAAGAAAAGAAGAAAAAGGTCGGAGGCTGTTCAAATTTTGTTTCATAAAACCGTAAGTAAAGTTAGTTTACTCGACTCAGCTACTTTTCAAGTCAGTTATCCTTAATTAAAACTGCATGTACTTAATGCCACAAATGTCGCCTATATGCTTGATAAAACGCTACAAGAGTCCCTGTCTTTGAAGGTCGTCATAAACCTTTTTGCTGACCACATTACCAGAAGAATCTTCAAATTCCTCCTCTTGATCAGGCTGCCAACGTTCGCGTGCTTTTGAGTCTTTGAGCTTGTCCCAAAGGGCCAGTGCATCCTCGATTAAAGTGACGTTGGCGAAATGAGCAGTGTTCGGTATCCCGAGGCAACGCATCCCATGTGCATGTCGCCATTCTGCGAAATGCCGCTGAAAGGCCTTGGGACCACGGTATTTAAAATTGCCACAGATTTCACAGTTGTAGTAGATATTTAAGCCATGCAGTTTATAGAGCCAGTATGGTATTGGCTTACCATCCCAACCTAAAAAGGCAGAATCCAATTAAGTTGCTTAGGTACTTATGAAACTTCACCTAGTATCGTATCTCTACTCAAAGGACGATACATTCATAACCAAACTGATACTGAACGTAAACGACTTTTACCACTGAAAATGTTCGGTCTATCAAAGTGTCATACTCTCGACGGACCTTTCATCGAACATTGTCATCCTTTCCTAGAACCAGTTACGTCAGGAAAACTCCATCGTATCTATATATACACTTTCATTTCAAAATTTTTGAACTAAACTAAAAACAGCTGCCCCGCTGTAACTTTTATGAATAAGGCCTGAATGATGCATTTTAACTTAAGGTAACCTGGTTTTAGATTTTGTGTCAAAAAGAAATCTTGAAATTATTACAGATAGTGTGTTGCGCTATTCATTAGCAACTGTTTAAATTAGAGAAGCGTGTCAAATTAGTACAACTGATCAATAGCAAGTAAGAGACCTCTTTTGTTACGAAATGAAAACTCACTGAGATAGAAATATCGATTCTTGTTTCGGTAAACCAAGTAATGGCGCGCCGTTCTGACTTTAACGGTGTCGTTTACCTTCGAGCGAATATCAAATGGAGCACTGATTATTGCCTCATTCAGTATTGATTTTAAAAAGCGAAGGTCTCTGAATTTCCTAAAAAGTTTCTTTCCATGAACGGATTAAAACCCTAAGCTACCGTTGGAGGGGGGAATGAAAACCCCACACACCCGGTCAGGACGTCCCTAACCCTAAGGAGGAAGGTAGCCCTCCAGCTTTTCTAAGACAACTTTTAATGTGGATTTAAATGAGGGGGTGGTAGGGGGGGGGGGGTGGTAGAGGCTTAGCATTCTACTTTTAATGGAATGAATAGAAAGTGACAACCATGGTAAAATGGAACCTTTCTGTTATACACCATAAGATCGCAATTACCTACCTTAAGGACTTTCCAATACATCCTTTAACTCCCAAACCTCTATTTCTGCATGAACTGTATAAATGTTTCCATAAATAAGGAAACACCTCCCCTTAATTAATATCTCAACTTACCCAGAGGAAGGTTTTTAGGATTGTAAAGCACTTGCTCTTCTTCATCATCAGACTCGTCATTTCCTGCACCCTCTGCGTCTTCATCTTCTTCAAGCTCATCAGATGTACGAGCCTGCTTTCTTTCCACGTTTTCACGTGTTGCCTGTCGCTCCTCACCCAATATCTCAACAAGTTTATAAGTCTAAAGAAAAACAAAATATGAAAACGTAGCAATTTGCTTCCACCAGAGCAACAGACACAATTACTACTGAAAAATTTCCGAGTATTAAGTCAACTTACAAGGTCGAATTCAACCATCACCCGCTGGAACAATGCAGGTTTGGTACTAGAAAATGACATAGGAGGCAAAGAAGTATGTTTTTGTGTGACTTGTGCTGACTGTTTTGAGGGAGGGGGGGGGAGGGGGGGTAGGAAATAAAAATAATCAGAAAAATACAAAAGATATTTGTTGTTTCAAGCAATTATGGCAGGCATCTTACCATTGCAAATCAATGCAAAGACTACTTCATTTTGACAAAAAGTGTTTATTTCAACTAAGCCTTATAATTTCATAAAACATATTCTATTGTGAGTCCACAGTTCTTTTCTTCATAACTGTGATCTCCTTAAAGCTAATATGACAAAGAATTGAGTACTTTGCCTACTTTCATGCACCACATCATCTTGGCAGGAGGCTTACTCGTGGTAAGATAATTCCTCCTCCTAATTGTATTTTTTATCAATCAATATCTTGCCAAAAATTCTATCAATGTACATCTTCGCAGAGTACTTCAAATTGAAATCTACAATTTTGTTTTGTCTAGTGTTCCAGATTTAATTCAATAAACATTCTTAATAACTAGCGAACATTTCAAAGGCAAAAGCAATATCTGAATAGATGCTACCTTAGAAAGAAAAATATGAGCAAGACCATTTGAAATATTTCATCCCAGTGTCTATAGTTCATTACTTAAACAATTACCTTGCTTAGGAGACAATACCAAATGGCAGTGCAGCATGGACATAAAATTATATATAAATTATGCAATTTTCAAATTTAAAAAATTATTTGCTACAAAAGCATTCATCAGAAAGATCAGAAAAATTCCAGAAAGTAGATTATATTCTTTTTCTTGCAATTGGTAAATCTAAATACATCCTGTTTTATTCACAAAGCAACATAATGTTTATTTTAAAATAAGTAAGGTTTTCTAATAAGTAAGTGAATATTCTAAATAAGTAAGGTAAGTATTCTAAATAGTAAGGTTAGCTTTATGTTTATTTTCAAACAAAAGTTTTCAAATTCTAATAAGACAAGTAGCAAAACAGAAAATTTAATAAGCTTTTAGATATCAAGCTTATAACATTTATATTAAAATGCACATTGGAAGAAAATTGAAATTCCTCTTTAAAAAGTTTGATATGGTTACTGTATATCTAAAAGCCATAGAAAACAACCCAAGTATTCAAAGCTGGAGGAATGAAAATGAAGTTGTTGGCATGGAGCAACTGAAGCTATTAAAATACATAAAGAAAACAGAAGACTTGCTTCCCTCAAGTTCTAAATTCATATTAAATTCATGTTTCAACTTTCTACATGCCATTCAGTTTTAAATTTCATAAAATAAACTGCAAATCAGTCCTGTTCTAAATATCAATACTAAAATAGAAAATAATATCTGGGCATAATGCTCTAACAACACAAAGCGAGTAAATGAGTTACCTGTGATTCAAGCATGGCAATCTCCTTTTGTTTTTGCACATAATCAGTAGCCTTGCCTTTTCTTTTTGACTTAGCAAACAATGATGGGTCCAATGATTCCAATGACTTTCCTTTAGTCAAAAATAGTCTTTGGGCTCTTTCTTCCAAAGTTCCTCCGCATTTTAAGCCCAATGCCTGTAATGCTGATTTAAGACGATCCAAGCCAAGTGACATAAGTTCTTCTGCAGATGAAAAAGCTGACAAATCCAAATGGGCACCTGTGTGTGTGAGGACACTGCTACTTTCTTTAGGCCAGCCAGGGAATGTTCCCTTTTCCCAGCTTTCTTCAAATTCATTAACAGCATCCTGCATTTCTTTCTCAATGTTCAGCAATGGTTTGGCTCTTGATATGTAGTCATATAAATAATCAAGTAGGGTTTCCAGGTATTTACGGTAATCTTGTGACTTTTTCTCTTTTGGAATATCAAACAGGTGGTCAAAGATTGCAAGAAATGTAAGGTAATCAATGGATTCTATTCCTTTCAGATTAAGGTAGAGAGTATAAACTTCGTGCAGATCAAGGTATTTGCCACAACCTTCTTCGTCTGTGAAATCTGGAAGTAGATCTTGGTCTTCTGCAGATTTCTCTCTCATGTCTTTTAATCTACCAAGAGAAAATCACCAGAAAAACTTTTTACAAACAATGTTTCGCTATAAATCATGATCATCCATAACAATGAAAATAACCATAACAATGAAAATGACCATAATGACTGCCGACTACTGTTTGAGATAATTTCTGTGCAATGGAAACATTATAATCAGAGTACTGATTGCTTAGTGACAATATGATGGCTAAACAGGTTTAGATTTTCTACCTGATTTATTTAGGTTTAAAAAAGATGAAAGGCATTTCTGTAAAATCCAATCAGGAGTAATTAAAGAAAATTTCCATGCATAGAAAATACATTTTCAATGGATTTGCATCTCCTTGCTTTATGCATTTCTTTTATTGTTATTTGATTTCAAAGTATTATCGGCAAACTTTCAAATTTTTGATTAAACTAGAGCACCTATGGGCTCCAAGAAGACTTTTACAGAATTGTGGACAAACTGGATCAATGTAGTAAAACTTGTGCAATAAAAACATGCTTTAACCCTTTCCTTGCCGAATTCCCCTGCGAAAAAGTCCTCAAACGCCTATTTTCTGAGGCTTTAAACAGAATTCCGAGCAAACTTTTTCAAATTGATTTTTGATTAAGAAGGAGTTGATATGTTGTATAGACACCCCTATATTAACAGAAAGAAAAATTCCCAAGGAATCCAAAAATGCAACTTTCATCTCATTTCTAGAAAACAGTAAAAAAATACATCTGTATAAAAAATATATTAGTGAATTAATGTTAAAATAGGATATTAGTCACACTTATTATAGCCAAAATTGAACTTTGGTGTGATAGTTAATAAAACAGTTATTTTCCTTTGTTATGCAGAGGTATACAGTGTCCTGTGGCTCACAACCTGCACAGCAAAAAGTTGTTTTCGATAAACTGAATGGGCAGTTTTTTGGATCGGCATCTGGGTTCTGCTTTATCCAATTCTGCCTTTTTCTCTTGCAGACAAGACATCTGTGGTCTTTGCCTTGGCCTTTTTTTGGCAGATGAGCCCCAACATTCTGTAGCCTTTTATCTTCCTCTGTCCTCTTTCTTTTTCTTCCTTTCCCCTTTGCACGGACATTGCCAACCAATTGTATGGCAAGTTCTTCTTTGAAGGAGAGAAGGTCTCGCTTGGCCTTACCCTGAACAACGTGAGGCTTGACATGCCCTTCAATTATATAAGAATTATTTATGCATTTCATGAAAAAGGATATAAATATTCTCATATAATACGTCTTCTGTTTCTTATCCTTTTTCACAACAGATTGTTGGTCACTTTTGTCCACACCAGCCATATTTGTGTTGTAATCACTGACAAGAATTGGACATGCAATTTGAACCTTTTCGTATTTGCCGTTCTTCTTTAAGTTTCTTGTCACTGGTTTTCCAAGTGTGGCATCATGAATGGAACTCAGGAAATAGACAGGCTTAGAATCTTTCCACATTAGAGCAGTTAGGCCTTTGAAAAATGCAAAATTGAATTCTCCCCTAGCCATCGATTTTGCATTTCTGGAGAGAATATCAATAGGAAAATACCTGCGATTTGACCTCATTGTCCCGCATGTATAAATTCCCTGGCTCTTCAGGAATAAAACAAGGGGCACACTGGTATAAAAATTGTCAAGGTATAAATGATGTCCTTGGTGGGTTAAATTTTTAACCAAATCGATCACAACACGATCAGTTTTGCCAAGGTCTCCAACATCATCTTCTTGGTCTGTTACCTTTCCAGTATAAATTTGGAAATTCCAGCAGTAACCTGTTTGCGAGTCTGCTACAACAAACACTTTTATTCCAACTTTCACCGGTTTTTGCGGCATTCTCTGGGTCCAAGCAATGTGCCCTTTGAATGGGATCATGCTTTCATCTACTGACATTTCTCTCCCCAGAACATACATCTCTCGAAACTTCTTTTGCAAATGGTCAATAACTGGCCTAACCTTGTACAAACGGTCGTTTGTTGCGGGAATATTTGGATCGCAAAAATGGATAAATCTTTGGATTTCTCTAAATCTGTTCTTTGAAAAGACCTTGCAAATATTTGTATGAAAGATCCATTTATTTTCGTCTGCTATAAAGTATCTTTCATTTCTGGGTGTTGTTAGCAAACTGTTTGCAATTAGTACAACACCTAAATATGCTTTGACTTCATCCAAGGTTGTAGTCCAGCGTTCTCCTTCGGTTGCACCCAATTTTTTTTCTGCGTTCATAATGGTCCAGTCTACAACTCTTTGCAGTAGTTCATCTGATAAAAATAATTGTAAATATTCGATTGGCTTTGCATCCAACGAAAGATTTGCTACTTCTGCAGGTTTCGGCCTTTCATCTACAGTTTCAGCATCAGCTGATTGTCTTCGCACATTTCCTCCCAACGCCCATTTGACCTCCGGCATTTCGAAACGAAATCCCTCAAACTCCTCTTCTTCATCATCCGAATCTCCAAAAACATTGTAGAATTCATCGATAAATTCGCTACTAAAATCTCCGATATCGGCAGCAGAGGAATCGCTACTTTCAGAATCACTATCACTCAATGCACTACAGTCGTTCGTCGCCATGCTTCCTTCGCTCAACAAACATGGCCTAACTCAAAACAAAGTTCAACGGTTGATATTTCAGAAATTTCATATAGAAACATGTGACAAAGAACACGTGTGCCTGTGGTTTCATCCTTTGTCTACAGGATTAAATGAATGAAAGGTATCTATAGCAACATCATTATTGAGAAAATCAAAGCCAAAGTTATGTAACTGAATTACGTCATCAATGCCGCTAAAGCGGCCAGTGGCGTTTACAGGGAAACAAGGCGAAGCCTCTAAAGCGGCTCGTGGCAAGGAAAGGGTTAAACAAATGTTTAGCAACTTATTTCAAAATTTTGTTGGGAAACAATTATTACTTGAAAAATTGTTTAAACTGTTTTCAAAGCAGCATCAGTTTTGACAGTTTTTCTACAAAACAACAAGATTTTTGAATCTCTCAATCATAATAATGATTAGCTGAAAATTTCCAGACCTGGGGAAGCTTTGAGCCATTTGATCAACCAAGTACTTGTCTTAGTTCCTTGTCCTAACTCTATGATTAAAAATAATGACCAAATCTTGTTTCCTTTTTAGGTCTCGTTTCAATTTTCAGCAGAATATATTTTATATCTATTTTCTTAAAAGTATAAGCAGCTTACTATTTGCAGAGTTACGCAAATATTTGCATCTTGAATAGACAAGTACATTCTTAAAAAAAGATAATGCTTGCTTGTAATTATCCAGTATGAATTCCATGGCAGCTGCACTCTGGAGGATTTTTCTTTAAATTATTAGGTTTACTCTTGCATGTGACAAGCATGGTTGGGTTTGCTTTTGGGTGTGGCTTAAAATTACTTCTTTTTTAAAGATCATAAAATGACTTTCTAAATTTGCTTGCTAAAGATTGGAAAAAGTTTGTCATTCGAAATTGAGTTTCCAAGGCCTAGGGCTAAATTGAAAGATATGGCCAAGCAAGCAATGGAAGCAGAAAATATTTGTGACCACACCTTTAAGTCTAGCTTAAAATATTCCAGAATAATCCTTGTTTTTGTTTTCTTTCAATCTTTTAAACCAATTTACCTTTTTGAGGCCCTCTAGACCTCGGGGTGTACCGGATCAGGATTTTCAGAATCCGGCCGGAACCGGATTTACTGGATTTCTTCATGGAATATCCGGCCGGATTTTATTGGATAATCTGGCCATTTATGGATTTTTCACTAATTAAAAGTTTTGAGCCACTTTGTGAAAAAATGTATAGCGAGATAATCAAAGAGACCCATTTGAGTTGCCAGATTGAATTTTTGACAAACGAACGCTAGACTGGTGAGCAGAGAACAAACAAAGGCTAGACTGGTGAACAATTTTAGCCAAAATGCTCATAAAAAGGTCAAATCAAAAACTTTCTCAAGAATCCATCGACCAGGCACTGGTTATATTTCTAAGCTTGTGCCTGTTAGATAATTTCTTAACTTAGATAAGAATCTTACTTTTTTCCAAAACCCTTTTCTAAAATCAAGATAATATTTAGGTTAGGTGATAAAATTTGAAATTTGGTTAACACTTTGTAGTTAACTACTAATTATTCCATGAATTTAGTAATTACTCATTAATTTTAGACGTTCTGCTGAAAAGGCCAACAAGGTCAAATTTAAGTAGCAAGCAAACAACAATTTTTCCAGGCAATCTAAATCTAAAAACCAAAAATGAAAAATTTGGCCTAAGAAGCCAATCTGGCAACCCTGGACCAAATTTGTGAAATATATCATCCAGTCTTCCTGCTTCGTGATGACAAGCACTTTCATTTCAACTCTCTTTTTAAGGTGCTTGTTTTATCGTTGATCTTGTTAAGTTCTGGAAAATCTGGCAACTCACCGGATTTTGGAAAAAATCCGGCCAGAGCCAGATTTTCAAAAAATCAGCGATCCAGTGCCGGATTATCCGGCCTTCCGGATATTCAATTTTCAATCATTGAATTTCCCTGTGAGGGAAAATTTATACCAACTGGATAGAGACCAAACAGAAAATTATGAACAAACTCAAGAATCACTAACAAATTTGGTAAATGCTAAAATGTGCACACTTGTCACAAGTGCACTCTTGCTCTCCTGGGTATTAGCTTGTGCATTTCCTGAGATCTCAAAAGCTCACGAAATGCAAATCAGATAATTATGCATCATAGATTGAGCTCTACTGTCTAGAATTGATGAGCAGGACCTGTAAACTACAACCTTTTTAAAAGTAAATTTAATCAACATCATTTGATACACTCAAAATGGATAAATAACATTAAATTATATATATATAATTGATACTTTCAGTGTTGAATGCCATTATCAAGGGATTTTGCTGGGCAAATTTGAAAAGCACCTCAAGGTGATAGATGTGCACATGGTCAAGATTTTGTGGAAGACGAATTTTCCAGTTTGATACAAATAGTTACTAGTCTTTTCCTATAACTTTTATTGCTTATATGTGTCCATTCCAATAATATAACATTGGCTGCGAGATACTAAACAGATTTTATAGGATGTCGTCCTATGAAGCAAGTTGCACAAGACCACATAACAGAGAACTGATATTACGCTGTTTTCATAGACTAAATTTCTTACTTTAGAAACTCCATCTGCATAGGCTCAGCAACCTCATTCGGGTATTTACGATGGTATTCCTTGATCAATCTCAATCGTCCATAAAATTCTGCAAATTCATTTGGACCTGCAATTGAGTTGATCTCCTCTTTTCTCAATCCATCTTTATCTTCATAAATATTTCCCAGTTTCTCTGATATATCACAATATCTATCTAGCAAAACACGACTTCTATGATCTGAGTTTATTTGCTCTTTTAATGTTTGCTTCTTCAATAATGATTCTTGGGTCATTGCATCAAGAATCCGTTCCCTTTCCTCGTGGTAGCGACGCTGTTGCTCAATAACAGTTTCCATTGCCGCTAAAATTTTAAACCTTTCTTGTTAAACTAAGAGCAAGTGACAAGGAATCCATCCACAATAGCTTCAGCAACGTTTTCGATCCGCAATGCGATATGAGCCATGTAGGAATGGCCTCGATACCATTAACCGTTACGAGTTCATTTGCAAATTGCGGTAACCTCACGGTGATTTAGGCTATGTGGCTTGGTATGGAAACAAAAGATGCTTTTGAAGGAGTAAATGATAGGGTATGATAGAGTAAATTAGTATAAGACAAACGATGGTTTCTGCAGTATCAGCTATTTTCGGAAGTACATTCTTTTTTCTGCACCTTTGTGCATGTGTGTTTGGCCAAATTCCTCAAGGTTCTAAAAAGTATTTTGCTTCCAGTTTCGACATTCCTTTTATTCGCTGTAGTGTCTGTCAAAGAGCTCTAAAACACATCAAACATGAGGTGTCTCTATCGCGAGATGAAGCATCTGCAAAGGGCAAAAAGGTAAGAACAAATATTTTTTGCCTTAAGCTCGTCTGCTGACGAGTTCTACTTGTTGGTGAATCTTAAACAGTTTTGTTTTGACCGAACAGAATTAGTCAAATGACGTCAAAGCTTGCTGTAATCTCTTCAAGTCGATTTTCTACAGGATTAAGATTAGACATACACATCAGGCTGCAAAATTTAAAATATATTATTTGAATAATTGATTAGAAAAGCTGATTTCGAATTTTTTTTAAACAGGATATTTGACAGATCCTCTATTCACCATACATTGTTTCATGCAGAAAAAGTTAGTTTTAGATCCCTGTTGAGCAATATTCAAAGATGGATGTCCTGGTCCCTCCTCTTGATGCAACCAGGCCTCGTGACTCCTTTGTCTGAATGAAAGAGAACTGGTGACTTCCCTCACTCTATGCCAGGGTGCATTCCATGTACTTAGGCTCAAAGATCCCGTACACTCAGGTTTCCAGTGGGCCTTCAGTGTACACTTGACATGAAATGCACCCAAGACTCTATGTGGAAGTTTGGTCTTGGCAGACCCCAGACACATGGATCACCTCTCCACAACCCTACCCACCGAGTGTGTAGTGACTAAGCTTAGGCCTATTTATGCTAATTTTTCCTTCTCATTCATTCCACAACATTCTCACATCGCAGCACAGGCATCCTCTACGTCACTCCCATATCTGCAAACTTCCTTTGACAAATTATATAGCATATGCAAGCCAAAGTTTCCACAAGACAGTACCAGGGAATTTTGGTCTGCAAGTACAAGTTCCAGCATGCAGCATTACTCTTGACATGTGTATTCATCTGTCGGACTTTGCTGACTGTTGCATAGAGAAAACATCTAGATAATTGCAACCCATATTTATTTATGAAAAATTGTGCTAGAGGCTTTAAAGCTTAGGCATTTTGGTTTGACTTGATCAATCACTCCCGATTGCATCAGCACTCATTTAAACTGAACCACGTCAGCGTTTGCTCGCTCACACAAACCGGTAAATGGTGAGGAATAAATGTCTCATCAATTAACACATTTCTAGTCACCTTTGGTGACCCAAGCGAGTGACATAGACAATACAAAGTCAGTATATCGAAAGACAAGAAAATATGAGTAAGCTGAATTAACCACATCTCAATGGAAAAATGCAATTGAAAGTCAATTCCACTGCGAATGTTTATGAATACCATAGGCATTTGGGGTTTTGAACAACATTTCACGATCATCTGGCAATAACGTCTATATGACCTTCATGATGAACATAAAATTTTTAAAGGAAGCACATTTATATTGAGTATTTAATCTTTCTTGTAGTGCAAAACAACAATAGAGTTCATTTTCATTTGATATGACCTACAGAAAAGTTCCTAATAACAGGATCATACAGCTTTCATAAACATTATGGATGCTTTCAGCATTGTTCATGATTACTATTATATTTAGAGCGGTCACTCGCACAAGAGAATCACACGAGTGCTGGGCCACTCGCATGAGCTGTTTCTTATGAAAAGGCCTGAAAGATGCACAAAATTTATGATAAGTCAATCCAATTCTCCACAAAATTGTGAACATGTATCTTTGGTAGAAATGCACACAAGTTAAGTCTAAAGTTGCATCTAGCATTTCATTTTATTGAAAGGATATCAGGCTTTTATCTCATTTTTAGGTTTATTTCTGAGGATATACCTGTGTGATACATTTGTCATGTATCAAATAAACTAGTTGGTCATCAAATGAACTTGAAACAGAACTAATTTAGCATTTATTAAATCTAGGTAGATGAAGATGAAATTCTCAGTATTGTGGAAGCGTCATGCAATCCTGATAAAAAGCAAGGAGAATGGATATCTAGATATGATATAGAAGAGCAACCAAGTGGTTTAAAGTTAGTTGAGAACAAGTCACCTAGCCGATGCAAACAGGAATGCAAGACAATTTCCAAAGCCTGCGAGGAAAGCATTGGAGACATTGATACCGATTTAGGAGAGTTTTTATGGCAAGACCAGTTGTCACTTTCACAGTTGATAAACAAAGTTTGCTATGAAATGACTGGCATCTGTACACAGAAACTGCCCAAGTTTAAGCCTGGGAAAAGAGAAGATGAAATTTTTGTACCCATGACTGAAGACGAAAAAAAGGCATATGATATGATGAAGCAAATGAAGTGAGTGGTGGTATTGTAATAATTGATAGTGTGTTACCAGCAATTGCTAGACCCAAAATTTTATAGGGTGCATTCTAAATTATATGATTGTAAACATATTATTGTCAGTATACAGGTGAGAAAACTAAAACCCTTGTGTTGATGGTTGCTGTTCCCTAAAGGTAAGAGACAAATTGGTATTAAGAGCCTTTAAAATTAACAAAACGTTTTGAGATGTTTTTATTAAGTAATATACCAACTTCTACTTTGTAAGCATCAAGATCATTAAAAGAAATGGTCTGCTTTTGCATGGCCTGTGGTAGCTATTGTGCTCTAGGGGTTGCAGTTAGTATAGTTGGTAAGGTATTTCTTTCCGATAATTCACCCCTACATGGCAAAAACTCCTATAGAATGCCATATAAAGTAAAAACGTTTCAGTAGATTCCAGATGAAATAGAATGCCAAGGTGACATTTTAAAACCAAGATCATTGCTCAGTTTGAAGGGGGAGGCAAGGTACAACAATAATTTTAATAAATTCATTTCATCAGCATCCCAGGTTGCTTTATTATTATAACTTGGCAAGTTATTACAAGTCATTTCTTTACATTGTAAAAAACAGTTTATAAACAATAATATTTGACTTCAACATTTAGCATTTTGAAACAAACTGGCTCATTTCTCCTTCGTTTATAACAACCCTTCTTCTTTCATTTCCAGATCAATGCCTGGAATGCCTGGCATGGATATGTATTCAAAAGAAGATATTGCAAAAATGCAAGAGCAAATGAAAAGCCCTCCAAATGAAGAGGATGCACAGAATGCTAATAAAGATGAAGCAACACATCAACAAACAAACTTGGGATTTTTTGACACAATGAAAGCTACCTTTTCTTATCTATATAAACGCATCAAAAATATATTTTCATTTAGAAATAGGAAAACAGAATTGTGAGACTTGCATCAGTCATAGTGCCCTGATGTATGTTGTAAAACAGTGGGGAAGAGGGCAATTGACCTGATTGCAGGCTATGCACAAAATATTGTATATTGAGTAGGTTCTTATCGTTTGCAAACAAGCAGAGATGATGGCACCCTGCCCCTGAGCACTTCTGTTGTCAGACACCCTGTCAGTGAGTGTAATTTAGCTTGCTGTTATCTTTTACAAAAGGTTGTTTGCATCATTCTTACCCATGGGGTGCTGAAACAGTACCTTTCTACTCTCCTTGATTCTTATTTCACTAACAGATAAATCCTTTAAATGTTTAGGAAATTTATTGGTAATATACAAAAGATGCTTATTGGATATTTTGAAAGTGTATAAGATTTAAATATTCTAAATAATGGAACAATTAGTTATTTGATAAAGAACATTTGTATGATTTCAGTCCTTTTCTTAAGAAATAGCCCACGCGAGTGGCCCATCGCTCGCATGATTTATCTTACTCGAAAGGAAAAAAATTTTCCTTTCATAAGGTATCTTTGTTTAAGGTAATATCAAATGAAAATGAATGGTTACGATGATTTGTAATGCACTCCAAGAACGACTAAATCCTCTTTATAAGGCCCAGTTTATACGCCGCATTTCTGCCGCAGCGAATTAAATACAATTAAAGGCGGCAATAGTGCGGCAATACTTCTCCGAAATTAGGATTTTGTTTCAGACGCCGAATTGAAATCGTCGCATTTAATGTGGTCCCAGGCCACGCGATTGATGTCCGGCGCAGCGCTTCTGTACGTTATTCTTCCTGACAACAAAAATGGCCAAAAATGGCGCCAACAAACAAATTCATAGAAATTCTTTTTGTCCTCACAGACAACATGAGTGCCAAAAGTCGAAGAAAGCGTACTAGTCGAACGAAGTTGAAACATTTTTTTCTTAATTTTTTTGCGTCGACGGCAGTTACTATCAATGATGTGGTTCCAAATAATATTGTTGATGACAAACAATCAGAATCTCTGTAGGCCATCACTTCGAACATGCAGGAGACAACAGAGGATCCATTAAAAAAAATTTCAGAGTAACAAAGGCGACTTTCGCATTTATTCTTGGCGAAATTAAAGATGGTTTGGAGAAAGAAACTTCTGCAGCGAATCCTGTGTCCCCAGCAGCACGTCTGGCTGTTTGTCTTTACAGACTTGCAAGAGGAGACTATCTGCATACCATTGCTGAACTTACGGGTTTAGGTACATCCACTGTTTGCATGATTGTAAACGAAGTTTCTTGCATCATTGTAGAGCGCCTTTGGGGAAATTTTGTTGCTAAAAATTTCCCCCATAACATTGAGGAGCTAATAAAAGCATGATTTTCTGTAACTGTTTGGCCTTTTGGGTAACTTTGATCTGATAGGCTGTCGCTATCCTCTAATTCTTGATTTCCACGTAAAAACGATGGGAGTTTAGTTCGGAACGCAGCCATTTCAACCGACAAGGAACTAATGGAATTTTGGCGCCACAAGTATACACGCATGCGTGTTGTAATTTAATCACCCTTCAATCATTCAAAATCAAGATTAATCACAAATTTCTTCTAATTCGCTTCGGCAGGAATGCGGCGTCTGAAACCAACCCGAATTTCTGCCGAAGTTAATATTTAAATGCGGCAGAGCTGCCGCATTTGTGCCGCATTAAATTAGTAAATTCTTGTTTGGTTTCAGACGCCGTATTTCTGCCGCATTTAATTGACACTTAAACTTTTTCAGCCTTGTCAATTTAATTCGCTGCGGCAGAAATGCGGCGTATGAACTGGGCAACTTTGAACTGGGCAACTGGGCAAATTGAACTACATTAGCCCAGAAATTGTTTCAAGTGCTAATGTAGTTCAAATACTAAGTACCTAAAGTATTGACAAACATTTGTTGTTGAAATGATTTTCAAATGCATTTTTTCATTGAGGTGTTGTCAAGTCAACTTACTTATATTTCCTGTGTTTTGATGCTTGGTTCACAAAAGATGACTAGAATTGTGTTAATTGATGAGACGTTTATTCCTCGCAATTTGCCGTATTGTGCGAGCGATCAAACGCTCGCGTGGTTTGGTTTGCGCGAGTGCTGACGCGATCGGGAGTGATCGCTCGCATCGAACGAAAAGGCTTTTTGTGTGTTAGCCATGCCATTTTTGTAGCCTTTTAAGATGTCATGCAGTGGGGGGGGAAGGCAAGTAACTGCACCAAATCAATAGCATTGTGTTAGAAAATATTCAGAAATGATTTTTTCTTTTAAAAATACTAGTCAAACACCTTTCTACAAAATAGTCATTTGTTTCTTACGTGATATGCTGAGCATTCCAGTTTCCATAAGTATGCCTTTATACCAACAAAATAGTGCAAATTATTTCCAAAAAGGTACAATTTACATTTTTGAAGCAAAATTCTTCCTGGTCTAGTAATAAAGTCTTTGCGAATTTGGGGTTTGGTAACCATTTGTATTGTTTTATTGTATTGTTTTGTTTTTTATGGTATGGTATGGTATGGTATGGTATGGTATGGTATGGTATGGTATGGTATGGTATGGTATGGTATGGTATGGTATGGTATGGTATGGTATGGTTTGGTATGGTATGGTAAGGTAAGGTATGGTATGGTATGGTATGGTATGATATGATATGATATGATATGATATGATATATGATATGATATGATATGATATGATATGATATGATATGATATGATATGATATGATATGATATGATATGATATGATATGATATGATATGATATGATATGGTATGACATGGAATGGCATAGTATGGTATGGAAATGGATGGTATTTGTATTGCATTACAAACCAGCATCCAAAGGTAGTTTTGGATAGGGAGAGGCTGTGCTTATCGACCAGTGCCCTGGTCCTTCCTCTTGATGTGACCGCACCTCATGATTCCTAGGCCTGGAAATACAAAAGGCAGGTGACTCTCCTCACTCTGGGTGACAGTTTGGTCATGCCACAGGCTCAAACCAGAAGCCCTAATAATAAACCTCCTATGAAGGTGAGCCCAATCAATCACACAAATGCAGAAATTAAACCTGAACGACTAATCGTTTATACCAAAAAGAAAATATAAAGCTAGTAATATCGCTTAACATATTGATTCATAAATTTGGAAACTAGATGTTTCATGATTCTTGCACAGGTTTCCTAATATCTTCCTTACGTAAAACTCCTCATAGGGTAATGCTTGCTCAGTTCTACGTATAAAAAGTTATTCGAAACTGTCCAAGTAAAATGAAAGATAAGTAAATGCAATAATTTTTATGAAAACATGCCACAGTATTTACAGGCTTCAAAGTTTTGCTGCCAAATATTGGAAGAAAACATATAACTAAAGTGTCCATTGCTATGCAAAAGTTTAACATGTATTACAAAGTTCCTTGGATGATAAATTTAACAAATGTCTAAAATAAGAGCATATTCACGTCCAGATGGTACTAGATCAACTAACAAACACTCATCTTTTTCGAGAGGGGGGTAGGGGGGTAGGTGGGGGGTAGTCTATATCATTTGAGGTTTAGCTACCCGCACGTTCCCGTTTCCAGTAAAAAATAAGCACCAAGATATCGTTCACATATAAAAGCCAAATAATCGTTTGCAACTCATGATTCCCATTCAATGTAGGTTAGTAGACTCAGTATATAATGGGAAATGACACGTGATGTTTATGGAGGATGGGGTAGCCTTTCATAAACTTGCCACAGGTTTGTTCTGGGATGGACCTCATGTCTATGTTCTGTGTTTATACCAAGGGGCAGAACAGATGTTGTGCTTATCACAATAGAAGCAGTTGGTGCTTTGATTTTTGTTCCAAATATTACTTAGATAATCTGGAAAGTATTAACGCTGTCCAATAAATATCAACATTTGTTTCCCAATGACTGCCTTAACGATAAAACAAGCACCCGGGGTACTACTCAATTCAACATTATCAACCAAAAGGACCATTACAACAAAGTTGTTTTTATTGCAAAGCTATTCAAATTACCTTCAACAAATGGCAAGAAACATAACATTTTTAACAAATACTATCTTATCACTAGTTACAGTAATGCATCTAGAACAGAAGAAACAGAAACAATATTTCTAAACAACTTGTGTATCAAAAAACAACACTGAAACGACAGCTTGAATAATCTGTTAGTTAAAAGCAAACCCTTCAGAACCGTGTCTCAATGCAATCAAAACTTTCTCTCTCAATTCCTTTTCACTTGTGAAAGTACTGAGGCGAAGTATGTTGAAGCACGTTGCTGCAGTAGGAATCTACGAGTAAAATGGCGATTACTGTTGAGTCAGTACATTTCTCGTTTTCTTAGTGTTGATTACATGTTTTCGACATTGCTACAACAACCCCTAAGAGAGTTCTTTAATATAAACCAAGCAATTTAATATAAGAAAAGGACACGCTGGAATGCGAAAAATTTGGAAAACGAAGTAAAAATAATCAGAAATGTAAAATAAATAAAATGGCAATGAACTCCTGTATGTTTCATTTTCGAAAACCTTAAAATTGATGGTAGTCGAGGTATTAATTCATTTTGCGGGGAGTTTTCTTACAGCATTGAATTGGGCAAAAATGATAAAGTTCTATATTTGGACATGCAAAATACATGTGAATTACTGTTGAATTTTCTAATTTTCAAAGGATATGTAAAATAACTTAATTACAAGCGCGTTTTAAAAAAAGTGTTATGTATGGACAAATTCGATGGTAAAATTCAATTTACGGCCTCGTTTGGACATTGCTGCAAGTCGTTGTGGGTAGTCCTTGTATTTCTTATTGTTGTATGTAGCACGTAGCCAAGTTAAGAAGTCATTCTCAGAATAAAATATCTCATAATTTTAGCCCTTTAAAGGTCGATTTCAAGATAACATAACGTTTGTAACTTCATAAGAGAGTTTTTTCACAAAATTAGTTCCTGTTGAAACTTTCCACCTACAGTCACAGTCAACATCTAAAAAGATACATGATGACCAGAATTCCGGTCCTTAGTCAAAGCCTGTGTCAAAATTCAGAACCAAGAAGTAATTTCAAGAAGAGGCCGTTGTTATAATTGATCTATTGGATTAAATAGTGGAAAAAACGCGGAAATGTTTTTTTAATACCTTCCTTTACCCTTGGCGCATGTGACCGACTTATCAAAAGGGTCACTTAAAGCCCATACTGACATTTGCAGGGAGGATGAGATGAGTTTTATACAGGTCTTGATTTGATGTTATGTGAAAGACCCAATCAATGAAAATCCAGTCAGAATTTAGCTACATCAAAATCCATATTCAAATAAAATTGTTAGAAAAGAAACATTAGTAAACATGCAACAACAAGTTGTAACAATTCTTAAAAATAAAATTGCACAAATGAAAGAATGGCTTTGAAAAATGCAAACATTTCACAACATATTAACTAAAGCTTTTTCGTCTGACACTCCTCAGAGCATAACACGTCAGAATAAGGGTTCGAAAGAACACGATGAAAAATATATTCCCAGTTGTGGATCGAAATAGGCCAATCAGAAAAAAGCAAGCACAAGACCGGTATAGTTGACCAATCAGTGCCGCGTGCCTAAAAAAGTGTTCTTTCGGACCCTTATTCTGACGTTTTATTTTCCGAGGAGTGTCAGATAAAAAAACTTTTAGTTAATATATTGTGAAATGTTTGCTTTTTTCGAAGCCATTTTCAAGTTATGTACCGCCAAAAAACTGTTCAAATGAAAGAATGCTTCCAATTAAAATTTGCACAGGTAGCCAAAATGGATTTCCAAAAGAATATCTTAAAATCGTTTAACTGCCAAATGAGAAACATACCGTATTTGATTCTTCTGGTTTTTTGGAAATCTCAAATCGCTTTTTACCTCCAAGACCCTAAGGGTTCAAAAGGTCATCCATTTAACTAGTTTAAATATTCCCAAGTGGGAATAGGACAGTACCGAAAAGGTTAACTCCAAAAAGGGGGTGGAGGACATCCCTGGATATGCAGATTTTGGCATTAAAGAGGGACTTTTCAGTATGTCAGGGATAACAAAACAAATATGTCTGCATGCTTAAAATTGTTTTGAATAATACATGCAAGATAATAAATTATGAGAATTATGATCAGGATTCAATTTAGTAAATCTTTGAAAATTTAGGTAGCGAAATGATCACATGTTTAAGAAAAACTATCTCAGAAAAATTAGAAAACATAAGAGTAGCCAAAAATAATTTCGAAGATTAAACATGAAAAGTACTCTAATATTCTAAAATGGGAGTACATGATGACTTTGACGATGATAAAATATCTATTGCATATACTTGTAACGGTAGAAGGTTATAGGAAAGACAATGCAAGTCGCAATATCAGGTTTCAAAACTTCTTTACCGAGAATACGTAGATAATTAAACTGTAGCTTTGCATTGGAAGCTTCAATATCGCAATATTGCACTGCAATGTTTTTAGGACCTTGTTACCGACTGACCCTGTTACTTATACAAACAAGAATATCCGCTTTTTCTCACAATGCTTATGTATATAACAGCGTTCAGCATGACACAATCAAATCATAGAAAGCAAACGGTTAATAAGTGTGTAATAAGAGTAAACATAAATAACAGATAACAAAATAACAATGAGTAGAAACCTCTAGTTCTTTAAATCCCCCAATAGGGACACATGGTGAACCAGTTGAAAATTTCAGCAACAATGCCTTTTCTTCTTGTTTTAAACTTTCGACAGTTCTCCAAAACCAAATTATTTCTGAGTCACTGCAGCTCCAACCAGCGTACTATAAACCAAAAAGGAGAAACAATTTTTAAAGTAACTTGTAGGAAAACAGATCAATATTTACTTATCATAAGTAAAATAAACATATCGTTTTCTCGCAAAGATTGTCTATTAATATTATTGAACGGGTGCAGTAATTGCAAAGTTTCAAAGCAGTGTAAACGTAATTTGCTGAGCTTTTTAAAGTCACAAAGCAAACAGGTCAATAAAACTATCCACGAAACAAGGTTTTTTAGGTTTCTCAGTCACCACTTCTATTAGCAACTGCGGTGCGCCTCACTTCTGTTCTACATATGCTTCTAAATCAGAATTTGAATCACTATGAAATTCAAAAGGAAAAGTTCAATCACCCAGGGGCCCATTTGACTCTTAAATATAAAACAGACTTAAAATGTTTAAGTAAAAACTCAATACGCGAATCTTTTTAAATTGATCCTTACTGCATGACTTAACACCATTACGAAAAACCTATTTAAAAAAAATCAGTTTGTTTTTAAGGGTACTGGAGATCAGCAAGCCTCTATAAAACACGGATACGAACGTTGTATGTTTCTTAAAATACCACGATGAGATACATTAGGTACCATAACAATTTTGAACTCCAGGTGAAAACAATATCAGGCGTTCGTGTCAAAAGTAATAATTACACTAACTTCTGTATTTTCTTTCCAATCGTCAACACTGATGTTTTGAATTCCATTCATCAACAAGGAAAATTCCCCAGCAGTGAAAATTGAAATCAGATCACTACTGATTTCCTAGAAAAAGCAAGAAATTAAATTAAGTTCTAGGTGTTCTATTTCCAATCATCAACTCGCCAAAAAGTTCTTTTGTGGATCTTCCTTTTAGTGAATTAGGCGTATCTTGTCAACCTTGCATTCTGTTTTAAAAAAATCAGATAACGTCTTCGCAGATAGGCCTTTTCTGCCTCTATAAGAATGAGTCTTGTACCCAGGGTAGATCTTAAGCCCAATCTCCAATGAGAGAAAGTCTTGCGAAATTTCGCTGCGAAATACTTCACGCGAAAAATTCCTTTGAATGCTTTTGTTGACCTCACGACATTGGAATGCAAAGTTTGGAAGCGTTATAAAGGGATACGGAATATGATTGGCTGCTGAAGGATTTCGCAAGCGAAAAGCGAAAAAGTTAAACTCATTTTGCCTTTTTTCGCAGAGAAATTATTCGCGAGAAATCCCAGCAAAAGATCACTGCACATGCCTAAGACGTATTTCGCGCGAACTTTTTCGCATTTCGCTGATTTTTTTCACACTGGAGATTGGGCTTAACAGAGACAATGCGTCCAAAATCAATGCATCATGGAAACATGCTAGCAAGTTACAGACTACCTTTATAAGCTGTGTTCGAATTGAGTATCTAAAGAAATAGAGATATTCACTATAAATAAAATAGAATTATTCACTGGCATAACTAGCTCTAGGCAGCATACATCTTTGCTAGATTATAAGGCGTAAAGCTGGTGGAAAAAAAACCCCGATCTCCAGTGTTTTCCTTGAATAAGCTGCGCATTTACTCGAAATGCAACCTGATATAGAATCACGGAAATTGGGCTTCTGAATTCACGGAATTTCTAATCACGGGCCTTTCATTGCAGTATGAAATAATACTATCATTTTCACGATGTAAAAATTTCACGACGTTTTTGGAATCATTGAAAAAATTATAGATCATGTAAAAGTAAGTTTGATCTGTTCCAAATTAGTTTTGATGCGCCCATTGAAAAACATGAAGTCTGATTAAAGAAAAGTTTATTTTTTACTTTAACTCATAGAGTTTGGAGCCAAGACTAAAATACAGCGGTTTAATAGGGAAAGCGAATGAGTTTATTTGGTTATATCAGAGCAAATATGAATCAGATTTGACTGTTTTTCTAAAAAACAGCACTATTCTATAACTTTCTTTCGGATAACATAATCAATATTCAAAATTCTTTACATCTCTTCACTTCTTGATTAACTCTAAAATTCTTGATTTACAACAAATAATTAAATTATAGACGCATTAAAAGAGGAAAGATGCAAGACTTCTACTTACTTCGAAAAATCCTCTTTTGAATGCTTTGACTTCTCTGTCAATTGAATCGCTTAATTTGAATTTTGAAACCGATAATGCAAATTCCCTCTAGAAAAAATAAAGTAAAGCTTACAATAACACAGATTTTATGTTAAGGAAGATCATACTTAAGTAGGGCTAAGAAGGAAACAAAGGCTATTCCAAATGTCCTTGGATTACTGTTTGTAAATAGTCTGACTTGGATTACTGACTTGGATTTGTAAATAGTGCATAACCGGTATCAATGTAATTTTTTTTTATTTCAAAGTACCCATGTAATGCATTTCTATCATTCTTGTAAATAGTTCATAATTAACATCAATATAACTTTGTTTTTAGCGATTTTCCTATAGTAGGTTAGGTTTCTCTGCTTTTCCTTTTCCATTTAATTTAATCAGGAAACACGTTGATAACAGCATGACATGTTGAAGTGTAAAATCCTGTATAAAGATTCGTATTATTATTATTATTGTTAGGTAGAATGCTCATCTTTTCTAGCTAAAGCCTCTTGCTAAAAGTGTGCTGAAGCACATTAACACTTTCCCTGTTTTGTAAATACCTAAAAAATAATACCATCTCAATCTTTATCGCCTGGCGGGTTCACTTCTATAAGAATCTATATACCATGTGAATTCCACAAATGGATTTCTACCCCCTTATCTCTGACATAACCGACATCGCAACACACCCTTACCTCTGAAAATTTGGGTATGTTACACCCCTTTTCTCTGACACAAAAAAATGTTAAATTAAATCAGCCCCATCAACCTTGGCAATAGATTGAATAAAAAGTAAAATGTAGATTGCCTCAATAACTGAATCCAATAATTAGAAAAATATAATGATAAGAATTAAACAATGTTGATTTTGGTGCTGCAAAAAACCTATTTTCAGTTTTGAAGCTAATGTGCACCAAATGTGAAACTCATGCTAAAGACATGTCAAGGTCAAGTCAGAACTGTTTCAGGGCATGCTAGGATAATTAAATGAAGAAAAAATCTGAGCCAAAGATCTTAATCAATGAAGCCTAGTGCTTAGAATACCAAAAAGTACAAACAATAGTAGCCTGTTGCAAAAACCTGACACGATTCAAGGTTGTGAAAGTTGTTCTGCGGAGTTTCCCACACTCTTACACAAGATAGTACACTGTTTCTGCACAGTTGCACACATGCACATATTTCTATTTGTTCTTGTATACACAAGAACTTGTGGAGACCTTCCATACTCTGCAGATTTAACTTTGCAGGTGCTTCTTAACCTGACTCGATCTTAAACTTTCAAGTAAGCAACTTTCTAGTAGCTAATGTTTTCATTACATCCACTATAAAAGACCACCAACAACACTTCATCTCAGTTAAGCTTAAATTTTGAAGCTACATGTCGACATTCGCTCAAAGTCATTTCCTTCCTTACAATTTAAAATGTCATAATTGCATTCATTGTGTTGTGCCATGAACAGCTTACTGTGAGCTTTTTTTAATCATTGAGATTTTGCTGTTAAAGCTTGAGCGTCCTAGGCAATCAAATTTAAAAAAACTTGCAATCAAATTAATGTTCATCAAACTCAAAATACGATTCAAAACCGAATAAAATTAATATAATTATTCTTTTCTGTTGCTACAGGGCTTTTTAAACTAATTAGTTAAAAATTTGCTTACTATGGCAAATTTGCTAATTTTTTAGGGTTTTGCCTCACCCTACCCCCACCTGAAAAATGAATTACTGCCTTTGAACATACATAAAGTGATTCTGGCTTTTGCTATGCATTACTAGAAGCACCTTCCGTTTCAATATTTCTGCAGCCCTTCTCCCATAAACTCTATCCGATAGGCCCCTTTAGAATGAAAACTGATGTGAATGAAGTTGCATGATTTAATTGGCGGGAAAGGTGGGTATTCTGTGACAAGGCTGTTGTCCGAAAAGTTACGGATAAAAGACACCAATAAATGGTCCAGGGAGAGAGTGTTTGCTTGTATTAATATGACAGGGGCTCCATGTTTGCTTGTAGTGAAGCATGAGTGAGGCTGCTGAGTATGGCCTAGAATTGAAATTCTTCAAGACCTTTCCCTCTATGTACAGAGGAACTCAAATTAAGATTTGTAATTAGAACTAAAAAATGAAAAAAAGAAAAATTATAATTATAGGTGTTATTTTATCAAAGGAACAAGATTTTGTGTTAGAGGGAAAATCTTGCTAGAATGACTATTTTGGTGCACGGTGTTTTTAACAGGATGCATTTGTTGACAAAGCAGTTGAAATTGAATTGAGTTGTGTTTTTTCTTTTACTTTAACCATGAAATTGCTGAGTCATGTTCATGTAGATGTTGGGTCAATTTAAGCATCTCAGCTGGAAACTTACCAATTTCAGATTCTGGCATGCAGCACTATACTGTTATTGTGCATGCATCAGCCATACTCTGCATACTCTGCTCGCATTTTACGTTGCAATATTGATTGGAAGTACGTTGATATAAACAATTGTTTTTTTTCAAAAGTATGTTTGTTTATTTTACTGGTTGTCTGTCTACGCAGCAAGCAGGAGCTATGACACTATGTTGATTTCCTTATTTGCAGCAAAAACTAGCAACATAAAATATATAATTTATGTAAGCATACCACATTATGCTTTGATTTTATCTAGCATGATAAGAGTTCTGTAAAGACTTATTTGAATGAAATTTGACATTTGCTGTTTATAACACACTAAAGTACTGCTTTGATGTACTCAAGATTTTTGACCCTTTTTAACCAAAATCTCTGACACATCCCTATTTTTGAGAAACACCCCTTTTTTGAAAATCTATGTCCCAGATGTGTGTCAAATTTATGACCCTTTGTGTATAGGGTCATATGGAAGTGAACCCGCCGTGCTTTTTCGAAATCGCGTTGTAGATAAAGAGTATTTTGGCATAATCACAAGTCAAACATAAACCTTACTAAAAATGATTTCATCAAGAATACAAAGTGTTTTAAACGAATTGGCACAATTATCCCATCAATGAAAACTTCAAGTGAAACAGGTACTCAATTCTGAAATAGACGGGAACTCATTTCTCGAAACCGTGTTCCCCTTTTTGAATCCCTGTCCTTCAAGATAATTAATTGCTCAAGACCCTTGGAAGTAATTCCATATACTGTACTGAAAGAATCTATCAGATGACAGATCATGTTCATTTGGGACTTTTACAGATATAGACCTGTTTAGTCCCGGTTACGCAATGCATATCAGCAGTTTTTCCATACCAAAATTCGAATGGACTAATCATCTTATATAAAAAACTGTTATCGGGATATTTCAGCCCAAAAGTCTTTAAATCTGCGAGTGTCTTTAAATCTGAAGCGCAAATGTAAAAGCATACTTTCAGATAAGAGTGCCTTAAATTCTTAAGTTTTATTCAACGATACTAGACTGAACCTCTTACCTTAAGGGGGGGGGGGGTGATATCACAGCAACAGACAGCAACATTATTTGACAAAAAGGTCCTGGATGGACTGTTTCCCTTGGTAGGCATCTTTTCCAAAGTCTTTAGAGGAACTACTTATACATTGAAGACATCTGTGTCAACAACGTCTGAGTTACCCTGATGCTGTCCACATGATTTCATGTGGATGCAATTTTTCCCTAGATTCGTTTGTCTATTTTGATGCTTATTATTCGGGTAGCATGCAAATAAGCAAAACTGTGGACTTCAAACGTCAACCGAACAAACAAAAACCGAATTCATAAGGCATATGGCGAGTTCATCCTTCTATTTGGCTACTTCTCCTAAACTATTGAAAATCAACATCAGCGAAGTTGAATATATTCTCGAGGATTCCTTCCAAAGAGATGTGTAGCGTATCATAATACCAAACCCTGAAGCATGACGATGTCGACACCATGATGGCTGTTTTGTGTAGAGTAAATGCACTTCTAAATGCACTTTGATTTTTATTTTAATGCGATCTTTGTGAATGTGAAACTTGAAAAAGCATTTTAGCTGTTCTGTGCATCAAAGCTTGAACTTATACCTGTGCTGAATTAAGCAAAAAACGGCGTTCATAGTTTATCAATATACCTTGTTCGTGTCAGTCAAAACTGATTCAGCTTTATTGAGCATAATTTCTTCAACACAAGAGTCAAGCCAAGGGTTCGAGCAGCTGATACTGTTAGGCAACTCGAGACCCTCCACACTGCCTTCTAAAGTTGACTTGACTGCCCCATTGTACAGGGATTGGTCAACAGACTGTAGATCATCTGGGTGATTCAATGTTTCTCCGAGAATCTACAAACAAGATAAGGTCTTTAAAAACACATAATCTTTAGTTGCTGCATAACCTCAAACAATTTTTGGCTTGGCAGAAAATAAGTAAAACTTGATAAAAAACAGCTGTTTTTTGCTATACCAAAAAGGTTTTCTTGACTTTTCATCAACAGATGGAAATTTTATACAAATGTAAGCTTAATGTCCTCAGGTTGTAGAATGCATCAAATAACAAAGTTTCACATTTTTGAAACCCTTACAAACACTATTACTTATTTGTCAAAAATCACTAAAAATTGTTTGACGTGGAGGCAGCCTTCAGTTGCCTTGTCCAAGGCCTTTTTAACAGATAAAGCTATAGACCTGAAATAGACAATTAAAGCCTAGGTTAAACGTCGAACTTTTCATGCACCGAAACTTTAACTTGAATAAGGCGCATGAAAAGAGCGACGTTTAACTTGACTGAATTCGATTGATTTAATTAAGTGCAACAGAATGTATTAGGAACGACTGACCCTGTCGCACTATGCGGCTGGAACGGCCTCGAACTAAACGTTGCTGTTTTGATGCGCCAAACTCAATGCATAAATCACGAATAGGTAATAGTAATTTATTTTGGCTTGAACGAGGCAGTAAATGAGCAGGAATGATTTTACAATTGATAATTACCAAAACACGACATGTTGGGAGCGGCGTCTTTTTTCGTGTCGCTCCACAGTAGCGCTACCGTCGCATCGAACTGTATTCTGTTCGGCGCATGACAAGAACGAAGTTTAACTTGCCTTGTGTGTTTTGAAAAGTGTTGTTTTAGCTGCTTGATGCCAGGCTATGTATTTGGATCTTTAAAGATCAAAAGCTATGAAAATTACATGCATCCTAAGTTTTTTTCCTGCTAGCAATACAATAATCGACTTGAGTCTTGATTGAGATCTTGACAGGCGTTGCAAAGTTTTTGATCGGTATTGAAATATATCCTCATGTTTTCCACATCATATTGCAATGTCACCACGTATTAAGGCAGAACATTATGTTGACATGTGTACCCATCATATAAAATGAAAGTCCAAAAATGCTGGCTGATTAGTATAGACAGGTAACCAGATGCATCTTCCCTAAAGCAGTTATCTATTATCTTCCCCAAACACCAGTTAATTGTGGAGAGTACCATCTATGTCGAAGCTTTCTTCCAGTCAACGAACATATCAATATTTGGTTCATGAATCACTTTAATTTCTTCGCAAAGTCAATCTTTGCCAAAGACAAAAAAATGCACTTCCAAATTACAATATTTCATTGGAAACATTATCTAGACCCAATAAATTAGAAGCCATTCCGTAAACATTTGTGTGTACTAATGGTAGAGATATAATACACAATACTTTCACCTCACAGAAAATTTTTCCGGTTTTCCAGGTTACCAGAAGGGAAAATATTTTTTGTAGCTCTGATATGTTTTTTCATTTGACGGGACAAATTTTAGTCCCTTGTTTATCCTGGCCATCTTCAAATGCTGGCAAAGTAGAGTAAATTTAGAGCAATATTGTTGGCAGAAAAATAAATGTTCCACGATTGGCTCAATTGTTAAGGAAATTGTTAAGAAATGGCAATCTTTCCCATAAGTTTAACTCTTCATACTTTAGGTTAAATAAATTGTGAGAACCATTCTATTCTTCTGCCAGCTAGCCATTTTCACATAAATAGGAAGCAAATTGTACATAGCAAACCCCAAACAAAGAATACCACCTATAAGATGACTGGAAAATCAAATTTTTATAAAAAACAGCAAAAGATTATATGTTAAATATGCAAAAACAGTTAGTAATGTTTCCTGTGCTGTGTTTATACAACATCATTAACCATTGAGGAAATAAACGCGAGATACTCGCAGGGATGCGCGTTTCTGAGATCAGTTAGCGATTCCTACCTTCGGGAGACGAAGATTTTTTTCTCCGAGTATGAACAAAAGCCCTACCTGCTTAATAAAAGGTTTGGACAACTGCAAGTTAATGTACCAGCCATCAGCAATGCAAGCGGCTACAAATTTGCCAATGAACGTCATGGCTCTCAACTTTTCATTCAGCTCTACTTTAATCGACATCATTTTCTCTCTTGTTATTAAATTTTGTGGCATATGATCCCTTCTTACCACTGCATGAATTATTGAATCTTTTGCTTTTATCGGCGAAGTGGTTGTATTTGAACCCATTGGCGTAGCTGTAAAGTTACTTCTGTTCCACAGGACATCGGCAAAGAAACTTAACGGAGTCGGACTGTCAAAGAAAAAATGCACAGAATATCATATGGAAATAAAGTGCTAAAAATATTAACATCAAGATCGGATGATGTTGCTAGATGTGAATCAATCCATGAAAAACAAAGTTTTCAATCAAAGTTTTGAAAACGGTTGTTCGCTTATTTTAACAAACTTTCTTGCAGCAAATAAAACAAGGCAAGTTTTAAATAAGTGTTTAAGACTAGTTTCGTGACTTAATGTATAAGAAGGAGGCTGTTTCCCCTCGATAAAGTATGTCTTCATGGAGATGAATAAGTCAATTATTTCGACCAATGCCTCTTGATTCGAATCATCGAGTGATCGACTGCCTCAAACCCGAGGACGTGCAGAAGTACATCTGCCTTCTATTTCTGCTAATACAAAGTACATAAAAAGTACCAGATAGATGGCACACACGATAGGATGGCACAAAATGAAATATGTCATTGAGATGAATCAATTCGTTGTATTGGGTGACGTCACATGCTGAGGTTTGGGACATAGCAGTACTGTATGATATAGAACTATTATAAACTAACTATTATTAGACTATAGGCTACCACGCTGGAAAACATTTATGTTGCGCTAAAGACCTTACCGTACCAAAGTATTACAGGCGTACCACAGTAGTACTTACACGAAATTCCGGCGTATTTCTTCGAAAAGTTTGGCGTAATTGCATCGGCGTGGGGCAAGGTGCTAAATTTTCATTCGAAAATATGCTGGCGTGGCATGATATTTCCATTGTTCAATTTAAGATTAGTATTCAGTGCGTCTTTAAAGGCAATCTGTCTCGTTGTGGATTGGTTAACGGAACAATAGCTGGAACAATAGCCTAAACACGATTCCAGCGCTCCGCCATATTTTTTACAATGCGATGAATTAAAGGGGGACTGGAAACAATAAAAATCCCTTTGTTCTAATAACCAATCAACGTCGTGACAGATTGCCTTTAAGCGTGTTTTGATGTAACCCTCAATATTCTGATCGCACTTACAAGGTACACTCGTAAACTCCCAAACCACAGTGTAATCCGGGTCAAGTCACTAAGATCAATAAGTTTTGATAAAGAAGTTATGGAAACCCTCGTTTGCATAGGATTTATTCCATTTTCAAAATTTCTGTTAGTTCGAATTCGGTATCATTGTGTCCCTTGAAAGTTCGGCTACTTGAATGTAAAATAATCGGAAATGAATGTTTTCATCCAGAAAACCTTTACCGTAACCTTAAAAAAATTACAACGAGGAAGAACCTGGTACTCTTGTGACAAAAAAGACGATGTGATAACTCAAGACTTAAAGGCCTTATTGCCATTAAGGTTGTTTAACTTGCTGATGGATGGTTATAATTCTATTTGGTTTCGTGTTTGCTTTGCAAATGGAATCACTTCATCATTTGACAGATTTCCTATCGTTCAGCAAATAGTTAAAATATCTAGTGAACAGGAACTCTTTAGGCCCTTAACAACTGTGTACATAAAACCCAGGGATAACTTTCGGATGAATCCAAATCGGTTATCTTGGGTAAACCTCACTGCAAATCAAAATAAGGCGAGTGTTAACAATAATCAAAGTGCAAATAAAACAAATGCCAACCTATATTGCTGATCGTCGATTCGAGTAAACAGCTTCATTTCTGGCTGAATAATCTGGTTACACAAACAAGCCAAAAACTCTCTCTTTGGGCCCGTACACATACCTAGTCAAATTAAAAAAAACCTTGCAGTTCTTGAAATGAGTCATATACAAAACTCCCCAAACGTTTTCAATATACATTACGGTACCCCAAGAATCTATCGAGGTCAGTTAAATACTTTTCTGAGGTTATACACGTTTTACCCCTTTATCCACGATACGCTACTGGCAGGTAGATTAATTCAGATGGATATGCATGATCGTGGCCACCGAGAGGTTTGGGAGACCATGGGGCAAAAGTGAAAGACGAGGCCCTCTGCAAGCAGAGCGAGAAGAAAATTATTACGACCACGCCCTTTATAATAGCTTAAAATGCACTTCATAACATTATGCAATCGTTTGAGCGTTTTACTAATTCCAGGCATACTTTTGCTACGCTTGATTAATTCCATTCTTAAAATCAAATTAATTACTTTATGAAGCCCCATAGACCTAGAGGCCCTGGGGAAATTTGCCCGTATAGCCCCCCTCTCGGCGGCCCTGTGCATACTTATTCATTTGATATTTACAAATTGTCCAATATGATATTTATAACATTTCAAAATACTATAACAGTTTTTTAACCAAAAATTGATTTAATAAAGATATTGATCCTCAGATACCAAGGATTGATCAAATAACAGTATAGAGGCCAGGAAGCCTTCTTGATTTTCAGAATAACCCCTTGTAACCTTCTAAGAGACTTGGAATCCAACTTTGATCACATGTTTCTGGTACCGTTGCGAGGACCAAAATGCATCAGCAAACCTCAGCAAAGAAATGCAAAAGTAAAACTTGAAACAGCAAAACAGAGAGCAATTATAAAGATTTTTCACTTGGCAAGCGAAAGGTCGAGAAAATACCTGGCTCATCATGGAATTCTACCCCTAAATGTTGAATATCAATGTTTGAAAACCCCTCCAAATAACTCATGGCACTTTCAAGAACTCTTTCGCGTCTCACTGTAAGCGTACAGCAACTCATGTGTGGATTTCGCCTGAAAGAAGGGATGTCGAAAATACAATTTTCATTACCCATAATCGAAGAGTTGGTGAATTCAACAAAGATGACGATGATCGATCGATGATGGTCGATTATTGATAATTATGATTGACGATGATTATGCTCCTTTATATGATAAAGATATCATGATCATGATTAATGATCATGGTGATGATGATGATTAAATATTTATATGAGGATTATGATAATCATTGTAATGGTATTGCAATGATGACTGATGATAATTATGATGATGATTATGATTTACAATGATTGGTGAGCATGACTGATGGCGATTATGATGATGATGATTACTTAACATGATTTATCACGATCGATGTTTGTTCATGATTACTATTGTTATAGCTGTATAATGGTAAAAAAACGTTCAACGTTCAATGCTGAAAAATCTCATTAAATTTCCAAAAGTTTCATAGAAACGAAATTCCTTACAGCTTTTGAATTCTTCTCCTGAACCACTTCTGTTTATTATCGAAATCAAGAATTGCTTTCCAGGTGGTTGAAAATATCCCGAAATTGAATTCGTCGAGAAGTGTTGGATTCTCCCTTATGAATTCGTTGAAGATTTGGAAATAGGAATCTTGATTAGCAAGTGACAAAATTGTTTGCTTGATGACCTGTCGTCAAATAAAAGTAACCAAAGTCATGTTGAGATGAAAAAGTTTCGAAAAAAGCAAACATTTAGTAAACTCAAGCTTTTCGTCTGACACACTTCGTAGTTTAAAACGACAGAACATAGATCCAAAACTCTACGCTAGGAAATTTATATACCCAAGGCAAGCGCACTGATTGGTCAACCTCAACAGTCATGTGCTCGTGTTTCTGATTGGCCTATTTCGATCCACAACTGGGTATATATATTTCCTAGCGAAGAGTTTTCGATCTGACGTTTTAAACTCTGAAGAGTGTCAGACGAAAAGCTTTAGTTTACTAAATGTTTGCCCTATTACCGGAGATACTTTTACAACATAAAGCAAGCATATCTCGAAAAATTAGTTCCTCTATGAACTGCAAAAGCAAATTGGAAGAAAAAAGGTTTGGATGCTCTGCGGAAAATAAGATCAAGATACCTGGTATGGTAGCCGGGTTGCTGGTAGGGTAGCCGGGTTGCTGGTAGGGTAGCCGGTTTTAATAGAAAATGTGTATAAAATCACAAGTCATATCGCGTGTCAACTATCAATCAATGTCACATCCCGTGCTAACGTTTATATAAGTGATTGTAATTAATAAGGAGTTAGTTTTAGTGCAATTAAAGAGCGCACAAAATATGACAAGTGCGTTGTCTTTGCCTCTCGCTCTTTACGATATAACGCATCTTACAGCGTAGCCATGTAGCTGGTATGGCAGCCGGTACAGATTCAAAGATGGCATCTAAAAACTGAATCATTTTTTTCATTCTTGAGAATAATTATAGTAAAAAGTTTTGTATGAAAGTGTACCGCATGGTACCGCAGTAGCTAACAAGAACACAAGTGAAAAAAGAGTAAATATTCTAAACACATTTCAAAAGCCAAAATGTTACAAAATGGTTATATTGATTGAGAGGCGTTAAATTGATTATATTGAACTTGCTCAATTTCTACATTACCCACCAAGGTGGTTTATATAAGGAATTTTCTGTAAACATGTTTATACTTGCTTATATCTTAATTTCTTTGAGGCATAAATATCTACGAACCTGCATGTTTTTCTCCTTTTGCTTCTCATCGCAGTCTTTCAACAAGCTAGACAAGACAAACAACTGTTTTGGCTTTGCTTTCATTAGCTCAATCACACAGCTCTCGCATGACAGAAAATTGGCATACAGCAGCGGTGGCCACCCACAGTCGTCCAAAATATCTACTGGGTGGCCATGACTTAAAAGCAACTTAACGCATTCGGTGCTTCCAATGGCTGCAGCCAAATGTAATGCACTGGTGCCATGATTGTCCTGGAGAATAACCAACATGCAAATCAACTTTTCTGCTTCGAATCTGTTTTTAAAGTTAAATCTTTGAATAATCACTTGCAAAGTTAGAAATAAAAAAGAATTGTTTATAAGCAGCTTTACTCTGAGGGCTTCGAAAAATAAGTCAGAAGGTGACAACACCTGTCTATTCATACGTAACTGGGTAGTCAGTATGGTAGCCAGGTAGCTGGTACAATAGTTGGGTAGTTGGTAAGGTATCCAAGTAACCGGGTAGTTGGTAAGGTAGCCAGGTAGCTGGTACGATAGTCGGGCAGTTGGTAGGGTAGCCAAGTAGCTGGTAAGGCAGTCAGGTAGCTGCTAGGGTAGCCAGCTAGCTGGTAGGGTAGCCGGATAGCTGGTTTGGTAGCCACGTAGATGGTATGGTAGTAGGGTAGCTAGTAGGATAGCGGGTAGCTGGTTGGGTAGCCGGGTAGATGCTAGGGTAGCCGGGTAGTTGGTAGAATAGCTGGTAGGATAGCTGGTAGGATAAGCTGGTAGCTAGTAAGGTAGGTGGAAGGGTAGTCCATTTTGATGGTCGGGTAGCTGTGTATAAGATTTCATAACCACAAGAAGCCTGAAAACAGCATTCTACCTGTAGATCAACAACAGCTCCATGATCAATTAAATCTTTCATGCATTCTGCATCTCCAATTTCAGCAGCATACATCAGAGGTGTGAAACCTAAGATAGTACAAGTCTCTTTCATTGCGAAATTGCTTAATGACAAGAAAAAGCGAGAAAATATCGCAAAATATTGAAACTCTTTTCGTCTGACGTGAGGAAGGTCGGATAAAACTGAATAACCATAAAATTATATTGATGCAACTTTGAGGCAAAAAGGAAAAAAGAAAGCAATATCTATGCATCATACCAAAAAGTATACCTTAATATTAATTTACAGGTAATAAGCACTTTCAGACATGTTTCTCAAAACAGAACATGTGATCATCAAATCATCTAATTAGTTGATAAACATAGACAAACATCATTTTCGTTTGATACCAGTAAGGTTCTGAAGCAAACATTATCTAATGATTAAACTTTTATTGTGTAACAATAAAAGAGACCTGAAGTGTAATGAAAAATTAAGAAATATTTTACTGACTTTGTGGTATAAGGTTGTGCCTCATTATTCGTCTCCACTTAAGACGATAACGAAACCATCAACTAAACCCAGTATAACTTACCATTTTTGTCAGGGATATTGACCATGTCTTCAAAATGGCTTGTCAATAAATGAATAGTCGAAGACTTCGAATCTTTGTTCCAGTCCACGGAATGCATGACAGCATAGTGCAAAACCGTTCCTTCGAGCTCCGTTCGGTAATGTTTAAGTTGGTCATTGTCATCTAGCAATTCTTTCACGCACTACGGAAAGCATAACGATGTAAACGATATTGTAAATTTGTGTTTAAACATAACCTCTATTGAATAATTAGGTCCAAAGCAAGCCAAAAGAAGCAACGCCACAGAATGTAAGCTGGGTCAATAAATTGCATGGTAGTACTGGAACCTAGCATAGCGATGGAAACGGGAGGAAGAAATGGCAGTAGAGGTATTACTAGTAGCCGGATTTGGCACAGTGTTATAACAAACAGGGGTCAGGCTAACGTTCCAGGATCTGAATTTAAGCCAATTTGATATTTCTAAACAGAAAAGAATAGTATTGATGGGAGGTGACAGTTTGAAGGCATTGTGGAAAGACAGTGGAATGTTTTTGGATTTAATAGGCGGTACTGCCAAATATGAATTCGAATTCAATAAAATATATTTAAGTACTAAAATTGCATACCTTTTCGACATTAATTGGCAAGTTGCATACTGGATGGACTTGCATAAGATAATTTAAAGTTAATATCTGGTTATAATCTGATATTTTAGAATTGCCTCTTTTTTCTGAAAAAGCCTTCCAAATATGTTATAGCACTGAATTGTGTGAAAACCTCATTTGATTTGTAATTACTTGAGTGGCCATAAAGAAGTAAAGTTAAAATAATTACCAGCTTCAGGGTTTAGAATGCAATTCACAGACGGTATAAACAAGTCATGCCTATATATGCTTGCATGTTCTAACACTGCATTTATCATAAACATAACACGATTACCACCATGTAATCTAAGAAAAAATACTTTAATGTTCCAAAATTACCCGAACTATTACATACCTTGGACAGTCCTTCGGCTATAGCGATCAGTATCGGTTTACGTTGCTTCTTGTCTGCCTTTTCAAGAAGACTCGAGTACATGATTGAACTGCATCCCTTAATTACTCTTAAACACTCGATTTGTCGTGTTTCGATATCTTCAGAGTCTATCAAATCACGATCAAGCAGCACCAAATGAAGCAGCGACATTCCATTTAAATTGGCATGCACCAAGCGATGCATCATTGGAAGGTTAGTCTTTCGAAGTAGCAGTTTCAGCACCTAAAGGCAACAAAGATGGAAATATAAGCGATATTCAACAAAATTTATGCATCGAAAACAAATTAATTAGAAGATTAATAGATGAAAAATGCTTACTATATTTTTTATTTCTATTAATACTTCAAACTTCGGAAGTTGAAATTGACAGATCATCAAGAACCTCACTCTAGATTGATGGGGTATAACTAAATATTCAAATACCGAAAAATTTGGAACAAGATATAAAAAAAGGTTTACTTATCAAAGAAATTGAATAATTTGACCATGCGACTCATGACGTCACCTCACTTGCTGCTATCATATAATCTTAGCCAGCTAGACATTGCAAGGAACGTTGAGCCATAAATGATCGTTAGGAGTGATATAAATTCTTTGCAAAGAACTGTACCGTTGGGTGTTTCCAATAAGCTGCAAAAGCAATACTTGGCAATTTGTTCTCATCAACTGCATTGACATCAGCTCCATTATCTAGCAATACCGACACAGCATCATCATTACCTATAACCGAGGCAATGTGCAGTGGACACTTCATGTGGTTATCTGTGCGATTCACAAGACCCTTGTTTTCTTGCAGCAAACGTTGGATGACAGCAATATCACAAGGCAGTTTTCGTAAATTCTTAAATAATTCTTTAACATGGTTATCATTAATATCGTCATCACTATCGTATTCCAGTTTAATTCTTCTATATTTTGAGCGATCTTCCACCATCTTCGTTTCACATATTGGCGAATTATCTTTGTCTTTCAGCGCAGCACCGTGAAAATGACTACTAGAATGTCTAAGATTCTCAAGGCAAATTTTAAACTCCACCTCAACCTGATTGTGGCGCTCTTCAGTCTCAGATTCAGAACTGTACACAATAAATTCTTTATCTGAATCTCGGAAAGCCAGCTCGTCATCATTCTCTTGATCATTGATGCCAAAAATTTGAATATCGTCGTCTAGTTGTTCCTCTATATCCGAAGAAACCTCATTCTCAATCTCCCTTTCTAAAAATCGCCTTCTGTCTAATGGTAATTTTGAAGTTGCAATCTCTCGGATCTTCTTGTAACCAGCAGCAGCTTTCTGTAGTTTTTCTTTATTCATATTTCTTCTTCGCGGAAGCAATTTAACCTCCCCTTCAGACTTCTTCCCATTTTCGTCATCGTCTGAATCTGATCTCAAAATCAAGCTTTCATTCCTTTCTTTTTTGATAGAAACATTCAATTCGATGTCACTTGATTCTCCACTGCTCTCGGAATCTTCGATTCTCAAATTTTTGTTCCCAATAATCCGGGCATGGCTTTCATCACTGCTCTCTTCATCGGCGCTACTGCTTGATGAAACTTTGTGCTTCTTCCGTCTTTTCTTTAATTTTACCCTAGGCCTTTTTTTCGGGGTCTCATCTGCCGATTCATCAGGTTCGCTCTCTTCAACATCGTCATCCGCAACAACAAAGTCTTCTTCCCCTTCACTTGCAAATGGATCAAGTCGGTCAGCATTGTATGTTGATCGTCTAGAAGATTTAATAATGCTATGAAACCTCTAATCAAAGGACACTTACCAAAACTTAATTGTCATCTTGGAAAGGAGAATAGCATGCTAACAAATTAAATTCTTATCATGAAACATAAAAGCTGAATGATTTAGTCTGAAATTTTAAAGAGCATTTTATTGCAAAAGCAAATTGCAAAATTTTTGGTCTTCAAAACAAGGACATGCTTCTCACTGTAAATTATTAAGGGAGACAAATTATTCCAGACCAAATAACCTTTTTACTCCATGCCATGTAGCTGCCAAACATGGCAACTATGCTGCTTCCAATGGTACACTTCCCATCAGACAGCTGATTCATATTCCCTGCCAGGCATTTATAACATGTAGACATCCCTTTTTCACCTACATTTTAAGTAAGTTCCTATCATAATTTTGCTGCACAAGGCTGGATAGCCAAACTATAAAAACATCCACCACTGACAATAAATTTAGAAATATTTTTATATGTTTTCTAATTTTATCTCAACACAAGCTTACTCTTTGAAAAAATTGTTGACTTGCACATATGGCTTCAAAATTTTCCTTCTGCAAATATCAAACTTTTCTGGTGATGACAGTGAAGATTGAGTGTTGGAGGTCATTTCCTTTCTACCTGGTAACCTCAATGTCCCTTTCAATTCAATTTTCTTTCTTAATCTAGCAGAGCTTCTTGTATTTGTTCCATTTTCCTGCAGATACACTTCTGTTGGTGTTTTTAGCTGATCTTCTTCAGATGAAACCTCATAATTTTCTACAAGCTTGGAAGTATTTTTCGTCTTTCTTCTCTTTCTACACTTCTTTTCATATTTCCGTCTATCTTTAGTCTTTCCATCACTACTTTCAATTTTGTCATTATCATCATCTGAATCAATAATCTTTGTCTTATTACTTCTTGTAAGCCTCAAACCACATTTTTTTGGGATATCACTGTGAAATTCATTTTCAGAAGAGCTATCCTCATCAAATATCAGTTTCTTTCTACTGCATGAGCGTCTTCTTTTAACAATATTATCTGTATCATCTTCATCCATTGGCTTTTTTGAATAACCTTCATGTATCTGTTGAAAAAAAACTGTGCTGTTGACAATGAGCTTATCTATAATAAAGAATAACAATATCATTCTCGCTTGCTAACATGGTTTATTATGATTTCTGTGTATTGGTGTACAAGCTATGGACATGGACATATAAAATATTATAGCCAAAAACAATAAATGATTGATTGAAAACAATTATATAGCCTAATTCTCAAAGACCTCAGAAAAATACACATTTTCAGAACATTTGCAATTGCCACATTGCTACTACTTGTAAATAAAAATGGATCAACTAACAAAGATCTTCCTGTATAAGGCTATCCAGATGATTTTACTCCAACATATATTTAGTGGAAAGGGCTCTGAATAGCACTTCATGGGCCAGCAAAACTGGATGGTACTTTTTATATTCTATTATTCATTTTCCAAAAGTACTTAAAATATAATTCACCTAATTTCTGTTTGAAAACTTCTTGTATCGAGTATGATTCCTTTACTTGCTTGATTTTTTCTATAAATGCTTTATATCATCTTCATATTGCCTACCTGGAACCAACAGAGTAGGATTTGCAACCAATTGGCAAATTTGTTATGGCCAGGTCTCCAGCTACTTGCTGGATTATTAGGAAGTTTCAATCATTCATAGAGCAAGTTTATATCCAAAAGCATAAGTAACAGTAACAAATCATCAAAACTACCAAGAAAGTTTACAAATCTTAAAATTTTTTGGAAGAGTGCTTTTGCCCTGAAATAGCTAACAACAAGACTCAGTTGAATTGAGTGATAAAGCTTTGAAATGGATTTGTTTTGACAAATGCATGATTTATTAATTATTTGTAGCCACTCATTGAAGATTGACATATTCATTTCTGCTTTATAAATAGATGGGCTAGAAATCTTGAATATGCTTGTACCTATGCTCCTATGACAGACTTCTTGATATTGCTATACCATCCAACTCACGATATCAACTAAGTCATTAATCTCATATTACAACCATTTATATCTGAGCATTGCTGTTTGCAGCTCAAATGACTTTGTAGGTAGGTTGGAGTTCATCTTTCCATGTTTTCCAACCTGTGCTAACAGGTACAGTTTCAAATACTTTTGGTAATAATCAAATTTTCAATCTCAGGCTGTTTAGGCTTTAACAGTTATTGATTTTAACACAATTAATAAACTTTGCTAAAGCAGCTGCTTAGAAGCTACAATACTTTGTATAATAGGACATTAATACGGTTGTCTTTAAGAGAAAATTGTAGCTATCCCCCCCCCCCCAAAAGAAAATATAAATAGAAACAAATTTTAGGTGCAAAATAATAATAGAAACCAATCTTATAGCAAAATATTCCAAAAAATTCTGTTGGTATTTACCACTGATATAAAAGGATATAATATATATATAACATAGCAAACATACCATAAATCCTTGAATTGGTCCCCCCCCCCAAAAAAGCCCCCCCTCTCAAGTAAGCCCCAACCCTAGAACAATAATTTGTCAATAAGCCCCCTTTGAATAAGTCCCCACTGCTACCGTAAATTCTCGAATTGGACCCCTACATTTGATGATTGTTGCCATCTGATCTTAGGTTACCTATATGGCGTTTTATTGAATTACCACAACAAATTCATACTTTTGGTTGTAATTGATTAAATGCTCATGAAGAAATTCATACCAAAATAAAAGGGGTTTTTTAATAATGTCTTCTTAATGTCTACAATAATTTTATAAGCCCCCTTCGTATAAGCCACCCCCTCCAATAGGCCTCCATTCAAAAATATCAAAAATAAATTAGACTCCATGTGGTATTGGCTCGTAGATAAAAATTCAAATTACAGCTAGGTTTGTCTTGCGAATACATATGTTTACAAGGTTTTAAGATAGGACGAAACGATAGGTTGTTGTTGTCCAAATATTATGTCAGAAAATTTTTCCCGCAAATTCAGATACAACGAGGAGCAGAAACATTCGATTAAAAGTAAAAAAAGATGACTTTTGCTGTTACAATCTCATAAATGCTCAAAAAATAACCTTGCATAAAATGATATAGCAGCCAAAGCTAGAGATTCATGTAACCTTTTATTGTATCCACGCCAGGCTCGTCGCAATGTTTACATAACCTCATCTGCGAGTCAGATTTATCAATCTCGTTTTGAAGTTCCTTTCTGGCCAACTTAATTTCAAAATGTCGTCAATTGTTCGCTTGATCCAGGAGCAATTTAATGCTATTAAATCGGTGGGTGGATACAAGAATGCCTTTCGACGACTGCTTCGGGAAGGCAATGTGAGGACAGGCATTCTAGTAGGCACAGATAAGTATGGAAATAAGTACTTCGAGAATAATAACTATATGTTTTCAAGGAACCGCTTTGTGGAATATCCGTATGCGGGAAGACTGGAGTTCGATGCAACTCAAATACCCCCAGAATGGCACCGATGGATGCAGTTTATGACTGACGATCCACCATCTAAAGTTCCTCCACCAAAATCAAAGTTTGACAAAGATCGTGAATTGAATTTATCTGGCAGTGCAAAAGAATATGTACCATACAGTACAACAAGGCCAAAATTACATGCATGGACTCCCCCAAAGATATAGGCCTATCGATAACCAGAGAACAAGAGCTAGTAACGCTTTGAAATCCGTGAGGCTGCTGTTTTTCTAAAGAACTTTTCATTTTTATTCGAAAACGTTTGTGTGTTGAATGGAATAAATCAAATTGTCTTACTGAATAGTTGAATAGTAATTGAGTTATCTTACTGAATAGTTACTTTTCTGTTTTGTTACAGTTTGGGTTGTATATTTTGGCCCTTTTGTGAAGAAAAAACATGATTCTCAAACAGCAAATATAGTTTATATGCTCTTTAATGTCCTTTCTGCTTTTTATCAATGTTTCAGATTGCAGAGTAAGGCAGATACATATTACTTCAGATGCAAATCTTTTTTAAACATCATAATGATCCTTAAAATAGTTTATTAGCAGTGAAAAACGTTGTTGTAACAATCCCTGGGCACTGTCTGTGAAAACTCTATCCCTATAAAGGATAAAGCAGTAGTATTTTTTGAATAATCAGGGCTCAGTCTGCCCTACCACCCTTGGCAAGCATGGTTGGAAACTTTTTCTAGTGCAAGATCTCAACAAGGAATGCTATACTCTTCACACTGGAGGGTGATAGAGACTTAAAGCTCTTATAGCATAGGGTCAGCTTCTATAGCATAGGATCATATAAGATTCTAAGTAAGGATCCTGTAGGACCCATGCGACTTAAGGTTTTACAAAAGATCCTGCCAATAATTATGGGGTTGTTTTTTGGCAGTAAAGAACTTGAAAATGGCTTGAAAAAAGGCAAACATTCTTTAACATATTGGCCAAAAGCTTTTCACCTGATACTCCTCAGAGTATAAAACATGAGAATAAGGGTCCAAAAGAACATTATGAAAAATATATACCCAGTTGTGGATCGAAATAGGCCATAAACAATTGGAACTTTTTTTGTTGGTAGAAATGCAATCCTTTTGAATGGATGGAAGGGCTCTCCTATTGCTGTAAACAAAACGGGGATTGACAGCAAAGAAACATTTGGTGATGGCTTGCTTAATCTGACTCTCAAATTATGGGGTTCCACAGTAGGATCTTGAACAGGATATTGCTAAGATCAAAATTGACATGACAGATTAAACTTGATTAACATCTTGCACATAATGATTCCAGTGACAGGTATCTTGTGAGGATCTAACATGCAATTGTAGATTAAACCTTTTCAACCAACCACTTCAAAGGGAACTGGGTTGAGATTTGGGGTGAAAGACCATGTATGTTGTATTGTGATTCCTTAGGTTTATGTTTTGCAAATGAGAAAAAGTCAAAAGTGACAAAGTAACTTAAAAACTTTGACTGTTAACACTGATCTATTTCAGTAGCTTTTAACAAATGTTCTTTCTTGATGAACTGCCAGTGCTTCGATTTAATTCAGGAAAAGGAACCAAACTTTGGTCTTTCATAAAGAATAAACCCTAGGAATCACAACACAACATGCGCAGTCCTTCAACCCAAATCTTGACCCAGTTCCCTTTTACCTGGTTAGTTGAAAAGGTATATTGATTTTGCCAGGATCCTGTATAATCGCTACCTGGAAACGTTTTTTAGACGGCAAAAAAATTGTTCTTTTATCTAATGGACTGGTATATCTTATCTTCAATTTATTCAAAATTGGGTTTTGATGTTACTGAAAACAAAACCACTATTCAAACCTGTTTTCAGATGTAAATGGAAACAATACAACACACAACAAAATCTTACCCCATAGTACAATCTGGAAAAATAACTGTCTGATTTTGCACCAAAATGACTACTGAGAAAACCCACCTTATAAACTGGTGCATGATGCATCCTCTAGTTTTTCTCTGGTTGCAAAGAGTCCTCTAGATTTGTTAGAAAGCCCTTTAAATTGCCCAAATTAGTTACACAATCTTCAGCTGTCAAAATACAACAAACCTCGGATGTCAGAGAACATTTTCGAGCTAGGTTGGGGTCTAGACAAGTTTGCAAACTTTTGTGGTGGTTTGTCACCGTTATCTTTAGCACATCAACCTTAATATCACACTAAAGCAAAAATGTAGGAAGGTTATGGCCCCCTCCCCCTTACTCTGGCATGCTTGCAAAGTTCATGATAATCTGTAGTATGAATTGTTTTCCGGTAAAAACTTCACCTTTTCTTTAATGCTCCCTGAAAAGATTATAAAGTCTATCAGCATTTACTGAGGACATCAAAATTATGGTTTGAATATTCTTTCTTCAACTTGTAAGAAATTTGAACAGAAATTGCTTGTGATGGTTCTTCCACATAATGCAAAATCTCTGAGGCCGAGTCGTTATTACTGTCCATTGGATCAGATAGCGATTACAAATCATTTGTGAGTAATTATACCTCTGAGACCATGGGACTTCTTCAGCAAGGAGGTCGTGGAAATCCTTCATAAACAAAGACATGTTTATCAAGTTGGGTTTCTGTGACTACTTATTTGTAGAGTGAAATGAATGCAAATTGTGTTTTATTGTCATTCTGTGCAACTTTTCACATTATGCCTTCTATTAAATGTTTCCTCCTCTTCCCCAAATTGCGACTATGGTTTTCTCTTTGTATGACTACCTAATTATAGCTTCATAAAAACCTTGGAATATGCACCCAAGGATCCTAATTAAATTCGTAATCAAATTCGTTCAGTTCAAATAGTGGTGGAAATTGCTGGAGTGTTAAGGGTGGCAAGTTTTCCTCTGTATTGAAATTTTCAAAGCTGTAAAAAGGTTAAATCCTGAATTCATGCAAAATATTTTCGAACTAAGGACCTGATCAATCCTCACGTCGTCTACAAGATTCGCAGCACTACAGGGCCAACCAAACAACTTTCGGTATAAACAGCCTCAGGTCTCTGGGACCACAAATTTGAAATGGCTTACCACAAGAACGAAATAAGATCTGCAAAAAATCTGATCCAATTCAAAAGATTAATTAAATACTGCGACGGGACAACCTGTACATGCAACGTATGCAAAACTTAAAAACTATTATATTGTAAATTTGTATTTAAAAACTATTAAAAATTGTTGATTCAATATGTAAATTTTGTAAATAATCGAATAAGACAAGTTACGGTATTATAGCTTAAAATTATATGTATTCGATTTAAAAGAAGATCACAACAACAACAGCCACCACCCCCAGTTCTTACTGAGTTGTTGGTTCAAACCATAGTCAAACACAGTTTTCAGTTAGCGCTGTTGTCAGTAAATTTTGTTATTTGTGTCTGCAAATTTGCTGGCTTTCATTGATTTTGCTTCCTCGCCTGGAAAACGAATTTCCACCACTGAATTCAAAACAACTTATCAAGACTATTTTCAAGTCTTTTTAATGTTCCTTATAATATCTGTGAAGCCCCTTAAATCCTTTATGGCTTTATCCATTCAATTCGGTTTGGATATTGGATATTTTGTATGTATGCAGACATAGGGGGTTATCTGTCATTTAGAAACATAACTAATTTTTGATTTGATAAGAATAATCTACTGTTGCGAAACAGCGTTGAATGACGTTTTTCCATGTGACTTGACATCTGTGTGAAATACCTGCTGCAATCATGGCACTGTTTACTTTCATAGATTTGCTCATTGTCATGTGAAGCAAGCATGGATGAAACCAAAGCCGTCGTTAACTACACTCTTTTTTATAAGAACCAATAAATTTAAGTTCAGGCTGACTGTTTTCAATTTTTTCGAAAATCTGAGGCTGGATTGTTCTTAATTTGTTCTTAAATTAAGAGGGTGTAAGCAGCTAGCTTTTTCGCTCTAAGGAGGTGTTCAGACCTCATTTGCCAACAAAGTGAGTGAGATAGCCTTAATTTGTTGACAAATTTGAATATTCACCGAAAAAGCACCCACACATCGCTAAGATTTCTCAATTGTGAGAAAAAACGTTGTTCAAAATTGCATTTTGCAGAAGCTCAGCCTCAGCTTGTTCTTAATTTGTTATTAACTTTTGACCAGTTTTGAGGCTGGTGTTCTTAAAAAATTGTTCTTGTAGAAAAAAAGTGTATTAAATTTAAGGGATGTGTCAAGGACGGTGGTTAATTAAGTGCTATCAAAATAACAAGGGATCTCTTGCAAAAAATGTTGCAAAAAATAGTAGCAACAAGGGGATCTCAAGCCCCCCTAGCAATACCCCTGGTCAAGGATAGCCACTTATCATGTGAGCTATGTTGTAGCTGCCAGCGAGGCGTTGAGAAAGGAAGGGTCTAAAAGGGGGGGGGCTAAAAACCGAATAAAAAGAGGCTTTACATCAGGCACCGCGGAGCAGGAGGGGCTGAGGGAGCTTTAGCCACTTTTTGCAAAAAATGCCAAATATTTAGTACTAAACTACCAGTAAAGCCTTTTTTATAAGGTTTTAGCCCCCCCACTTTTCTAGACCCCCACTTTTCTCAACGCTCCGCGGTGCCTGTTACTGATGGTTCTTTTCTCAATATTCTGCATTTTTTGTAAAATGTTGGGGGGATGGGCTAAAGACCGTGCAACCTTTTCAGATATCGTATTGGCCGGAATATCAAGGTAGACTGCTTTTGAAATTTTTTCTTTTTGACAAAGCTACGGCCCTCCCTGAAACCCGTATATAATACCATCACTCCCAATGTATTCGAATTTCGTCTTCTAGGAAGTGTAAATTTATCCTTCTCGACCCAGCATGACGATAGCACCGGTTACAATTATGAATGAAGCGAATCGTTTGACCCGCGCATTCTTTTTGACCCGCAAATATCCTCATTTGCTGCGCACTGCCTGTGTTGATTTGGTGACGTAAATCGACGTCGAAGCTGTCATTTGAAATGGAAGATAATTCCGAACAAAGCCGGGCATTATTTAAGCGATTTTACTACAATGGTAGTTCCGTGTTGCCAGAGATTCTTGGTTTTGTTTTGAAAATACGCCTATATTTGTGACGCTTATAGTACGAGGGAGATTCTCGATCAAGTACACTTAGAGCCTGTCAAAGTCGCCGTTTAGAGCCACCAGAGAATTAGCCGCTCTATTCTTCGTTTTCTTTGAACAAGAATTTCACGACAGTGGATTTCAGCTTTTAATATGACAGAGTGAATTTCATCTTTACATATGACAGGAAAAACCACGTTTTACAGAAGGATGATGAAAGTTATTTTTGTGCTGATCGTACTTTTACTTCGGATTGAGCTGGCAAAGGTCAAATCACAAGGAGTTATTGATGATCAAGGAAAATTGACTGGATATTCATGTGAAAAAACACAGCCTGTTACTGAGAAATTAACTACAGATGAGCTTTGGCTCAAGTCTGCACAGCTTATTGCATTTTGTATTGATGAGGTTGGTTTAATACTGTTTTGTTTTCCTATTTTCTGATCGGGTTATACCAGAGACGTATAGGACGACCCTCGACACGGACTCGCAAAGATTTGGGATTATGTACGGTACATAATTTGGGATTTTAAGAGAGAAGCAAAATGGAGGGATTGTTGTAATGATAATTCAGGTAAAAATTACTGCAATTAAAAACAATTCAATCATTGGCTTGAGGAAACAGGAAACGATTTGGTATAAGTGTACTGACCATTCTTTATTTTATCTTGCCATTACTAGTAGTCGGTGCTTACCATTTCTAACATAGAGGGGGAGGAAATAAAAACAGAACTTACAGACCACGATGAAAGGAAGTTTTCTTCCTAATTTACAACTATCAGGCAAAATTTACCGGATTTTACAGACGGATGTGTGAATTCCATGTAGCTTACGCCGGAGATATCCGGCCTCAACTAACGATTTCCCGTTGTATTCCTATTGTTTATTAGCGTATATCCGGCGTCAGCTGTACGTTGATTCCGCCCAGGAGTTTTAATAACAGAAAACTTTGGGTGTTTCATACCCCGATCCCACTGCAAATCGCATTTTCTGTCTTTGCTGCAACTTGCTTTTTTTCAAAAGGTGATTAATGGATGTAAACAATGAGGTGATTGGATAGCTGTAACATAAATGAGTTATATTGTCTTGTATAATTAATATACGAGTTAGATTAGTCCTTTTGATTATATATTTTAGAAAGATGAGTCATTACCAACAAATTATTCTCGTTCTAGTTTCAGTTAAGCCAAATGGCAAAGAGTAGCAGAAGTTCGAGTAAAAGTTACAATCAGAATCGATTCAACATAGCAAATCGACTACAGTTAGCAAATGGTCTGAAAATCGTTCTATTGTGATTAAAACGACAGCTGGACAAACTACAATGTTTATTGTTTAAGTCCAATTTTTGACAATTGATATTGTTAATCAAACTACGATTGAGCCATTTCTTTCCACGCTACGGAGAACGGTTGCCAAAAAGTTTCGATTTCAAAATATAGTGTTTTGAAACAACCTCATACTTTTGCATCTTCAGTTGCCTAAACTCTCACTTTTTTGTGATAAGGGGCGTCATGGTATGGGTACATTGGGATGTGGAGATATCGTGGGTGTATTCGGACATTAAAGCCAGTAATTTATTGCTTTTGTCACTAGCATAAACGGAAAGTTATGCTCTATGTTATTTGAAAATGGCTTTGAAAAAAGCAAACATTTTACAACATACTAAAAGCTTTTTCGCCTTTTTCGTCTTTAGTATGTTGTAAAATGTTTGCTTTTTTCAAAGCCATTTTCAAATTCTGTACCGCAAAAAATTGTCTATGTTATTTGCTCAATGCTTTATATCTTCTTAACATGCTTTGTATGTTTCTTATGAAATACCGAGAATGCGCCAAAAGCCGTACATAAAATGGTCACACAATTTTTCAAAAGTAGGGTATTTTTTATCTTAGAGATGTTATCTTTTAATGAAAAGCTTGGCCTATCCCTTTCAAAGAGCACTGTTGAAAAACGAGTTCTGATACTGGAATATGACAATTTGTAATGTCAAACTTGAATCTTGAATAAAGTGGTTCAAAATGAATTTCGAATGCAATATCTATTGCGGGAGCTTTTATTTTGTTCCTATTAATATTTTTTATCTTGCTTTGGCCTTCAAGATCCCTAGTTAAGCCAGTTTCTATTTCTAAATTTCTAAACGCGCGAAAGGCAACAGTCCTAAAGTCTGAAATATGTCGCCAAAGATTCCATACACCAATTCGGCTTACAGCCTCGTTTTGGAAAATTTCTCCAAACTTCATTATACGACCTTTTTAAGCACAAATTTGGTTTTATCATTATAATTCTAGGTTGGGAACGATTTTTCATATTGTTTCTGCTTGTATTTAAGATTTTTACGGAGAAATATAATTTGAAAACTTGCAAGGGTTTGGACCGCAAAATCATTCTGGGGGAAACTCTACCCCCTAGTCGCCAAACGCGGTCAAATCCTTATGTCATCATAATATCAATATTGTGAGCACTACCATAACGAAAACTTCTAAATATACTAAGATCCTTGCTCTCGACCCGAGGTCAAAAATTTTGTACAGAAGAATTTGAGGAATTTTTCGAAAGGAGGCTGTAATTTGAATTGGTGTATTGGCTTATGCTGCCGGACCTGTATTTGTATTTGTATTTGAAATTGTTTTCTGGATCCCTAGTTTCCGTGTTCAGTTAAGATCAAAGGTACTACTTTTTCCTTCATCGACGCCTCCATCTGTTTGACACTGTATATGAAATCTTATCGGATAATTATCTGAATCCTTATTTCGTTTCAGTCGTTTGTTGGATTTGTAATATTCACCCACCCCCACAATTTCGTAACATTTCTGTAAATCAATGCCAATACATAAACGCAGATTGTTTGAAAAGCAAATACGTGGTTGTCATGCTTAAGGATAGAATTTGTCCGTATTGTGCTAGCGGCCGATCAGCAAAGTTAATTTGCGTAGAGAACTCTTTGAAAACAAAAAGGCAATTTTGTCCTCTTTGAGATCAATTTTCAAATGGCTTTACAAAATCAGTACACTCCTAATAATTCTAACTTTAGCAGAAACATTTTTGAATTATGAAATTTCAAACTATAGAAGTTTCATTCTAAACTAGCATGATCAAGGAAAAAGTAAGAAGTGTACCATATAATCGTTAGAAGAACAGATAGTGCCAAATCTACCAAATCAGTCAATCTCTTATAGTGAAAGCCTTAATTTTCTTAAATAATTGATTTTGTTTGACTTGATTCATGAATTTTAGAACCGAATGGATAGGGCAAGTGTTTTTTCTCTTGCCGCTATATCTCAGCAAACGTAGAATGATGCAAATTTGCAACATACGATAATGACCATACATCAATGCACGTTGGTATTTTCGGAACAGGATGGTTGTGTGCTTATCTTGCATCCCCCTCCCCCCCCCCCCCTGGTCACGATAATCAACTTAATCGCGTACTTTGATTCAAATCACTGTTTAAATAGCAGTTGGAATTCGATTTTTGCCCGTACATCGTATTATCATTTTATGCGCTTTTTGAAAGCGAATTTCAGAATTTAGGCTGCATTTGTTTTTAATCTTTGGTTTGTTACGATATGTGAGTAAATACAGAAGCGCCGGAGCAACTTTGGAGCGCGGGAGAGGAGGGGGCTCTAGACAAGTTTGCAAACCTGAATGGTAGTTTGCCACCATTATCTTCAGTGCCATATCCTTGATACAATACTCTAGCAAAGAGGTGGGGGGGGGGGGCTACAGCACTCAATGCCCCCGGCTTCGGCGTGCCTGAAACATTTTAGAAAAATTGTTCAACCGTTTGAGAAAAAAAGGGGCTTTGAGAAAAGCAGACATGTTGAAACATACTGACGCTTTTCTTCTGACACTCTTCAAGGCGACAGAACAAAGATCGAAAACTTTAAACTACGTAAAGAATAAAATGGGCCAATACTTTCTCTAAAACATTTCTTTTTGGTTTCGAAAATATATAGCTTTTGGATTTAAAAATTGTTGAGGGATATGTGCTTTAACATGGAAGTTATGTTTTGTATCTAATTGAGAATGAGCTGTTTTCTTACAAGGTTTTTTTCTTTTTCAGTTCGGTACATCTCCAGATGGTCTAGACCAATTATGCCTTACTGGCAACTGCACATCGGTAAGATCAGTATGCTTGTTTGATATCTTTTGGTCTCTTTTTTGCTTAACGTTGGAACCCTAGTTTAAATAAACTAAAAATCAGGGGATACATTTTGCAAATTATGATTAACTAATCTAGCTAAACAAAGTTAAAACCACGTTAAAACCTCTGGGAAGAACCTTGTTGGTAACTTACTGATATTTCAATGTTGGGGTCATTCGGCCCAATGTTTTATAATGCTGAGCGCTGCTCAGACCGTGAGCCCTGTTAGATATACCTGCTCATTGCTCTATATGATGTTGAGCGTTGCTTAGTGAAATTCGAATGTACTGATCAGTCATATGTTCAATTCTTTTTGCCGGGGCTTGGTTTTTTGTGAACAGAAGAAGAAGAAAAATAGAAGGAAAGGGATTTTCCTTCGCCCCCTGTCGTCTCCTCCGCAGTCTACATACCGTAAATCCTCGAATTGGCCCCCCCGAAAAGCCCCCCCCTTCGAATAAGCCCCCACCCTAGAACTACAAATTGTCAAAAGCCCCCCACCCCCTCTCGATTAAGCCCCCACTGCTATTGTAAATTCTCGAATTGGACCCCTCCATTTGATAATTTTTGCCATCTGAGGTTGCCTATGGCGTTTTATTGAATTACTACAACAAATGCATACTTTTGGTAATAATTAATTAAATGTTAATAAAGAAATTCCTACTTAAATAAACGAGGTCTTTTAATGATGTCTTTTTAATGTCGACAATAATTTTTACGCCCTCCTCGTATAAGCCCCCCCCCCCCCCTCGAATAAACCCCTATCCAAAAATACCAAAAATAAATAAGCCCCCAGGGGGCTAATCGCAATAGTTCGAATGCCTTTCGGAGTTAACAAAAAATAGACTTTAGGAAAGTCAAGTAAACGGTCTGTGCCACCTATGTACAATGGAAAGACATTTTTTCGTTGAGGAGAATCGTTTATATTGTGCACTTTTCAGGCCGGTCAATATTATGTCGTTTACTTCTTTGTAATTAACTCGCATCATAACAAACAGTCACGTTTGTAATAGACACTTGTTTTCTAAAGATATGAAGCCGCAGATTGAAAGAAAAGTTAATGTTTTCGACAACTTTGTTCCTTGATATTGATAAGGTCGTTAAGTGAAAATGATAGGTTTACAAATCTGAATGAATCTTTTGTGAGTGCATCATTGATATATCTACTGACATTGATGGGCGCCTGATTGAAATCTTGCGGACTTGCCTAAGTTCCTTTCTCTCCAGATCAGCAAACCGCAAGAAGGTGCAAAGGAAATGGGAAATGGGGAAAAGGAGCATTTTCCGGCCTCCCAATGGATAAGGACCCCCAATCGCTCAACTCACCTTTGCCTCCAAAATCTTTTCATCTTGGCTACGCTACTGAGAGCGAGTATGAAGAAAATGGAAGATGTTTAAAGGAGAGGAAGAAATATCATTCTCTCTCCTTACGGATTGACTTTGGACTTTCTCGACTCTTCATTGCGGCGTTTGTTCATCAAAAGTGAGACGTGCAAAGTCCAGACTTTCTGGAGTTGGAAAGACGGGACCCCTGACCGCCCTCCCCTTGAATAAGCTCAACGGCAGCCCTCTCCCCCTCTAATATAGAACTTTTTCCTGACTAAAAACTACATTTAAGACATTGATCTGACGTTGTTCATTTTTTGTTGTCATGTCATTTAATGTTTGGAAATCACCCTATATATAGGCTACTATTAGGTTTCTTCAAAATGTACTCCCAGTCAGTGAGTTGTTATTTGAACAATTTTTTGCGGTACAAAATTTGAAAATGGCTTTGAAAAAGCAAACATTTACGACATACTTAAAGCTTTTTCGTCTGACACTCCTCAGAGCATAAAACGTCAGAATAGGTTCCGAAAAACATGTTTGAAAAATATATACCCAGTTGTGGATCGAAATAAGCCAATCAGAAAAACGCAAGCACAAGACCGGTATAGTTGACCAATCAGTGCCGCGAGCCTAAAGAAAAATTACCACTGGAGTCCAAGAGAGAAAACGAACTCCTTCTGTCTACTCAATGGCGGCTTTTTCGTTTGTATGTTATTTCTTGGAAACTTTGATTTCCTGTGAGTGACAAGATCATCGTGTGAGGATTCTAAGTAAGACGTGACAAGAGTAACAAGATGTGCTTGAAGATGTGGTTGGTTTTTTGTTTTTATCGATGCTTCACCTTTCATTGGCAGGCTTTCTATATCTGTTCTGACCTTTATGTACTTTCTGACCGTGTTATTAGCCGTTTACTATGAGCCATCAATTCACTATAGACACAAGAGTGGAAATAAGTTTAAATATTGCATGTAGTATTTATTGGAACAATCCAACTCCATTCATCCTGCAGCGCTCATTCAACGTGTCATTATCTAAACTTGTTCTGATAATGTTTGCAGATGTTTCCAAATATTTGACTCAATTTGCGTTCAGGACCTTTTTGCAAAAAATCATGTTTACCCGCTTTCTGAAATCGACATTTCAAATGTAAAGTTTGTAGAAAATATTGAATTATTACCCGAGCAGTAATTGGCAAAATGTTTTGAAATTTCGTGGTCATTTTCTGCAAAGGGGGAATCATCCCTAAAATGTGTATGAGATTTCGAGATTTCGAGATGCTGATGCAAGAGATTTCGGATTTTTAAGTAGATTTCGGGATTATAGGTAAAGGTTTTTACATTTCGTTGTTAAAATCAGGATTTTAATAATTTTAGTCTTTTAAATGAAAATTCTGCAAGTTAGGAAGTTGATTATGATAACTATAATTTTCAGGTGACAATTTGTTACCGAACAGTGTACTGTAAAAGGTTGGTACTTTGTGCAATAGTATTTTTCAGAACATATACACAAAACAAAACGAATTGCTAGCAATGATGAAACTGCTGCTTTAAAGTGGTTACCATCATAATTCGAATTTGGTATTGGTGTTAGAATTTTTAAGAATTTCTTAATTTCGACCACATAATCTGAAAAACGGCATAAAATACTTCTAAACATCTAAATATGTTCAAAATTTGGCGAGATTTTGCCAATAACAGATTACTGGTATTCTGGACTGGTTCATAAAGTTATCAACTAAGACCAAATTAAAGAGGTTTGAAGAGAAAAAGCCTGTGCCCATCTGGCCATATCTCAGCCAATTGGAAAAAACTTCCAGCTGATTGTGGTCAAAATTCAAAATTTGTGAAAATAGATTTTGTGACGTCATCACTTTAGTACTCTATTCTTTGGTTTTTTAATGTCTGAGAAAGGATCTAAAACCCGGAAACGCAAGATCAAAGAAATAAAGCCCTCAAATTAACTTTATAAAAGTACAATTTTTGCGGGCAAAGGGTGTGGTTGAAGCATATAATATCACAGGATTTGAACTTTGATACGTGTTTAAAAATCCACCATAGGTCATTCAGTCTTGGGCTATGTTGGAACTTGTTTTGCTAAAATTTGGTTCAATTTTGAGTTTGAAGAACCGAAAGCACGTGCTATCTTCATATCGAGGCTCAGAATCAGATCGAAGCTGGCTATTTTTTGCATGCAAGCAGAATTTTGATTCATAAAATGCAAAGATTTGTGTCGATGATTCGTTTCACGTAAGCTTAGGATATTCCAGAATTTGACATAATTTTTCAGCCACAGCCAAAAAATTTTGAGTTACAGGATTTCTATTCTAGATTTCAAAATTTTTTTTCTAGAATTGAAGATATTTTAACTATTTCAGGTTTTTGGTAAGATTTCTTAGATGTTATGATTTATTTTAAAGATTTTGAGATCTCATCTTTTTCTAAGTGATTTTAGAGATTTTTTTGGTAATTTATGAAAGGTATACAAGAATGTTTAGGAGTTATTGGGAACTTGAATTTATATTGGAATCGTTCAATTTGTATTAACTTCAGTAAAACTCCCACATTAGAACCATCTTTCTCCAACATCTGTAGGCTAAATTGTAAGCAGGGTTATTAGACGCTTGGAATGGTTGGCGGCCAAACATTTTACGCTTGACGGCCAAATTCAGCCAGCCAAAAAAATACAAAAAAGAAACATTTTAGTTAATTCTTTGCAGTAATTGTTTAATCAAAATTTATTTTGTTTGTTACAAAAGCTCCAAATTTCTTTCAATTTCAATTTTCTGTCATTTTTTTCTTTGTTTCTTGCTTCGTTATTTGCAGTTTTGAGATTATTTTAACAAAATGTTGGATATTTTCTGTGCAAAAATGGTTATTTCCTTTGTATTTTTGTGGCTGTTAACAAGCGGCCAAAATCGGGCCAACTTTAGTCTTTTTGGCCAAATCAATTTTCGACGTCAACAGCTTTCAAAAACAGGCAGAATAGATGAATATCTTTTATTTTGTTTAGATATAAGTATAATTTGCTCCATTAGAAAACAAGGATTTGAAATAACTCAAAATGATGACATGCTGAAAAACTTAAAGTGCATTTAGAGATCATTAACATAACAGGACCATAATTCTAAAAAGTTGAAAATACTTATTGATTAAAACCCCCTTTCGACTATATGTGTTTTCTTATGTAGTTCGGACAGCTATACTTTTAGATTCCGTCCAAACCAGATGCAGAACCAACCAAAACAAGCGATCGATGAATTGCTATTCATATGAAGTTAATATGGACTCTTTCAATCTAAGGCCCTGTTCACATTTCCCCGGATTGCAATGAAAACGGATAAAAAAGTATCCGTTTTCAACTTGCGTTCTCACTGCTCCGCTGCGAAAACAGAGACTTTTGAAAACGCACTTTGAAAACGGAGACTTTTGAAAACGCAAAACGCAGTGTGAACACCGAAAACGGATACTTTTGAAAACGATAACAACAACAACAACAAAAACAACAACGCAAGATGCTTAGACCGCACCAATTTGAACAACTTTTCTTAACATGGCTGATTCACTCGAAATTAGTACACTACTTGGAGGAATATTAGTGGCAGTGAGTTTTTTGAAAAGTTTATTAGCAGTCGAATGCGGAGCAATGTGGACATAGCTTAAAAGGAAAGGGTCTAAAATATTTAGAAGAAAAGTATAAAGGATCCATCAGCCTTGCCACTCCCCATCATCAACCTCATTTATTAAGAGTGCATTCTTTATCATTATGTACACTAATTTGTTTTGTTTTAAATCTTGCAGTGCCTTAAAGTTTGTTCGATGAAGAAGTACAAAGATGAAAATAGCTGTTGGGGGCAATGTGTAAGTACTGATTTCCGAATCCACCGAAGATAAAATGAAAATTTATTTTTCTCCAAGAGTATCTAAGGCACTCTACTACGCATCTGTCATGTTAATGATAATGAAAATTGTTGAAAAGTTTTTACCAATAGGGCACTTGCAATTGCCACAAGTGAGGGAAATTCTAGCGCCTAATGGGTATTTCCTTACTAGTTTTTATGTGAAATAACCCTCTGTTGACAATGTATCCATCGTCCCATCAGTGCGGAAAGCAAAGATGGAAGCTTTTAAAAAACCCGGGCCTCATAAATGACTAAAGAATTTTTTATCGTGTCTGATGAAAAAGGATACAAGGGTTGAGATTTTCCACAAGTATTGTCTTTTCTTACGAAAGTTTTACATCTTTACTGATTCTGAGGACTGTCAAGTCCTTATTCACATGCCACCTCGACCGCGTGATATCTCGACCGCGTGATACCTCGATCGCATGATACCTCGATCGCATGACACCTCATTTTATATTAGTTTAGCTTTCTAGAGAATGAAAACAGCAGTTTGTCAGGCAGAGCCCTTCAATTTGCTCGATGATTTTCAGACACGCTAAGACGCTTTTTATATTAATGACAGAACACAATTTCAAAATTGTGTATGTATAAATTTTTTTTCGGCATTTCTTTGTTTACCAAAGCCTGACTTAACTTGCAACGATTGCAACCTTATGTATATTTATTTTCCAGAGAACGCAAAAAAGGATCCAAATTTAAAACAATATATTAATGAAGATATTTTGCTTCAACACCTTGTCGGATAGTTGGATACATTTACACCTTGTCGGTCAAATATCACAAACGTGCTAGTAGTCATGAAAAACCTTATCTTGAATATCAAATGAAAATCGGCCTTAAGTCAGTGCTATTAGAAAAATTGCTTTGTCCGGCGAATCAAAATCTTCGTCAAACCCTCTGCAGCTCACCATGTTTGTAATTACCTATTTTTGCTTGTCCTTTTTATTACACAATTCGTTGATCATTCTTCTGTTTGATCAATTATCAGGCTTTCATGCTGTCCTTTCTCAGTCTGAAAAGCCAAATATTTACTTCACAGTTTTAGAGTCTAAGATATTGCGAAGCCGTCATCTCAAGGGAATGCAGAATCAGGAGTCTTGTTTGCTTTGGAAATTACTTCTGAAATTGCTGCGTGCCTGTCATTTCCTCATCTCGGTGCTAATTATTCGAGTCCTTCCCTTCCTTTTCAAATCTTCCTGTATATCCATATTTGTAAACTTCCTTTGGTTTCTGAGAAAATGTAGGCCTAATCATACTTTTAAAAACAACTGGGAATTTTAAAACTTGAAACCCAAAACGAAAAACTTGTCTTTGTTTTCCTGTGAGCCCTTCACGCATGGCAAGTGCATTTTCCCTCTTTGTTAAACGAAATATGACCTTGTTTTGTTTCACAAATAACACGGCGTAATTTCCAACAATATTATTGTTTAGGAAAAGTTATCGAGATAGATATCTAAGTTCTAGAAGGTAACTTTACCATACTTCCCCATTGTTCACGTCTCCACACTCAACATTCGTTTCTTTAGATAAAAAATAAACCTGTCATTTCCTGCTCATTAAGACAAGAAATTTAACCTTACACAGCCAATCTACTTTTCCAACTTTTTCACAATTTTGATCTTTTTATCAAATCTAAGCACTCAAGTTGAAATTTTAATTTTGTAATGTTATTCGATTTGCTGTCATACATAAAGATATCTTTCAGGGTCCAACAAGTGTAGCCGCCTGCAAAGCTGGTTGCAGCTTTTACTTAAAAATTAATGGATATAACACTTCGGGTAAGAGTCTACAATTTTGTTTAATAATGTAGGAAATTTCGTTGCGGTTGTTAAAGTATTGTTCTCTTATTATCTGCTGTATTTATATGGAAACCAGGTCATGTTTTGTCTTGATACAATGTGAGTAAAAGTTCAGTTGGATTTTTGTTACAGCTGGATCCGCTATTTTCAGTTGTCCTTTTTTAGGACTATCGATTAGCTGACGTCAAATCTATTACCAGTTTTTGAAATTTATTTTTCTGCCAAATGCAAAGATCAATGCTCAGAATTTTAAATCCAAATTTGGTTTTTAAGCAATTTCTTGTTCTAATGTTTTCCCTTATTTGAACATAATTGCAATTTTAAATTTTCAGCAACAAACTTTGTTAAAACCTGTTTACATTCGCAGTTAATCTCAAACTTCTTCGATATAGACTAACGTCATTGAAACATGCTAATAAAGTAAGTTATTGAAGTAAGTTTCAATATAACTGAAATTTAATAAAATGCAGAATAAATAAGTCTGATATGGTTAACAGTTATCCGTGCTGGGACGTATTGTTTCATTGTTAACCTTGTTTTATTCCACGCAGAGACAGATTCTCATCCTTCGAAACCTTCCTTTTAGGTACAGTGAACGTCTCTATGGAAAATGCCACGAGCACTGCTTTGGATACAAGTATCAAAAACACAAATTACACATATATGGATGTGGCTTGGAGTAAGCAGAAATCGACCTCTACCATCGTTTATGTTATATTTTCACGAATTCATTATCCTGACAGGGGTGAAGTCGGAAAGTTCATCCCGATAAATATGGTATGTATAATTAGATGGTGACGTAACATCAGAACTTAAAGCATGCTTTAGAGGATATTTGCCCGATAGATCAATGGCGAAAATTCTAACGATGGATTTTAATGTGATGTTTAGGCCAAAATATACCAACACAGTAGAATAGTAAATTGAATGGAATGTTACCCTAAAATACCCTAAAATGCTAAAATGCACCATGAAAGAAAACCGAACTACCTAGCTTTTTTATATACTACCAAATTTAACACTTGTTTCACAAACAGGTAATTAATTTTTCAAAAACGCTCTAAATTCATTATTGTGACGTCACTATGACGTTATACCAAGTCCAAGTTAATAACGTGCAATGGAATGTTAGCAAGTGATAAATCATAATTCTTTTGAAGTCCTTTTTTCCCAGTGTTCATAAAACGAAACTGCTTTGACATTTGGGGCAGTTTTAAGCTAGCGGGATTTCAAGATTGTTTATGATATGCATCAATTTGTGCCGTGATTTGCTCGTAAGCTTTACATGCACTCTACCAAAAAGTAACGTGAACAGTTTTTAATCTCGATTAATCTGCATACTCTTTGCGCAGGCTTTGACAAACAAAACAAGAATAACGTCTGGCAAAATATGCAAATATTTTTTTCGGGAATACCTTCATCGTGTCATCCAATTTTCGTATAAAGTGATACCAGTGTCAAAGGATGGTTTCAACGAAGCTCCATCTACTATCAGCACTGTTAGCTTCAAGCCAAAAGGTATGTTGAATTCAGTTGATTTAAGTTAATTGAAGCTTAAATCTCTTTAAAATAATTTTTGTGAATTCTCACATGATTGAGAGCCTGAAAGTACAAAAAGTGCATGTTTTTTCAACTAAGCAATCAAAATCTTCGAATATAAACGTGGCTAATGGATCAAAATCATAGCTTTGATAAAGTAGAAAGCCTTATGGGAAACTTACTTTCCTGCTCAAACTTCAAAGGGCCTATGTCTCGTCAGTTAACCGTTCAGAGTTAAAAGACCTGTAGCGCGTTAAAGGTCGATAAAACAATGCGAATTATCCTTTGTTTTCCGATTGGATCCGTAACAATGGGTCTCTTTTGTAGTCCAACCAATAAGAAATTTAGATGACCAGCGAAATGTGTCAGGATATAATGCCTTTAATCTTGTATATTGCGGGTTGAGTTCTAAAAATAAAAGTGTGGTCTTTGTTTGATATGATGAAAATGATTAATCATGTTACACAATGGCGATTCAAGTCTTCTATAACACTAAAGAACGGGTGTTTCGATAGAGTTTACAGTTTCTAGGACTTCTCCTTTTTGCTTTCGTTTTTTCTACAATAAACATATTTTCAGGAAAATTTCCTCAGGAAATTTCAAGATGTATTAAGGTTTATAAGATGTAAATTTATGGTATTGTATTGTACTTAAAGTGTATGTGTTTGTTATTTTGTGACTGCTTTAAAATTTGGACAAGGAGACTGACTGTCTTAGAATAAATGGGACCATATGAATAAATTGCTAGAGCAGTGGCGGAAACTTGGGGGGGGGCGAGGGGGGCAACCGCCTCCCAATATTTTAGAGGACAAAACAATGGGAAATGTGACGTCATCTTATCAAAACAATAGGCTTGCCCCACTAATATTTGACCAAGTGTCCGCCCCTGTGCAAGAGGAGTGTGTTTCTCCCCTCTCAGTTTCATTAACAATCTGAATGAAATTTTCGGCAAATGCCCTTGTTAGAATTCGTTTGTTTTTAATATCGATTTAGATATTTTTATTTTTCTTCAGATGCAAGGTTCCGTCATTGCGCAAGGTTAATTTCTTTGTAGTTGAATTAGATACATATGCATTTTATGATGATTGTTAATAACAAAAACCTAAGACTTGTATGTACTAAAATAGTGTGTATATCAATTGATTTAGTTTAAAACCGAAATTTTGGTTTGGATAAATATATTTTTTACATAAGAGAAGAAACAATTCGAACTTCTATTTTTTGTTCTAGGTTTCAAGCAGGCCGACTTCATTGACAAAGTAACTGTAATCTCGCCAACTCTGAAAGAAGGAACAAAAGGATTTACAATTGATTATAAAGTAAACTGGACCGTTAATCGAGGTACTTAGTTTATAGGTTCCTAAGCTGTAAGTAAATTGCAATTCAATCAAAAATAAAAGTTGATAATTTATTGCAGATTTGTTGCACATTTTGCCATAATTTCATGATGAAATGCTTAAATCATCTTTCATGAAAATATTCTACATTTGACATTTTGAAATCGTCTGCTTCTTCGTCCATCATCCTTTTCAGTCCTCGGCCTATCCATAAGTCTTCTGCAGTCATCATTCTATTAAAATTCTCAGTAGCAATCCTCTTCACCTGTTAGCTTTTCCAATTACCACCTACTTTAATGGTTGTCTTTTTCAATGATTTTAATCAAGCGCTATCCTCTTGAATAATTACCATTAACCATAGTTTTCATCTTTCATTAACTTTTTCAGGCATTTTGTTCAAATACTGTTTTCTGCAATATTTATTGACTTCATTCACCTTCATCAACTGCCATCATCTTTACTCTTCTTTTCCTTGACAAGGGTATTTTCTTAAAACGATTAAAATAATCGTTGAAATGATTTTTTTAAACGTTGATTTTTCATGAAATTTTTTCTAGATTTGTTCCCTTTTGTTACCGGAATTCAGGTCAGCGATCATATTTCAGAAAACTGCAGCTCAGGTTCTATTCATCATCCAGTAACTGTCGATAAGGTTTGTTAACTAGATTTTGATTGATATTTTTACTTGTATTTCAATTCAAAACTAGAGTGTTAAAAAGTGTTATAAATGTCATCACTCTTCAATAGTTCCACTTGGCTCTCTCCAGTTATCTAACGAAGTTAGAAGCAACCATTTTTTCCAATACCTTGAGAAGTACTTTGTCAAAGAGCGCCAAAGATTAACCGCTTCGTTAGTACTATGAATCAACAATTTTTCTCATTACCTTACAGCGGGTACATCTTGTGGATCTAATTCAGAACAAAAGAGTTACCTAAATATATCAAGTAAAAATCAAGCCGCCCAAACATGTGAAAATAAAACCAAACAGATGCTGACTTTACATTTTTGTGCTGACCAATCGAAACAAATTTTTCAAACATTGATTACTGATTCGTATGTTCTCATTTTTCTTACCTTTAACTCTGAAATCCATTTTAGAATGTTTATACCAACGACCAGCCTGTGTCCTTGAAAGATTCAAGACGTCGTGACTGTGTTTTTGAATTCAGGGTCAGTATAAGCCTAATTCCTACAGTTTTGTTTCGGAACTATCTTTTTTAGTAAGTTTCTCTGTGGGATTTGATCTTGAACAAACCTTCATGTTAAGAACTCACTCTAAAGAAGACAATGAGTCATCTAAAAGTGATTTATTTTACACATTGAAGTTACAAGCTACCAGTGCATCATTGGAGTGTTGAAGTTATTGAGCTATTGGGATTAATAATTTTATCATGGTTAGTGGTAAAAAGCCGCTCTTACAGGCAGCTCGGTAATCTCACTCCACTTGCCCACTTTCAAAACAAAAAGTTCTAGCAGTTCTTGGGGGCTGTTTCATGAAAGCTCGATGGACCCAAGCATATAGACGAACACTTTTTCTTCTTCTGAAAATCAGCTCACTTGCCCCGGTTCAGCTAGAAGGCGACACGTTTTACGGCATTGTTAGAGAATTTTCCCCAATTTTCAGTGAGCAACAATTCTGAGTTCAGATTAGAATATACCTTAGTAACTTTACTGCGGAAAAATTTCAAGACATGAAAATATATGATGATATCAGGGCAATATATCCTTTTGATAATTTTCAGTTTAAAAAATTTTCCCAAAAATATTCACAATGTTTATCATTTTCAATAAAAATATTCTAATAATGCCTAACTGTTTCCTTATTTTTAATACCGCATTTGCTTAGACAAAGCTAAATTTTCTTGATAATTTCTAATTTAGTATCTCTCTCTCTCTCTTTAAGGTTGTGCCAATCACTAATTGCTTGGAAGGAGTCACAAAGAGAACATTTGTGTATTATCCAGGTAGTCTATTTATGAGCCAGGAAACATACAACTGTAGCATTCATTTAAGAGAAAGTGTGACACTATTTCTCTCCACGTTTCAAAACGATAGCATTTAGTGTCTTCTGGGCAGATAAAAAGAGAGAGGAGGTTCTAGTAATGGCATGGTTTCTCGCAAAAGTATGCAAGCGAACTTCCCTTTTTTGAGAAACACTTTCCCAACAAGGAATTTTTTAAGCTTGAGTAATGGCCAAAATTACATCATATTTTTAATTTAAAAAAACTGATGATGTCATCTTGAAAATTTTTTTTGGTGAAATCGAAATCAAATTCAAGAAATCTCTAGGGAGTTGATCCAGAAATCTTTTGCATTTTCCGGGTTTGGTTGTCATTCTTTATGGACGAACTGTTTCATGAAGAGCAGAGAATTACAAGGCTTACCAAAATCTTGGTACACTACGCTAAAATTTCACATATGTTCAAAAGCTTAAAATTCATTAAATGTAACTCTGCCAGCTAGTCTAAGTGACAGGCTTCTCGACCAAAATTGTTTTTTGTAGGGGGTGGGGTATTTCTTTATCTTACGGTCGGAAAAATTTTATTTCATTACAATCTTTCATTGACTTCAGGGTTTTCTAAGGACTTTTGGCAAGGATTGTGATTTATGTGTACTTAGCTCCCTTAAATACTTCACAAAATGATGGAGAATGTATTTATTTGAATTAGAAGTTCTTTCCTTTTTTGTTTTGGGTAGATATTGTTTAAAGACCCACATGCAATGATAAATGAAAATTCACGACGGTAGAGTATTGCAAACTTTGATGCTGCATAAGACTAAACAACTAACACAAAGTGCATCACCTTTTCCCTTTTTGATTTTAAGTGTTTTTGCTATCAATATGGTATTTTCCATTAGAAATTTTCACAGCCAATTGTAATATCTATCTAATATTATCATACCCAGGTTGTGAAATTTTTCCCAACGCTCCTGCCGATTGTTTGCCAACGAAAAGGCCAATCAGTAAGTTTTTCCTTGTCATTTCACACTTTACATGGCTTTTTGGTGGTCTAACCAGGAATTCTAAGCTTCCTTGTTGTTTTGACTGTTGCGAGTATTAATTTGATAAGAAGGAGGCGCAAAAGTGATCGAATAAATCAGCTGTGTTATTCTGTGCTGTAGGGCTCCTGAGGAGGCGAAAATTTTGTTGCAGGTTTAGATTATGCCTCGGAGCCTTTATTTGGAGAAGAATGATTGCCTGAAGGTGTACTAATGTAACCATTCTAATTTTGATGTTTGAGTTTGGCAAATTGTGGCAAACCCTCAAAAGCTCCAAAAAGCTACCGAAGTCTTATAAATTTCATTTTTTCTCCTGTTTAGTCCTGTTATCTCAAAATATTATCTATGATAATATCTTATAACCTTTCACCTACGATAGTTTTAGCATGGCTGGGCATTGGAATATCCCAGGAAAGCTGATGAATTTTTCCCTAAAATTTTCAAAGACTTTTTTATTCAGAGACCGGTTGTTGTGCATTGCCAATACAGATCTTGATCAAAACTTGTAATTTTTTATGGACAAAGTTTTTCGGAGAAGCAAAGGCACATCTTTAGAAGAACGAGACATCTTTAGAAGAATTTAGATGAATTTGACTTCTTTCAAATGCCAACTCTTTTGTCAGGGCAGTATTATGGTTTTATACAGAAAAGGCTTTTACAATGAAATATGTATTTGCATGAAGCAGATGTCATTAAAATAACACTGAACGAGCCCCTTCTGTATAACAATCCTCCCACTATAATTAACTAAACATGAAGCCCCCTCACATCTGTCGACGTATACAATATAATAATTAAATTTTGTTCTCTGCAGCTTAACTCCCCCCAAACCCCCAAAAGTCTAAAAACCCCTTTTTACCACCGGAAGTTTGCTTTTTGCTGATTTTTTTTTCGTCTATTAAATATTGGTACCTATAAGAAATATTTTACATTTTGTTTAACTTTTGAATGTTTTGCCACGATTGAGAAGTTTTTCTTCTTTCAACTTTTCAAAATCTACTCGAGAGGACTTCGTTATCATAGACGAAAAGAAAAATGAAAATGGAAGATTGGTTTTTGAAAGTGTTTTGGTTTTGATATGGACCAAAGAAGACTTAAATGTAAGGTTGTTTCAAGAAAGTTCCCTGGCAATTATTTTAAGTGTTTTACCTCCAGTTCTCCTGTTGTAGTACTACTGAAGAGTGACAGAATTTAAAGAACCATGTTTGTTTTATTGCTTTTTCTAAAAGCTTATCTTAATTGCAACTATTTTTTCCAAAGCTCTGCCTCCTGCAAACTCTATCATTTTAAAGGAAGTCTTTATATGCACCAGCAAGACGAATTGCAGTGAAAGTGGAAATTCTACATGCAACACGTGCAATAGCGGCGTTTACAACGTAACAGTGAAATTGGACATTCAGAACAAGGATAATTTGAGTGTTACCAATATCCATTGCTGGCTATCTGCTGTTACAAAGTTTCCATTTTCTGAAGTTTACTTCCCCTTATTAAAAAAGGAGATACTTTTACCGGTGTGTAATATGTTAATTTCGAGCATTTCATTTATTAGCTCTTGTTGCCAGCTACCCAATCGTTATTGATTAATAAATAATTCAATTCATTTAGTTTTCAAATACATATGACCTAGGATACTGGTTTTGACTTTTTTTTCAAATGTCTGGAAGAACGTCCATTTCATGCTTTTTTGTTTGCCAGATCGTTCGCTTGCTTGTTTTTGCCAGATTGTTGGCTTGCTTTTTTTGTTTTTTTACTTTTTCTTTGCTATTTTTTTCTTTTGTTTGCTTTTTGTTTCCTAGATTGTTCGTTTGCTTTTTTGTTTGTTTTTTTGCTTGCTAGATCGTTCGCTTGCTTGTTTTTGCCAGATTGTTGGCTTTGCTTTTTTTGTTTTTTTACTTTTTTCTTTGCTATTTTTTTCTTTTGTTTGCTTTTTGTTTCCTAGATTGTTCGTTTGCTTTTTTGTTTGTTTTTTTGCTTGCTAGATCGTTCGCTTGCTTGTTTTTGCCAAATTGTTCGAAAGCTTTTTTTGCTTTTTGACTTTTTTCTTTGCTAGTTTTTTTTCTTTATTGGTTTTTTTCTTTCTAATTTTTTCTTTGCTAGATTTTTTCCTTGCCTTTTTGTTTGTTTGTCGTTTGATCTTTTGTTTACTAGATTGTTCGCTTTTGCATTTTTTGTTTGTTTGGTTTTTTGCTTGTTAGATTGTTGGTTTCCTTTTTTGTTTGTTTGTTTGTTTGTTTGTTTGCTTTCTTGTTTGTTTGCCTGTTTGTTCGTTTGCTTATTGAAAATGACAGCAATAAGCCTAAAACAAAATTCGAACTCGAAGATTTCTTCTTTACCCGTCATACGCAAAAATGGATGTGGACAAAAAAGACTTGAAAAATTTATAATGGCTGTTGTGCAATTTTTCAGATACTTTGAATTTTTCCATTACTGAATTTGTTTTTTTTTACAGTCTCAAACGGAATATACACTTCAAAACCTTGATGTCGACACTGATTATTTTTTCAAGGTATTTAAGAAAGCTCTTGTTTTTGACTGCGAATGTTGCAGGAAGCAACTTTAGGCGATATTTTTACATTAATCATTGTTTATTATTTACGATTAATTCGCCTTAATAGCTTACAATCCGTTGACATTTAAAAATTTCTTACTCTGAGGAGAAAGACTTTTTTTCTTACTTTTTTTTCACTTTTTTCTCCCGTTTGGTGAAGTGAATCTCAAATGATTAAAGTTTGCATTTCGTATTACATGTAACGTTCATTGTTTTATGTTAGGACGATGTAATATTCTGATATTCGTGGTCTAGGCCAATGGGCCGGGACCGCTTCTAAAGAGGCACTATAAAAGAATATTTCTTTTTCTATTCGTATGATAGAAACTTCACAACTAAATTATTCTAACACAGATCACATATTATCAAAACGCAAATTTTGAAAGAAACGCTGTAAAACGTCACGTAAAACGATGACTTTGATTCCCATTTTCTGAAAAGGGAGTGTGTTTATACATTTGTTGTTTAATGCAACAGGGTGTTAACATACATGTGACGTAAACCCGCAACAGAATCAATGTAAGTATCTTATTAAACATAAGGAAAGGCCTAAGTGTAATAGTAGCTAGCAGGATTGGTATACCTTGATCGTTCTTGATCTTTTCTTGGTGTCTATAATGTTTATCTTCAAAAGTGTTTACTTTTATTAAGAATCGCAGTGTGTCATGTCAAGAACATATTCACCTTAAATGCTACAATTTTCATCGCAGGTTTTCGCAGAAACTCCTGGCGTAGTGATTCCACTTCCTTCAGAAGAACCAGGGCTCAGATTCAAAACGAAAGGTACTCTTATTCCTAAAAATGTTTACATATAGGTTATAGTACGACTGATTCCAAAAAAATGTTTTAGTAAGATTCCTTTCACCTTATGAAACAACACATTGTAAGATGAAATTATTGCTCATTATTTTTACAGAATATTTTATCAGCTCAAGGCCTACGAATTGAAATTATCCTACATGAATGAGTTTTTTTTATTTTATTACTACAAATTAACACAATGAACAAATGCAAAACATACATACGTAGAAATAATATTTCATGCAGGGAATCATCTGAAGTTCTCTCCCTGTAAGCAGGCTAATATTAGAGGGAGTCCTTCCTATCTTAAAGTATCATTTACTTATTTTCGTCAAATTTACAATAAACAATCCCCATAAAAAAGTGGAATTTAATTACATGTTGCAATTGTACTCATACGCCCAAACCTGCATTGAGAAGTGCAACAGCGTTAGCAGAAATATCTTGCAGTAACGCCTTTTCAGGCCATGAATTTTATCTTGCTTGACAATCAGTTTTTTCTCATTTTGTTGAAAAAAATGCAGATCCTTTGTTTCTGTCCATATTCATTTCAGTGAGTTTGCACCTCAAAAACAACGACACACCTGTTCGACATGTTAAAGTATCAAAAAGCTTCCCTTTCCTAAAAGACTTGACTTTCCAGCCATTTTTTGCATTTTAACTTTAAGATCCTACGCAGTTTGGCACACCGTCCTACGACTGCAGAAGAGAGCAAAACATTTTCACACATTTCTACCATTTTCTAATTCCAGCCATTTTTATGATCTGAATACGACTCCATGCTAGATACGATATATGTGCTCAGTATACAAAATGCGTGCCATTTAGAAATATTTTGATAGCTAGTGTAAAGTCAAGTCTGGTGCAGTGTAAGATGTTTTTGTTACTATTTTTTAGGCATTCCCCTTCCATTGACAACTATGACACCAGTTGTAACCACATCACATAAAAAATCATCAACGACAAAGAAAGACGGCACAAGTACTTCTCCTTCTCCTTTTGAAGAAATAACTGCAGCTACGAAGAAAGGTCAGATATTGCTAGATCTTTCCTTTTCGAAAACCTCTTAAACTCAATTCCATTACTTCGTTTTGACCATTTTAATGAAATTTAAGTCTTACCAAAATGTCAATACGTTCCCTTGATCATTCATTTTCAATGTTCAAAATTACTTTTTCCCGTTTCTCAGGTGATAACGATAGTACCGGCTTAACTCTTGGTCTAGCTCTATCCTTGTCAATATTGGCTATCTTTGTATTGCTTCTGCTGCTGTATCAAGTGAGAAGACATCGCTCAAAAACAAAGCGCATGAATCTTAACAGCTTCGAGTAAGCTTCAATTCAAAATTCTTATTCAAATTTAACGCATTTTTTTCTTTGTTTGAAGTAGAAAAAATACTAATTCTTTTAAAATAAATTGTGCTTGTTTTGATTCGTTGTAGGCCAGTTTCTTATCAAACAAATCCTGGTGATAGCTGGGAACTCTGCCTGGAGGACATTGTATTTGGAGAGGCACTCGGTGAGGGTGCATTTGGCAAAGTCTACGTTGCAACTGTCTCTGGTATTCGAATGCAGTTTCCTTCAATAAGCTGCGAGACACTTAACAGCTATGTCAAGATGGGTGGGTCCTCAAATAATATCAGAAACAGCAGCATTACGGTCAAGGCCGCTGTCAAGGTTTTGCAAGGTAGGGCATAACTATGCATTGAAAAACTAATGCCGATCTTATTTATTTTACTTGCGTAGGTCTTGAAAATGCCAATATTTTAAATTCTGACAAACATCGAGTGAGATATTTTTTTTCGACAATGCGTAGCCTTAAAAATTTTCAGCTAACTTTATTTCTATAATTATTGTAACTAGATCTGTTTTTTGCTAGATGGCTACAACCAGCAACAAAAGTTTGAGTTCTTGGAAGAAATAAAATTGATGAAAGATGTCGGCCAACACAAGAATATTGTAAACATGTTAGGGTGTGTGACGCTGGGATCCCCGCTGTGTCTTGTGCTTGAATATATGCCACATGGTGATCTGTTGCATTATTTGAGAAGGAGCCGAACCGAGGTGATTGAAAAATATTTAAATTCTGCGTTAAATTTTCAGATGCTATCTTTTAGACGTCTAGAACTTTTATGAAATACAATAACATTAGGTGCCTTCATATAACTTATGATCATTATATTTTAAACAATCGAGTTGTACTCATACTAACGAGATCATCATTTAAATCATCAAAATCAACTTTTGCCTGATAGATTATCATTCTTTACATTTTTCAGCAGGTGAAAATATGTCTGTTTTGAATTCTCAAGCTGAAAATGTTCAATAAGATTAGCTCATGTTGAATAATGAGTGCTATCTGAATTCAGCTTGTCTTGAGATTTTTTACAACCTAAGATATTAGCTTTCATTGCTGTCAATACTGCTAATTCACAGTAGCTAGATGATAATTCTTTACACAAAACAATTTTTTTCATGCTGATCGTGTTTCTGTTTTTCGTTAGCGGAAAGATTTTCGTTTCTCATATCCTCCTTAACATTTTTGTAAAAGTAATGGCTCCCTTTTTGCAGATTCTGGATCAAAATGCTTATAGCAACCATCTTTTATGTATGCCAAAATATATCCATTGTGATCCTTCTCAAACAAAGGTAAATGAATTTTACTAATCTCTTTTTTTTGAGATAGAGAGAGTCAAAAAGTGTAGACATTTTTATTATGGAAAGTGCTCTTTACAAGATTGAATACTTATCATCAATTAAGTCGCTTTATATGTAATGTAGCTTATGTAAATAGTTTAGTTTTCAGTTTTCGTACAGGGCCTTTGAATCAGTTTTTTTCAGAATACAGCGTAGCGGAAACAGTGTTCGTCATTATATTGCGTACTGTAAGTTTGCATAGCACTAAGAATAAAAGTTGATCTTGAAATATCTTTCATGTTTTACAGTCAACTGAGTACTTAATGCCTCCTCTTTCGACATCAAATGATGGTGCTGCTCAAAAGGATATGGATATTGAGGAAACTGGAGGTCAAAGGTCGCAGGACAAAGGTGGAGTGTCATCAGAAGACCTTTTACGCTTTAGCTGGCAAATAGCATCTGGAATGGTAAGTGTCATGAAATTTGTAATGTCAGGAGTCCTATCTCTAACTTTCGGCTTTATTTTAAACAAAAACTCTTTATTGGGTCAACTGCATGGAGAAGAAGACACGATTGATCAATGTATCATGATTGTCGCTTAAGGGAAGAAGTGAATCTAATGTCATAAAAAGAACAAACGTCACGTTACTAACTGCTTCCGCTTACAGGGCCCACGCCACGAATTTGAAAGTTGGGGGGGGCAAGACTAGCAAAAGCAGGGGGCAAGGTTTCTTCCCCTTTTACTGCAGCTTTAAAACTACTTGCTTCGCAAAAAGTGGGGCGCTATGGCCACACCGCCCCCCAACCCCCCAACCCCTACCCGCTGGCGTGGGCCCTGGCTTTTAGTAACGGCTCTAAGTTGCAACTGCAAGCTTTACGCCTAATGCGATCATCAGGCCACTGTTCCTTATTCAAACCAGAAGCGTGTACAGCTCTGCCTATAGGCATCGATCTCTTCACGGGAGACCGTAAACAGTACTTTGCATTACTATGTGCTTAGAAGATTGCTGAATGTTTGTTAAATTCAAATTTACTTTGTTTTAGGAATATTTGACGAAGAAAGGCTTTGTTCATCGCGACTTGGCAGCAAGAAACGTTTTAGTCGGGCCAAACAAATCTTGCAAAGTATCTGACTTTGGGTTGACTCGTTTTGTATACGAGGAGAAAGTTTACATGGGGAGAAGAAGTCGCAAATTGCCCTTGAAATGGATGTCAATCGAAGCCATTATGGACCAGTGTTTCACCGCTCTTTCGGATGTGTATGTAAAGATATTCCTTTCTTCTTTATGTTCTAGCCGATAATTAGCTTGGTACCTTTTTCCAGATTTTTCGTTCCACTCGCTCTCTAATGATATATGAATACAGTTTGTTTATTTTACTCGTTTCCTTGTTATTTTTTCGGCCTGGTTTTCCTTCTGTTTTTGAATGATCCACCCCTAGAAATCATCCTAGTATTAATTGCAGTTACTTAAAGTTGTAGTTGCATTATTTTTGAAGATATGCATTTGTTTTGCAGATCAATGTATTTTAGCATTTTGTACCTGGATTAATAAATATATTCAACTTTCAAAGTCGTTACTTCATTTTATTATTTGTTGATCGTTATTCACCTTGCTGCATTGTTAGCTGCCATGAAACCTTCGATTGTGATATCATAGAACTTTATCATCAGTGCTTCGTACGTTGAATTATTTGTCATCTATATAACTTTTAATTTTTGCATACGTTGTGAAACGGTATTTATCGAAACCTCTCTTTAATTTTTATTATTTTTCAGATGGTCATTTGGAGTGCTCCTTTTCGAAATTGTGACGTTAGGTAACTCTAACCCTAATTTTTCGCAAATGTTGTTTTCTGCCGTATAATTTTGACCGTTTTATGCCAGAAAATGATGAAATTGACCAGCCATTTCATGGCTCTAAATGTTGTTCTTGCTGCTTTTAACTAGAAATTTGTTTATGAATATTGTAATTTAACATCCCTTCATTTCAAGTGCGTTGCTGTTCGTAGTCATAGCGCTATACAGTAGGCCGGGTTTGTGAAACGAGGTCACAAGTCACAAGGTCAAAATTTCAGTGACTCCTGATCCCTTATTTACATCTAAATGTTTTGAATGCTACAAAATCAAAGGAAGTTAAATAAAACTATTTCAAGCAAGCAAGATGAATTATGGTCAATAAGGCTGAGTTTATAAGGCTACTCTTTCATTGTCAACTTGACAAACCCTTTGGTTTTTTTCACTTTCAAATAAATAATGTCTACGGAACCGTAACTTCAGTGCACTTTTCACAATGTTCAGTTGTCATTAGAATTTTTCAAATAACTTTTTTCACTTCTAGGTGGAACACCTTATCCAACTATGACTGGTCAGGAATTGCTCCGTTTTCTTCGAGCTGGGAATCGAATGGAGAAACCTGAAAACTGTTCAAATGAAATGTAAGCAACGTTTGTTTAATTTTAGTAGGAGGAAATTTGTAATCTCCATTACCGGTTTGGTTTGTCCGATGGAAATAACCAAAATAGCCTTTCATACCGCAAAATCTGAAAATAGCACGGAAAATGTCATATTTGTGGAAAATACCGGAATAATAAGCGTCCTAAATGAGCTTTAATTTTCACTGTCTTTTTCGCAGATATGCCGTCATGAAGGCTTGCTGGCTGACTGACCCACAACAACGACCTACTTTTACGGATATAAAAGAAAGATTTGAAACCCTTATTTCAGAAGGAACACCCTACGTCGAATTTGATATCGACAACAAGCAGCCATATTATAATGTTCCATCATTTGTCAGCCTCGAAGAATCGACAGGAGATTCGCTTTCAGATGATGCAGATGAAGAGGAAGCTGACTGGGAGTATCGTTTCGGGTCCATACATGGACGAGCTAATTCAGATATGTCTGCAAATAGAAGATACACCAACAGGGAGGGTGTTGACTTCCATGCTCTGGACGCTAACGAATTAGAAGGAGCAGGGTTCAGGCAACCAATCGATAGTGTCGGCAGCGAGGCCTCAACAACACCTCTAGCAGATGGTATCCTGCATAGCAAGGTGGAGTCAGTTGATGAAAATATACTTCAATCAAACGGCGATGCTGGACTTAAAAAAGAACGATCCTACCAATGGGAGACCGACGATAGTTTGAAACATAACGGTGTACCGCAGACTCCTGTGCTTGATGATCAGCAGAGAAAGCCGTTTGTTGTTGGTCATTACGTCAACATTGAGCCTACTGTTTGATTGCCTGCAATGATATTCCCTATAACTGGTAACCATTGTGAGGCAACTGAACTCGTTTTCAACCAGATTAAAGGTTTCAGGCCACGTGAGAGTGACCGTCTGCTGGAGGAACACGTTTTGCTTTTCGAAGTGCAGTGTAGAGAGATCGCATGAAAGTTCGCAAGCATGCTGAAACTGGCTCTATGTTGGTTTGTTACCAAAGGGAGAGCGAAATGTTGATTTGATAACAAGAATAACCCGCTTTATCAAAAGCTCTTTTTACAGTGATTTTCACAAAGGTCTTTGTTTCCCTGAATTATTTTGTTACGTGTGTTATTTAATGCTTTCCTCTGGCTGAAGCGCCTTCGATATGTTGACATTGACAACTCTACCATTTTGTACATTGAATTAGATTAACTTTGAGGTAGGGAAGGGGCACACCATAAATTTTTTTTCAAGAATACCCTCCGAACATCATACCATTAACGATTTATTTAACGAAGAAAACGTTTAATTAAATTGGTCGTCGAAATATTTCTGCGACCACTTTCGACAATACTTAAAATTGAATGAATGCTTTTCAACAGCAACCCCCTTATTTATTTAACCCTTATGTGTTCAATCTCGGACTTGTTTTAACGCCCCCCCCCCCCTTCCTTACGTTTGCAATCAACATAACGAATAGATAGCTTTGTATTACAAGATCCATTCATACCAAATATACTCGTGATTGCGAAAGCATGTTAATCACCTTAGCTTAAACACTCATTTATCGTTTAACTTGTCTCTAATTGTTTACGTTGGTAAAAAAGTATCTTAATTAATTAGTATTTCTTTTATTCAATAATATTTTTAAAAATAGCTTTGAAGAAAGCAAACCTTTCGCCTTAGGATCCATTTTTAACATTCTCAATAGGCAAGCGGCACTGATTGGGCAACCTCAACAGTCATGTGCTCGCATTTCTGATTGGCCTATTTCGATGCAAAACTGGGTTTATATATCTCCTAGCGTAGAATTTTCGATTTATGTTCTGACATTTTATACACTGAAAAGTGTCAGATGAAAAGCTTTAGTATCCTCAAATGTTTGCTTTTTTCAAAGTCACTTTTACGTTTTGTACCACCAAAAGATTGTTTGAATAATATTTTTGTGCTCGTTGAAGGAGTGGGCTTACCTTGGTATCCAGATTAAGGTCCATTTCCTCTTATGTATGCGTATTTCTTTTTTAAGATATCGGGGCCGTCCCCTACATATTCTATATAGTCTTGGAATAGTTAATCGTAGTTTGATCAAGTTTTGATCTTGTTTTCGTTTATCAGAAAAACGTAAATGCGTGCATGTACTCTAGCTATTGGTTACTTTTAGTTTTGGTTTACTACACTTTTTAGATTCACATGTCACCAGCGAATGAATCAGTATACATCCCCTATAGACGATAACGACATTATGTAAAATTGCAAGCATGTAATATGAATACAATTCAGATATCAAATTAACGATCACAGGAAAGTTACGGTTCGCGCTCCTTTTTGCAAAGAATCTTGAATCATATACATATATATTTTTATTATATTTGCTTTAGCTTTTACCAGTGCAGTTATTTCAATACTCGCTTTTTTGATTCTGGAAATCAACTCAGTACAGTAGATGCCTTATTAAGCTACCGAGGTTTACTTGACAGAAAATCATAAAACCTTGATATAAGAAATGCGAAGTACACGTGAGAATATCACCGTCTGCGTCCGCAAATTGTCTCTCTTGTACAAGATATGAAGGAGAGCTTAACAGAGAGAGTGCTAACTGGAATTTTATTGTTCCATTGTTATTGTTTCAATCACAAAACCGGACAGATTACTGTCTCGTGCGTACCGGATAAACTACTGTCCCGTGCGTACCAGATGGACTACCGTCCCATGCGTACCGGATGGACTACTGTCTCGTGCGTACCGGATGGACTACTGTCCCTTGCGTACTGGATGGACTATTCTCCCATGCGTACCGGATGGACTACTGTTTCTTGCATACCAGATGGACTACTGTCCCGTGCATACCGGATGGACTACCGTCCCATGCGTACCGGATGGACTACTGTCTCGTGCGTACCGGATAGACTACTGTCCCTTGCGTGCTGGATGTACTATTCTCCCATGCGTACTGGAGCGACTAATGCCCCGTGCATACCGGTTGGACTACTGTCCCGTGCGTACCGGATAGACTACTGCCCCGTGCGTACCGGATGGACTTCTGTCCCGTGCGTATAAACGCAATAGAGTACCAAAGTGTGATGTCATAATTATTCTATTTTTAGAATTTCTTAAATTTGGCCGCATAATCTGAAAGAACACTATAAAATACTCTCATATATGCAATATCAGTTAAATTTGTCAAAATTGGGAGAGCTATGGCCAATGAAAGATTTGAAGTTTGCTAACGGATTACTGTGATTCTGGCTTGGTTCATAAAGTTATGAACCAAGATCAAATTACAGAGGTTAGATGGGTCAAGAGCCTATGCTCAAGTGGCCATACCTCAGCCGATTCGTAATGCCTTTAACTGATTTTGCATTTTTAGAGATATTTCATGAGGCTCTTTTAGGTTCTGGGATAAAAATTCAGAAATTCCAAAAATATGTATTTATGACGTCATCACTTCGGTACTCTATTTCAATGAATTGATTGATTCAATGATTTGTATGATTCTCTCAAACAAGAGGAAGAGCGTCAGTGAGATTATCACAGTATAGGACTAGGAGATCATGTCAAACACAGCAAAACTTAAAATGTTGATGAAAGAGAAGAAAAAAGAAAGGCAAGATTAGAGTAACGAACGTCTTTCAACAGTTTCAAATTTCGATAATTCGACGGGTAGGCACGAACTTTTAAAACCGCAATCAGCCTTCTTGTTATTTCGCACCTTTCAATTAAGGATTTTTCTGGCTTTTGGACGGCCCTTAGGATCGTGTTTGTAGACTTTTCTCGTACGAATCCAAACATTTTAAATCATGTTTAAGACTAAGACAATCTTAAACTTTACTTTTCTTGTTTGGAAATAAATCGGCACTGATTGAGCAACCTCAACAATCATGTGCTTTTTTCAGTGCCATTTTTAAGTTTTGTACCACCAACAGATTGTTTAAAATAAGTTGCCTTTTACTACGGTAATTTTTCATTATTAATTTGTGTAGAACACTCTTCTTAATTTGTCTGGAAGGATTTTGAGCCGAAAGCTCTGCTCAGCGGCAAGTTTCATGTGTCCCTTTGCGAAGTGAAATGGACGAACTCCCTTCCCTCTAACATCATTCCCAATGGAACAATTCTGTCCTGTTTATTATTATTATCATTATATCTATACTATATATAAACATATATTTCTGATTATCACACACACGCGCACACACCTATGTATCCAAATTTGATTTTGCTGCTTGTTTGTTACCCTTAAGACAGTTTTGAATGTATGTGTGAAAGAAATTGTACCAGGTTAGCCAGTTGTAGACTACCTTAGTTAGTAACAAATGAGGATTACAAATCTAATAAGTTGAAAAATGTTATCAATGAAAAGTTTCTATTATTTCATCATTTTCTTTGGTTGTCCACTTCTCAGTTTCTTTGCGACTGAATCAATATTGAGAAATGATTTGATTTCTCACATTCATTGTATGTCTGCATCTTACTTGCTCAATAATTTCTCGTAGTGGCAACGTCGTGACACAAGTGGGGCAAAAAATCGCAATAAAGGCAATGACGGCCTAGATCATCGATATTTGTTCAACCAAACTTTAGATTTTCATTCTGAAAGTGTTTTTCTCTATTCTAGAGAAGTTTCACGGCCAAAAAATGAAAGGGCGGTTTCTATCCACTATTGTAGTTTCCCTGGTTTGCCCAACCTGAGATTGGAATTCGCTATAGAACAATATAATTCGGTCGCTCTTTCAAGAAGGAGTGGCCAAATGCTCTCGATGTTTTACTCGTCTTATTCAAGAATTCGCGTGGCTCTAGTACCCAAGGTATTGCTCACGGCGCCATTTTTTGGTACTCCATTCCTGCCTAAAAATTGTCTGGCTATTTTAAAATGGCTCAGGGTTTCGTTGGAAGCAGTTTAGCCACACTTTGTTATTGCCAACTGTCACACCTTAGGAAAGCCATTTTTGCCAGGAAGCATCCCCCTTCCCCTAATTATTTTCTTTAGCTTAGCTTGGTCGATAGTTTGAACCCAGTTTTAAGTAAATGCATAGGTTCAACCCAAAAATTGAAAAAACCCTTCTGTTTTGCAAAAAACGTTTGGGGCCATGGCATCTTTTCTTTTTCTCCTTTTTTCGGGGCCCTGTAAGCTGTATTCTTTAGCCCTTTCTGATGGGCCTCGTCCTCGAGCTGACTTATCGAGCGCGCAAAGAGCGCATGCTCTACCAGCATTGTTTACCACGTTCGACGATCGTCAAGCAAACGTTTCCCTTTGCCTTTTGTTGCGTCAGATGAACCTATCTTGGGCTTAGGTACCTATACAGCGGAGAGACATTGGTAAATTTTTACAGATATTGGTCATAGCTACACTATAAGATATGACTATTCAGCAGTACCAGTTCAAAAAGGATATTATGAATGAATTAATTGTGAAGAAGATGTCAAAGAGGACTTTGCGGCGGAAAACGAGTCACGGTTTAGGCCCAAGTCGTTGGCAAAGTAGGCCTGAGCGAAACATGGCCTTCTTATATTCTGATCTCCGATCAAATAACAACGTATCTGCCCATATGGACTATTCCAGAGAGGTTTCGTTAGTTACTGGACATTCTTGCTATCTTGTTGCTGCATTTGATGATATGTGTTTCGAAGACCGTTCGCAGATTTGTCATCAACGAAGACAGAATGGCAATAGGCCAGCATTGCATCATCGTAGACAGAGTTTACTCGCCGCGAGGCCACGAATCGCTGCGCCAAATAACACAACGCAGTTTATTATGGACGATTTTGAATCAAGGTATAGCTCAAATATTGCCTCTGATACCCAAAAGCAAAATTTTTTAGAAAATGCTCCTCAGATAAGACAAGAAAATTGTCCAGAATGTTCTGATGTTGAAGATGGTCCAAAGATGAACAGTTTTCACAAGCAGATGCCGTTAACGTTCGATAAATTTTACGGAAATGCGGATTTCAACGATTTTTATAACAATTTTTCTTTATGATAAAGGTTTTTCTTCTCCTTTAAAACTCAAATAACATGGTCTTTTTGAGCAATAAAGATAGAAAATTAACATGCTTCTTATAAATGAATTCTTCGGTAAAATAGTTGTAGATTGACTGAAATATTTCTTATAAGCAATTTGTTAATGTGTATATGTATCATTTGGGAAAAATGTTTTTTTATCTTGGCATTCACTATCTTCAGGAAAGTGTTGTTTTGTTGACATAGAATTGATCATTTATTCTTTCCTTACCCAGCATATCATGAAAACTTGGTCAGAGTGGCAAGTTCCATTGGGATACCCATCTCTGATCAGTTCAAGCTTCATGATTAAAGGTAACTTTGTTTGTCATTTTAGATGATTATTTCACTAAGTTTTGTTTTTTCCAAGTTCAATCTACTGGCATTGGATACATGTGTTGTAGGTAGTGCTTTAGTAAACTCCTATTGGAAAATTACTGTAGTCAATCATCATCCATAATGCTATTTCTTTCACTTTGCATATAAATCACCAAAAGAACTTAGGTTTGTCTGTTCAAAGTGTAGCAAATTAAATAACAAATTGTGATGAAAGCTTTTGCATGAACAGGATAAAAATCTTGGACAAACAAGAACCAGTCTGCAGAATTGGGTAAGTGCACATTCAAGATCATTTTTGTGTTTAACAGTGTGTTTGCCAAATAGGGGGCCTTGTTAACTAAAAATAATGTATAAAAGAGCATGACTTCAGTATTTTCTTCATTAACAAGCTATTTAGACTTCAAGTGGGCAAACAATTTTATAATAAAAGCAAAACAGAACCACTTGAACTGTAGACTGCATCCAAGCATACCTTTTTCCAGAAAGCTTAAACTATATTGAAAGCTTAAACTAAGTTGACAGAAAATTTCTAGTGCATATATATTTGAATATCTTATATATATATATAAAGACTGGTTATCATATTGCAGAAGGCCATACTCTGCAGACCCGTGCAAGAAAGCCTGTTGAATAAAATAGTTCCACTTCTTCCAAAGTTAAATCATTCTTATTTTTCTGCTTTGAGTAATGAATTTTCTTAATTTATTCTTAACATCCACTATTTGTTTCTTATCACAAGTTCTTATAAGTAATGATGAGTGTGGTCAAACTTTTTTTGTTGAAGCTTGAGTGCTACTATTAATTGATTCTCTCATCTCAAATAGAATGGAGGTGCTTCACATTTATGGAGAGAACCTGTGGTACCATAACAGTCTGCAGGACTTGTATTTGCAAGTGATAGGTGTTGCTTCTATGATAGATGAACAGCAAACTGCTGAAATACACTCCCCTCACAAAAGTACCCTGACAGTTCGAAGATCGATTGCGCTTTCAGACAAGAATGAATTTAGGCTGGGGATAGCAACTTAGTGATAATAATTTTTGAGAAACCCTTCCAAAATAAACCAGAACATTAAAATGCTGCAAAACTTCTGTGCTTTTTATCAGTTAATCATTTTTTGTTAAAATGAGTAACCTTTGCACTACAAGCCTTACGCCTATCAACTGATGTCAAATAAGCAGAGAACAGGAAAGTCAATTGACTTGGACTCAGTCAAAATGAGCCAATAAAACAAGGTAATTTTTTAAAAAATGGTTCTTGAGACACAAATGTTTTTGAATAAAGAGTAATACAACATGTCTACTCTCAGTTGGGAAAAATGTTTGAATGGAGATGCCACCGATCGATTATAAAACATGGATGACATTTGGTGACATTTCACCAGATCAAAAACTTTCTTGCAATGCAGACATATCATTCAGTGCAGGGCCATAAAGCCATATTATTTCTTTACTGCTGAAAGTCTTGCTAAAATCAGTCGGTACGAGAGTATATTCACAATTCTTTATCATTTTCCTTGTAACATTTTCCGACAGCTTTGAAAGTTCAATTGTTTGTGAAAATTTAATGCAATTTTGCTTAATGATGGAAACCAGTTGAGATGCAAATTTGGTTAGGACACAAATTTGAGGAAATTGATAAAAACGTTTTCATGAAAACTGACTTTGAAATTTGTAAACAAATTTCTCCAACAACAGATTCGCAACTGAATTCGTAACAGTCCAGATACTTTTGTGAGGGGAGCGTAGATCATTTGTTTTAACAATAAAGCTAACAATGATTCAATTTTGAAACTTGTGTGGATGAAAAGAAAAACTTAAATGAAAAGAACAGAAAGGATTTGTTTCTTTCGTATTCTCATGTTCTTGTACTTTGGTTCTGCTGTGTTTCATTTGGCAATGGACATGTTGCATGTGCAATTTTTATTTTACCGTTTTCGAGTTTTACCCTGTTATTCTTTGTATTTTTAGAAACGTTCCTATGATCTTGAGATTTTGGCAAATACCAAGATTTTGGTTTCATTTTCTATGTATAAATACAGAGTTAAGAAATTGCAAGGATTGATTTATTAATAGGCAACAAAGCATTTAGTTTTGAGGATAGAGATTCTGATACAGTATAATCCCATTATACTTTTACATAGTATAATCCCACTATACAGTATCTCATACTGAATCTTTGCCATTTTCTTTGTGATGCAGCCAGGCACGTCAGGTATCATAGTGGTTATAGCTTACTTTCAGATATAACATACTGGTGTACTTGGCCCTGGCAAACGGTCGGTACTTGACATTAAGAAAGTACCCCACTTATAATGCACTTCTTTATAACATACTTTTGGCTATAGCATCTTCTTCTAGACAAATTCCCTACTGAATAGACCCTTCTAAATAATTTCCTATGATACAACGGACTTCGTGTTTTTTCTTTGTTAAAAAACTTGTGTTGTGTCACTTTTGTCAAGGTGCCATCTTTCTTAGAAGAAAGTGACTCCTCGACCAGCTTTGCAATTGCGTGATAAAGTTCTACTGTTTCCTTGATTGATTCAAGTGCTGTCCAAGTTTCACAACGATTTTTCAAGATTCTATATTTAAGGATCATACCACTTCATGCTATAAATCACAAGAGTAGTCATATCTGCAAACCTTATCCACAATGGGAAGAAAAGTTTTATGGTCGAAAATTATTCTCAAACTCCTCATTCAAAGAAAATGTATAAAAAAATTTGTATTATATTCAATCAATTTTCACTTCCCCATTAGTTTTAAGTCAACAGATGACATGCCAAGAGTCTAATTGTGATTATGCTTTTAGAAAGAGGGTTTGAAATTTAAACATGCGCGGAAACTTTGCAATACTATTTGCGAAGAACCTTGACGAGAGTTGATTGAAAATATGAAAGATGATTGGCTGAAAACATCTTGCTGTCATCAAATGACAAGACACTTAGGCCCTGTCCACACTACACAAACTAACCCAGGTTCGCCCCAGGTTCGTCCCAGGTTAAATTTAACCTAGTGCGAACCCTGCATTGTCCACACTTGATTTTCATGTTTTGTGATGTGGAGACAAAGTCGGCGTGAACCCAGGTTAGCTGGCGTAGTTAAATAACAACAACAACAAAACAACGACAACACCAAACTTTCCACAAACACGATCAAGATGGAAGTTGCCGAAGTCGCATTTTATTGTATTTTGTCCAAAAAAATTTTCCTGGCAATGCAGTTTATTCGCAAGAAACATCTAATAGCGCGACAGTCAAGATTTAACAGAATATTGGCTGCATCTCGCAAACGGATTCGAGCGTATAAGAGATTCAGATCACAGAGGAGGAAGAATTTCGAAGTATGTCTAGAACAAAGTATCACTTTAGAGTGCACTCAACCAACAGACGTGGAAAGGAAATACTGGTGTAAAACCCGAAGTGCTCGTAGCCACTTTCTTTTTCTAGGCGCTGTGCCATCTTTTCGTAAACATGTCTTTTCCTTGTACAGTTATCCAACTGTTCTTGAATCTTTTCGTTATTCGACAATTATTTTAAACACAAAGCACATTTCCAATGCTTGCCCGTTGCAGGGTTATTGGAGATTAGGGATTAATTTTTCAAAGTATAGAAGAAAGGCGGGGTTATTAGAGAGTGCGGGAGTGCACAAGCGAATACGGTAAATGTAAAAAAGTACTCTTCGACCAGTCAAACTACTGACAGCATTTCAAGAACATCCTGATGTTCAATTTTGAATAATTTTGCATTGTCATAGGAAACGGACGTCACTGACGTTAGAAGCAATAAGTTCAGGTAAGAGATGATCAACTTTAGCATTAATTTATTCAGTTTCTTATAAAGAGAAAAGGTTAGACCCAGAGGGCATAGTCAGTGCCTTAAAAAGAATTCAATGCTAGCTGTGAACCTGTATTGACCTATATTACAATACATTTGTTTTCGGTTTTTGTCAGGTTTGCGAAACATCTTTAACGTGCAAATTGATAATGTCTGGTTAAGTGAAATTTAATTCATGATCCCCAAGTCACAGTTAGAAGTCCGTTCTATAGTCAATAGGCATGTCACTGAAAGATTCTTCATCAGACAAAGGCAGTTCGCTTTCTTCAATACTGTAGGCTGGCGTTTCTTCTGCGTATTTGCTTTTTTTTGACTTTGGCATTGCCGGATCAAACATATTCAGATCTGGATACATCGCAACCAGTTTCGAAGTTTGCCCGTATTGCATTCCATTCAGTTTTAACATTTCTTTTTCGTGTTTTCTTTGCAAATATTCCATCTTCTCTGACACATCTCTCTCAAGGTTGTTTACGGCTGTCGATAAACTATGAAGCAACTGCTCTGCCTCTGTGTCTGCCATTGTAACCTTTGCCCTTCCTTGTAGTAAAGAACCATTTGTGAATAAAAATAAGAGTCTTGAGAAAATAAAGTCAGTCTTTTAAATAATTTGAGGTGCTAGAGTATCTTTAGAAAACAATGCCCAGGTCCTGCCGCAATATGGTGGGGTCTAAATTCCTATTGTTACGGGCTATTATTCTATCCATTTGTCTGAACCAATGGGAAAGTGGATCACAATGGCATGCACATCAGAACGAAGACAAATTTCACATTTTTGAAGCTTTACAGTATATAGTCAAGCCCTATATATCATAGTTGCAACATATAAACCAGAGTTTAATTTCACTCTTCGATTGATTCTCTTTTCTCTAAATTTTCTTCGTCTTTTTTTCGAGATTGGCTTATTCCCATAAGTGCCAGGAATGCTCCTACCACATGATATATTATGAGACGTAAAAGCAATAACATTAATTTTAACTGCGCATGTGCATGTGATACGAAATTTTGATAAGCCAACCGACCTTCAGACAAACGCTGGTTCATCTTCCCAGCAAAATTGGACTAAAAGCTTTGTCCTATTGTATTTAAAACATATATGTCCTATTGTAACAGTTAAAAAGCTGTTACAGGAGAAAATGTTTAAAAATAATTTTATTTACAACGAAGAGATATGATGTCTCGTTATGGCAAAATACCCTATGTTGTTCCTCCCAAGAACACGAGCCAGAACTGTAAGCAAAATTGTTTAAAGACTTGCATGATTTATTCTCCGTTGGCATAACTCTCTTAAAAGAAATTCGAGGCTCAAAGTTTGCAAGATTTGGTTTAAGCCTAACAAAGATATGGAACATTCGGGTAGAACGTTTGAGTTAAAAAATGCATATACCTCTACACTTCTTTCCTATTTCAATAGCTGCACCAACCAATACGAGAACAAGTAGTAGAATTCCCCCATATTTGGTCAACATTTCCAATATGTCAGACTCGCTAACGATCATGTACCTTATGAGCTCTGTTCTTCGAGCCAGGGAAATCTACAATCGAAAATAGAATGTCCAATTGTCAGGCTACGCCTCACTTGATTACATTCTTTGTGACTACTTAAACAAATTCTAGATCTATCATGAGTTTTTCTTTAAATTATTCATACAAAAAACAATAGCTGAAAAGTAATACAAAAAACTGAATTAAGTTGACTACATCATATTTCTCACAATGCTTTTTATAAGAATGTGCCTTCTAATCAGAAGTTAAGACTTGTTGTTTATTAATGTATTCGGTAGCAATTGAAAAACTTTGCATTCAAGGAATATCTCTGATGCGAAATCGAAAAAGAAAGGAAGATAATTGATTTGGCTGTCAAAACAGTCATTTAATTTTTATGGGCTTTGATGCTTAATTATTCAAACTTAGCCAAGGCAGGATACAAAATACCTAGAAATACCTCAAATGAAGCTACATTCTTTCTAATTTCCTCCAGCATCTGCTTTTCCCTTTCTTTTGCATATCGACTGACACAAGATTTGATTCTCTTTGCTTCACCAGATAAGGCGATGCCAAAGGAGCCTTGAATATTCAGCACCTTTTCTAGAACAATGCCAGGATCATCGAGATAGGCTTTAAGAGCTCCAGCTCGGTAAAAATCAACCAGGACTCTAGATACGTTGCCTGACATCAAAGATCTTTTGATGAAATGACCATCTGATACGTTCCCTGAACAGCGGAAAACAAGCCCAATGTCATTATTTGCTTTACGAACCACACAACGTAGTACTCTTAAATACCATCTTTCAGATGGAATTGAAGCAACCTTCTCCGTTTTTCAACATTCACACTGCATTGACTACAAGCCCAACTGGCTCTCATGTCCATTCAAATTCAGTAAAACTGAAAGTATTTGATTGAATCGCAAATTTTTTTATGAAATCGCCAATTAACAATTACCAATTTGAAAATCTTGAAACAAAGGTTTGATATTAAAAAAAAGTTTAACCTTAAAAACAAAGTCCTTAAAAACACGTTTAGGACTCTTTTCTTTTATTGCTAGACTATGAATAAGGTCTACTGAACTATTTTTAAGATTACCGACGCGTCATTTTCTAAGACCATAAAATATTTATTCGTGTTTTCTATTGCATTTCTTGGCAACTACAACATTTTCTAAATGAGACCGTTTATCATTAATTAGTATCATCTCCACCGATAATTCAAAAAATCTGAATTTTTTCTACAAATGAAGTCAAAGGGTAATTTCTCAATACACATTATGGTTTATGCAAAACGATTGTGATTTAAAACGCTACAATAATCACTTAAAAAAGAAAAACTGGGTATTGATGTAAAATATACTACTCTACCTATCTTAACCTTTCGGCCATAAAACTGAGTCGCAACCATAAACAAGTCTTCAGATGTCAGAACCTGCAACCAATAGGAAAAGCTAAGGTTCACATGAATGTTTCTTACAAGAAACTCGATTATGCAACACTATTTTGAAAGAACACAAAAAATTAAGGAACGCTACAACGGCAGGTATTCATTATTCACATCACATCTGATGTTGTCCTGTGCAGCGTACAATAAACCCTAAGAGTTTAAGAATAACTACAGGAAAGCCAGGATGAGCCCCAATTTTTTGCTTCATATGAAAAGAAGGACTAACTTCCATTCAGAGCTTCAAGTAGGTAAAACAATCATAAATTTATTCGAATTCATTTCGCTTGAACGTCTATCCTTTCCTTAACAAAGATAAATGTATTAGTATCATTGACTTGCCTTTCCGTTTGTAGAAGCTGTGACAGGCTTGAAAACAAAATCAATTGCCATTAAACTGGAAAGATTGCCAATTATCATGCTGGTGAGAACGAGGCCCATAGCAGTCCAAGCCACAGTGTATATTCTTCCTTTTTTCGTTTTTGGGACCAAATCTCCATAACTAAAAAATACCAAAAATAGTAAAAGACAAAATGTTGTGTAGTTATTATACTAAAGCATGATTAGAAATATTGAAGTTAGGGTCATTTCATGCGCAAGCCTAAAATTCTCCCGTAACACAGTATCGTATTTCTACCTAAATTATTTCATCAATAGGAATGTGATGAAATGTTTTTCCAGACAGATATTATCAAATGTTTTTCTCGACAGATTCTGTTGAATGCTTTACTAGACAATAATCCAAGAATAGATAATTTCTACGCACTGTAAAGAATTGGAATACAAAGAGTTACTGTAAAACCATGATAAAGCATAATGAATAGTGAATAATGATAAAAAGTTGATTTTATAATGCGCCCATATAAAATACAGTATTACGCGACGCATACAATATATAGGTACGAATAAATCAGATCAAGCTTAAACAACCGTTACAATAACCACGAGGATCCTTAAAAGTTTTATACAGTATTTGTCGATATGAATAATGAATTAGAAATTAAATGCCGGACGATCAGGACCGCCGAGAGGTCAAAACAGAAAGACAGAACCATCTAACGCCCGTTAGATTAGGCTAAAATCCATTTCAGAAGATATCTTGCAGTCATTTTCTTGCAAACGTTTAAGATTATTTTTCTATTTTTAGGCATACTTTTGTAACGTTCGTTAAACGGAAGTCATAACCTTTTGAGGCTGCCTAAACCTCAAGGCCCTGGAGAGATTTGCTCCCTGCCCCCTCCCCTTTTGGCATGCCAAAAATTCTTCGAAACTCATAAGACAGTAGGCTAAAGTGTAGTTATAAAGATTCTCTGCTTAGCACTGGGGAAAGAGTTCAGAAATTTCAAAACAACTTTAGTTAAGGTATAAACAGTTTACAAAGCTGCTTTAAAATAGTTCAAGGACATGTCCAAATACCCTCTTTACAATGATTGGCTAACTAAGTTTCATGATAAATAAGGTTACACAAATATTATTTAAAAGACTTTTGCACAAAACTAATGAAAAATATAATAATTTACCCAACAGTGGTCATTGTAATATAAGCAAGCCATAGTCCACTTCCCCATCCTCTGAAGATATATTTCGAAAAGTCTTCTTCATTTTTCGATGACTCCTGGCAGAAAGGAGAACATTTCAAATCGTGAAGAAGTAGTTTGAGTTAAATCTTCTTCCATGTTTATTAGGCTTTAGCAAGCATAGCGACTAGAATTAGATATGTATGCCTTGAACAGCCGAAAATCAGATATCCGAATTCTCAACGGATAGAATGAAATAGTTCAAATAAGTGAGGATTTGAATGAGTGTGGTTAGGTCATAAATAAGAATAAATGAAAGTTTGATAACAATATTTACAACATGCGCTCAATACATCGGATGAAACTTGTCCTTTAAAAACTTTCCCTTTCATGTATCAAAATTCTTGGAAATTTTGTTTTACTTAAATCATATGCTCAAAAATATTCTTCCGCAATATTTTCTCTTTAACAGATAATTTTATCCAGATAGTTTTCAATAGAAAAAAGTATTCTCTCTATTGTGTTCATCGGTGCTGCTTCACTTTCAGCATGAGTAATGACTTCATCAACATAGTTAGAATTTTTCTTTGTTGAAAGTCAAATAGGCAGCATGGTAACACCATATGACTCCTGCTTTTTACATTTTCATGCCAACTTTTGTTGGAAATTGGTAAGATTTGGTCGCCTCAAATCCCCTGGTGTTACTTATGGTTTCATATACGAAACTCAAAGCTTAAGTCGGACTACTTTGGCTACTTGAAAATAGATTGCACTGTCATACTGCAGACTTACCAATATCCAGAAAACAATGCCAGCCAAGATTGTAATGACTGTTGATAGCAACAGCAAAGGCCACTGTTCCCAGAGAGAGCTTATTATCACCGATGAGGCTGCATTTCCTAATTCCTTTCTCGTAGGATTTTTCATAAAAACTAAAACGTTTCTTGTATTAAGTATCGGTATAAAGACATATTCACTGCTGTGAATATCTCCTTGCAATTCAAACTCGTCGTTAAAAATCGGAAGGGCCAAATGTGTTCCGTTTGCAATCGCTTGCAAAGCTTGTTCTCGGCTATATTTGATTGACGTATTGTTTAGTGCGTCTCGTTGCCAATCAACGTAGCTTATACCGTGTCTTCCACTGCAGTTTCCACAGCAAGATGTTGTCGCCTCGTCTACTAGTTGCGGGATTATCTTTAGATTATCCTCATTTGCAAGTGGCAGTAAAGGGATTCTTGCTGATGACAGCAGCTTTGGGCATCTGCAAGTATCTGGAAACAGAACATTGCTATTGAAACACAATAAAGGTATACCAAGTGACCTAAATATAGCTTGTCATAATATCTCATAAAATCCTTGCTCCAAAAAACCAGTGACCGAAAACTTGGAATCCTTTTTGTACTCTGACATCTTTGAAATTTTAAAGAAGACTCGCATGTTTTCCAAAGCCTAAAACAAACACTTTCCAAAGCATGGCGACTTTTCTTGCATTTTAAAAATTTTGTACTATGAATTTTTGGTTTTGAAGAATTTTGATGGATTTTTGCTTCACTCATCGTTCTCTTTAAAATATGAATCCATAAACTGGGATGGATGCATGAATGCAGATGTTGTGTTGCCATTTTAGACGCCAGATGCCAAGTCTTCTTGGGACAATAAAAAACCATGGTGTTACTCTTTCCTTTATAAAAATGGCTTATTTTTATTCACAGTGTTTAGAAATTCATCAGTTAAGATTCGAAGATAGAAAATATAAAATCGGATAGAAATTTTCATGAGCTGCATGGAGATTTAATATGATTGGATTTAAAACTGAATGGATGCAGCTTGTAAGACACAGAGTTAGCTAAGACTCGCAAAATGCCAATGAAAGGCTCTCATGGATACCTCAACAGATATCGAGTTTTGCCTTCCTTGATGTTTCGTTTGCACCCAGCTTTAAGATTAAGATTGTAAATTGGCTTGCTTGTCAGTTTTAAACTAAGTAATATTTTGAAGAAATTATTATTCAGGCTTTTCATGCACTGCAGTTTTTGTCTGCGGTGAGTTCCAAATTGTAAAACAACAAGCAATGGTTACTAAAATTGATGAAATATTTATGAAAGCAAGGAAAATCGCAACAATGTTGAAAAGGAAAAGTTTCAAAGTAAAAAAACATACTTCCATAGTGTATTTTGGACCAGACACCAAAACCTCCCTCAGTAAAGGCCTGAATTCGGAAGCCATACTTTCCATATGGATCAAGCTTTTCGATAACCACTGTCCTGTTTGGCTCAAACACGTTGATAAAATCTACGCTTGTTTTTGGAACAGGAAAATCGTACGCTTCTGCCAGCCAGTACTCAATTTTGTATCCTATGACTTCGCCATGTGCTGTTTGCTGTTTAATAGGATCCCAGCTAAGAAGCGCTTCGTAGAACCCATACATGTCAGCTACGTGCAATTCTGGAGCTTCGATTGGAACTGGCAAGTAACAAACAGATTTCAGTTAACAATATTTTGTTGAAGGGCGGAAAAGTATTAAGATTAGAGAAATGCTGTATAATTCACAGGAAATAGTAGAAATTTTGTTAAACGGTGCAATATCAAGGCTTGCTGCATCGTTCCATGCACAAGAAGTCAAAGTAAAAGGCTTAAATCTGGAGTCATAATAGCCCCAAAAATCAAGTTTTTTAAGCTAGACAGAATATTTGCAAAGCATAATTGCTTTTGTTTCTTCCTTAATTTTGTAGTACCTTTTTCTTGATTTCATTTAATCAAAACTGTTCGCTAAGGATTGAGCCTGGATTTCTTCAAATTATTGAAGGCTTGAATTATCGTTTAAAAATATAGCCTTGACATTAGCAATTGCGAAGGAAATATATTTCTTTTCGAAAAAGGTGAAAGGATTAGACTTTCAATATACTCTGTCAAGTCATATGTTTTCTAGGTAAAAACCACACCTCCTTGTTTTGTTGTTCCATTTATAGTGTTTGTCACTCCTAATCCTTTGGAAGTAAAAGCACCAATTCTCACTTGATACCAGGAAAAATCCTTCAGTTCAGCTATTTCAGTTTCAAATGTAGTTGCATTGACTTCTTTCATCTTTTCACCTGGTTCTGCTCCATAAACTGCAAATGGATTGATGGCTCTTGGTGCCCTGTGGTACTGACGCATCGCTGTGTCGATCGATTTGTAAAATATTCTATATCCAAGGATGATGCCATTTCTCAAGGATTCAGGTATGGGGCTCCAGTATACTTTGATAGCGTCAAACTTTGAAGGCCATGTCTCAACAAATGTAGGTGATGCATCTGGTTCTATGGCAATAAAATAAACAAGCATCTCTTAATTAAAGATGAAAAATTGCCCAAACATTGGAAAATTCTCGGCATGCATAACATGGGGTTGAAAATTTAAAGTAGTATGTGAAAGTGGCAGAGTCATAAGCAGCAAAAGTTAAGTAAACTTATTTGATTTGATACAATAGAAGAAGGCTTTAAAAAGACTAACAGTGAAATGAAACGCCTTTCAGTTTTGAAGTCTATAAGATCTTATACTTACTGTCTTCATCCGTTGTTACATTGATATTGTGAGAGAAGTTCCCTTTCCCCTTGCTGTTTACGGCTTGAATACTAAAGCTATAGTTTGTAAATTTTCTCAACTTCGGAAGACGAATTTCTGGACTACTCCCGTTAGACGATATGTTGAAGACTTGGTGCTCATCACAGCCCGTTGGCCGATCTTCATGGCAGTCGATCACGTGGTATTTCACTATGTATGCAATAACCTGAAAGATCAAGATACATATCCGTAAAACCAAAGAAGAAAAATCTGTTGCCATTATTGGCATGTATATGCATTAGTTGTTAGAAGATATACATAATTGTTTGATCATATTTAATTGTTCCATTACATGCAGTTGCCATACGATTAACATCTCTGAAATATGACTTTGACTACAGTGAAACCTGGCTCAGTCCAAACTTTTTAACTTTTTCTTCCTTCCCTATTTTGTACTGCTCAGGCTCGTACCTCCTCAATATCAATCTAAAACCCTTCCGACTAGAAACTGAGTGAAAAGGTTATGAAATTTGTGGTAGAAGAAAACCAAAGCAAAAATCCAGAATTTGGATAATGGAAAAATTATCGAGGCTGCGAAAATAGAATCTGACTTCTGCTACAGCTGAGATACATTATCCTATTGGAGAATCAAGAAGATTTTTAATTTATAAAAAGTTGGTAGATTAATGTTGATGGAGAAACAAAATTGAGAGAAGAATCATTATATTGCTTCTTTAAAAAATTTAAAATGCTAAAGATAAAATTTGCTGCTTTCAAGAGTCCACTCACCTTTCCATTGGCATCTCCATCTACTTCGTCCATTTCTTTCCATTTTAATACTATTTCGGTTGAAGTTGCATTTCTCCCTGTTATATTTCTTGGTGGCTCTTCAGGTGCTTTTTGAGATATGGAAGTTTGTTAGAATTAAAGTATGATCTTTTATTGGAAATGGAAATCTATTTCGAGATTCAAAATAAGAATTTTGAATTTCAATATAGATTTCCATTTTTCGAAAATTTAAACTTCATTCTTGATCTCTTGCAAAATAAGGTTTATGGAATTTCATTGTGAAACTTTATTCATCAACTTACATGACCACTTCATAAAGGCTGACCATAAAAACTAGTTTATTATCTAATCTTTGCTACTAAAAGAATTGAGAACACTTAATAGAGTTTCATCATAAAAAGAATGAGGGAGTAGGGGCCTAAAACAAATTGCAATATAATCCATGAACGCTTTTATCTTCCTTTCACAAGAAATAATAAAAAGTCTTTTTCAAAATGCTTAATTTTTTGCTTCAGTGTATTCAATTATCATGAGATTGTCAATAAATTTATTTGCAGCTCATATGAATGTTATTTCTCAATTTTTATTTAATTGTTTGTTATAACTTTTCTCGAAAAGAAGTTAAAAGATGACACGAACAATAACTTACCATACTCATCTGTCCATACTGTGACATTCTCACTTAGTTTTCCAAAGGCTTTTATATTAAAAGCTTGTATCATAAATGCATACGGAGTGTATATCTTCAATCCAGTGACGTTTGTCCTGAGGTTAACTGTTCCATTGACAGAGTTATTTACAAGCAAATGTTTCCATGGCTGATCAGGTATTGATATATCTTTGTAAAACAGCCTGTAGCCTAATATTATTCCATGCCTAAATTTCTCAGGTACTCTGTCCCATTTCATTGCTATTGATCTGTGGTCCAAGAAGTGTCCAGTAAAATTTTGCGGAGATTTAGATGGGACTGAAATTGAACAAGGTTTTGTTTAATGCAGTTTGATATAGTTATAAATGTTTGAGATCAAGGCATGAAAAAGGTGTCATAGCTGCTGGAAGCCAGTGATAATAGAAATGTGTCAAAGTTATATTGCTACGATGTTTTTTGGAAACAGAAAATTAGCAATAATTTGACGTCGGTAATTTTTAAAATTCATCATTATCTCTTTGAAGGTCTGTTAAAAGAACTGATGCTTTTTTGACTAAAACTTAACAAGACCTAATAACATCAGGTTCTGAATAAGAAAACAAAGTGTGTTTATTTTCCTTTTAAAATTGACAAAGTGCTCTTCATTAACATACTGTACTTTGTTTATTTTGCACGTCCATGGTGTTATATCATGATGCTCTTTCTGGTTATATGGTCAAAAGTCAAATATTCTAATGATTTATATTTTGATGACATCATTGAAATTAAGATCTCAGTGTTCTTAAAAGGATATAATTAAAGGATGAACATTGACCTAGGTCACAAAATGTGTACCGTGCCTAGCTTAGTCGTATAGCTGTCAAGGCTTTAATATTAAAAGCTTATGAATGCTTGTGAATATTGTAGAAAACAGTAGAGTTTATACCACTCTTCTTGCAATAAGCAATTTAATTAGCTTTCAATGATATGCGAAGAGTTGCTCGTTCAGTGAAATACTTAATGTAACAAGAAACGCACCATCAGCATCAGTACGAATCTCAGTCACATTACTGAATGGCCCCAAACCAACAGACGTAGATGCAGCAATTTTGAACTCGTAAAGCGTATAGAAATCTAGGTCGCAAACGACAAGCTGCATGATGGGTGAAGATACAGTCAGATTCTTCCAACCAGTATTTGCCATTTTTTCCCTGTATTTCACGGTATAGTTGGTTATTCTGCCATTTTGATGCTCTTCTGGTACTGGTTCCCAGTACAATTGAATGGCTGTGGAATTCTTGTAATTGCCCCGTAAGTTAACCGGAGGAGCATGGGGCACTAGAATTAATAAATTTATATAAATAATTCCAATCTTCCGTAAAAATATTCCTTAAGGAAGCGGTGCAAGTAACAAAGCTTTTAAGTGTACAATGCTCACAGAGATAATCATATACTGCCGTTATCAGACATGTATGCTGGCAGTTTGTAAACACGCACTGCGTCATAAATATAGCAAACATCCAATTATTGTCAATTATTACAAGCATCATCATTGAAATTCTTGCAAAGAATAAGTCTTTTGGGGGTGTGACAGATATGCGAGCCGAAATCTAGGGAATTCATGCCGTGGAGTGTGTGTATATGTCGTTTCACAGCGGAACTAAAGATCGTTTACATCATTGGCCTGATTTTGTCTCGCATAGCCTCTTCCCATCAAGTAACTTTATTTTCCGATCGCACATTAGCGGTTGCAAAATTTTACCTTGTCTCTATTTGCATACAGAGAAGGTTGAACTATGATATAAATTTACTCCATGAGGTATTATGTATCTTTGCAGCATACTATTTCTAGCTATTAGAACAGAAGCATTGTTTTAAATATATAATACTCCTGTCTTCCCAGTTAAAAATATTTTCCTATAAAGAAACTTTTCTTGTGCAAGAATTCATTTATGTGAGACAAAGCTAGATAAAACTATGATTAGTATTGAAATGTTTATCACCGTCTTCAAGTGTCCTTTGAATGATTGAAGTTGAAAAGACTCCAGGTCCTTTGCTGGTTATGCCTGCAACCTCGATTCGATAATCAACATATTCAGCAAGATTGCTGATAACAGCAGATAATCCATTAACAGTTGTCTCGGTTTCGAGATCTTTCCCATCGACTCTTTTATACTTCACAACATATGCCGTGATAATACCGTTGGTATGGGCAGGCTCTATGACCGACCAATCAACCTTGAGAGATCGCGATGACAACGCAGTCGTGCTTATCGCTGTTGGAGGTGCACTAGGCTCTGTAAGGAAATTAAAATATATTCAGTTGTATAGTTAGTTTTTGCGCCAATGATAGGCCTTTTTAGAACCATCAATATATTTTTATAAGCAAACAATACAGACAATGAAATATTTGCACATAAACCCACCGCCACGACAGATTTTTGTCTTTGGAAGACAAATTTTGTTTGTCTTCAATCAATCTGCATACGGCAAATTTTTGTCTTCGAAAGATATTTTGAAAGATTTGATATTTTTATTTTCACAGATTCCGCACATGACAGATTTTCGTCTTTGAAGCACAGAAAAAAGCTGCTTGGAGGGTAGAACATCATCATGTGATCAAAACATAGTCGCTTATTGGCCACTCCATTTTTTTCGAGAGACTTTTGTCTTTTCTCTTTGTTTTTTGTTTTGAAAGACAAAGATTCCTGTCTTTGACAACAACACATGGCAGATTTCTGTCTTTCAAGGCAAAAGACAAAAACCTTCATCCTTCAAAGACGAAAATCTGTAGTCTGCGGTGAGCTTTAGTAGACGACGGCAATTATGCATACAATGACTAATAGCGTTCTAAACAATCTTTTGGTGGTACAAACTTGAAAATGGCTTTGAAAAAATCAAACATTTAGTAAAGCTTTTAGTAAAGCAAACATTTATCCCCAAAGAGAACAGCCATCTCGGTCTTGCAAGTCTAAAATTACAACGAGAACCTGCGATTCTGCTATCAGGCAACAATTACTGGAAAACCCAGATTGTGCAAAAAACTATAATGGCGACATGTTTCTGATTATTGGTAAATCCTGATCGTCGTTCCACCTAGCAGTTTTGGAATCTATCTACATAAGCACGAAAAAACCACTACTGTGTAAACAAAAGGAGTTCGTTTTCACCTTAGGACTCTATTGGTAACATTCTTATAGGCAAGCGGCACTGATTGGTCAACCTTTACAGTCATGTGCTCGTGTTTCTGATTGGCCTATTTCGATCCACAACTGGGTATATATATTTCCTAGCGTAGAGTTTTCGGTCTATGCTCTGACGTTTTAAACTCTAAAGAGTGTCAGACGAAAAGCTTTAGTTTACTAAATGTTTGCTTTTTTCAAAGCCATATCAGTATTTTACAAAATATTATTGTTTTATTTGGTTGCTAGGATTCTAACGATCGTGCCCGATTCATAATTTTCCATTCATAATGAGGAAAGCACTTTGGCTAGTGATGAAGAAGCACAATGTCGGTGCTGGACTGGTCAATGTGATAGAATCACTGTACAATGACAATAGTAACGCTGTGCTGACAGGTAGTAATGGTACCATGGAGTGGTTTCAGACGACAGTCGGTGTGCGTCAAGGGTGCATTCTGTCCCCGTGCTTGTTCAATATCTTTCTGGAACAAATTATGACAGATGCGCTTGACAACTACTCGGGAACAGTAAGGGTCTCTGGAAGACAGATAACAAATCTGCGGTTTGCAGACGACATTGACCACATTGCTGGTACTAAGGAGGAGCTGGAAGAGCTCACCAAAAGACTGGACACAACAGCAAGAAAGTATGGGATGGAAATCAGCGCTGAAAAAAGCAAAACACTGGTGACTTCTAGGATTGCAGCTGAAGTAGCCAATGGCACCATAATCAAGGTTGACGGAACAGAGCTGGAGGAAGTGAAGACTTTCCAGTACCTCGGTTCGACATTGAACGAAGATGTTACTTCAGAGCACGAAATCAAGAAGAGGCTAGCAATTGCTACCAACCAGCTTGCAAAATTGAACAGACTATGGAATTCGAATGGAATTTCTACCGCGATCAAGATAAACTTGTTGAAATCCCTGGTAACATCGATTGCCTTATACGGATGTGAATCATGGACCTACAACAAATGTTTGGAGAAAAGAATCTACGCCTTTGAACTTCGCTGCTTCAGGAGAGTGCTTGGGATAACGTGGAAGCAGAAAATCACGAATGTGGGAGTGGAACAAAGAATAAGGCAACTAATTGGCAACTACGAACCACTTCTGGTGACGGCGAGAAGACGCAAATTGCAATGGTTTGGCCACATCACTAGACAGAATGGAACTCTAGCTCATGACATAATGCACGGAGCGGTAGAAAGTAGCAGAGGCAGAGGGCGACCCAGGAACACGTGGCTGAGCGACATCGCCAATTGGACCGGGAAGAGCGTGGTGTCGTGCATGAGGGTAGCAAGGGATCGCGGAAGGTGGAGGAAGACTGTGAACTCATCCAAGTGCCCCAACGGCCAGAGGGCCACGGGAGTGACATGACATGACATGACAATTCTTGTGAAATATTCTAAAAACAGCAGCTTTTTGAAGTTTGTTGTTAGCTATATAATTTTAATGATTAAAGGGTATTTTGTAGAAAAATGTTTGGATATCGTTATGTACTCTTATTGATATGATATGTGGCGGTACTCTTATTGATATGATAAAAATATTTCTTTTAGTAAAAATTTTAACAAAATAAACATGTATTTCTCTTAAGATTATCATGGTTAATCTAATGAAGTTAATCCACTTACTGTCTTCATCAGTTCTAACTCTTGTAGCATTACTTATGGTCCCCTCTCCAACTGAAGTCTTGGCAGATACTCTGACGTCATAAAATGTCCACAAATCAAGGCCAGACTTTGTGAATGACTTTCCAGTTACCTCATAACTAGTCCACGGGTGGTCGCCTATCGCCTTTTTGATGTATACTTTATATCCGGTTATGATTCCGTTTTTGTGATCTGATGGTACATTGTCCCAGCTCACTTGAATACTAGAAGAGCTTGTGTTTTGTGCTGATATATTTACTGGGGCAGCGCTAGGAACTGATACAGCAGGCAAAACATTAAGAAATTATTCAATGATACCAATTCAAATAATATCTTTTTATGACAAAAATTTCACATCAAATTTCATTCATTTGCAAATTGAGTCAAATGATTTTTTGAGAAAGTGAATAATGTTATTCACTTACTGTCTTCCATTGTTCTCTCCTCCACAATGGCACTGAACAATCCAGTTCCTTTCGACGTCCTTCCAGCCACCTTGAACTCATATACGGTGTACTTTAGAAGGCCAGTTGCAATAAACTGCCGATTTCCGAGACTGGACCTGATTTCTGACACCCAGCTTTCTGAGGCCGCATTTTTAACTTTATATTGAAGCTCGTAACCTGTACCCACACCATTCCAAAGCGAAGGATCAGAGACAGTTCTCCATGTCGCTTTGATTGATGTTGATGATTGAGCTGAGGCTGCAAGGCCTGATGGGGCTGTGTCTGGTACTATGGGTTCAAAAACGAGTAAAGTATATTTACCAACAAAATCTATTATTGCGAAGAAACGAATCTTGTTGTTAGTTGGCAGGGCATGACTGCTGCCGGTTTTATTAAAAGTGGGTGCAAATGTTTACAATAGTTAGGCGACAGGATTTTTATCCTCGTAAAAAAAATTGTAAGAACTTTTCTTGCTTTCGAGTTTTTTCAAATTTGAACTGCCAATTGTAAATCTGCAACTCTTACGAACAAGTTGTTATATGAAATTTTATATTTGATTCAAAAACTGCTGTTTCCATTTGTTTAAATCATTAAAAGAAGTCGTCAAAGTTAGCCCTGGACATGTTTAAGTAATGCCAAAGAAATTGCAAACGTGTTATCTTAGCATGGAGCCAAAACTGCAGGTTCATAAACAATTTTTCAACGTGTTTGTGCTGGCATTTGCAGTGATGACAACATTAAGATATATCTCAAGCGTATAATTCAATGGCAACGCTGAATTTGTGCAACAAATATTGTATGCTTCCACTAAACGAAATAGACAGGGACTAGTATGGCTGGCGTTATTAATAAAGTCGTTTAAGAATTATCCATAATATGAATACAGGTTTTAGGCTCTTCATCTAGCGACAGCTTTACGTTTAAGAGATATGTAATGGGCCAAAGGATGAATGCATCAAATATTCAACTACCATCTTCGTCTGTCTTCTGTACTGCAGCTTTTGAAATGATATGTTGGTCCTCTCCACCAATTTTCCCCAAATAATGTGCATGAAAAGAGTAATCTGTATATTTGTTTAATCCTGTGGCATTTATAGTTACAGGAGGGGCACCAGATAAGGTAAGTTTCTGCACGTTATTTTCGTCTCCAACTCTGTAATAGAGTATCTCGTAGCTTTGTAGTGATACCCAATTGTCACTTTGAGGTAGTGTTGGTGCAGCAGGCAGCGTTACTTTGATGGTGGTAGAGGTCAGCATTGTTAAAACGGGGATTGGTATGACTAATATCGACTCCGCTGAAATGAATTTAAGCATATGTAGAAGTTGTCGCAAAAGCATCAAAGGATTATTAAAGAAGCGTTTTCAAAGGTTGTTATCACGTTGTTGTTTAGGTTAGACTATTAAAACTGACAGCCTAACTGACAAATCTTATATCATAACCAGTCACGTGCTTTCAAATCTTCAAATGGTTTTTGCAAATATTACCGATAAGCGAAGCATTTAAAGACTAGAAGCTTTTGTAGAATCTTCTGATGTACTTACGTAACGAGAAAATACCTTTAAATACTAAAATTTTACATCTCTGTGTGGAATAATGAGAGACTGCTCAAAAGAGCGCTCGAACGATGTAGACAGAGCTGTTAAATATACCTGCATACATTAGGCAAATCAGACAGTGACGCAGCATCTTCGCCTTCAATGAAAATACTTTGAGGTTTTTTTATTGAAAATATTATGAAATTAGAAGAAAAAACCAAATTGCAATCATTTTAAGCGCTTCTTACGTTTTTTAGGCATTCATTTATGTAGAAAACAGATTGTTTTTATTCTCATTTTATTTGTTGTTGTTTACGTAGAACTATTTTGGACTTTTGACCCTGTTATAATTAGATATGTTTAGCGTTGTTTAGGGATGTCCTCGGAGACACGTGATATTTCTTCTCGTGATAAGCGTGTCTTCGAGGATTTGTAATCGTAGCCCTACATAAGCATGTTTTACCCACGTGTTTTACCCACGGACAGAAAGAGAACAGCATCGTTTCCTATTGCTTAGAATCTAGATTTATATTGCAAGATCTTGTTAGTATTTCATGAGAGCCGGATTATTTATTCCATATTACCAAAAGTTGTTCAAACCTTCAATGATAATCGTTGAAGCATATTCTCGTTGCCCTTTATTATGGTATGGTACTTCTTATTCAGAATACTTGGACGCTAGGCAACTGAATACATAAGTTAAGTTTGGTAGAAAGCACTTTTTGCATACATAAAATCTTTGATTGACAGGTTTGAACAAAAGGGGTTATCAGGACAATCTGGAAACAGATTCGTTGCTATCTATTGTACTCATCTATGCATCTCGAATATAATTTTAACTAGCACAACGTTCATAGCCTTTTTTAAGGGATATAGGCTACGGGGCAAGCCTTTGTTCATCTAAAGAGAAGGACAATAGTCTCTCGTAGAAACAATTGAAAGTCAATGGGGCTGCAGGGGGGAAATGCAGTCTTGTTAGTAAATTGAAACGCCCTGATAACGTCTTTTGAGGTATAATTTTATCCAGCACCTATAATGTAGCCAGTACATAAAACACTACCTTATTTAAAGACATTTTTGGAAAAAAGACGCAGTAGAGCTCAACCAGCTATCTGCATTAAGAATGGCGATGATATTTTTCGTGGTAGTACGCAAGTTCTCGCAATCGCAAGAATATAAAATGACGAAGGTTCAACAAATTTGCACGTGCAGGACAATAAGGTTTTTTTTACGAAGGCTTAATACAGCCTTCAAAAGTTCCAGTCAAATGGAAAATGTAGATAAACATTTGAACTAAGGGAGTGGGCTTGAAATTAGTTGCGTTGTATCTGTTCAATTTTTATGCATTTTACCTGCATTTTTTGCATTAACTTACTTCATGAGGTAAAGTATATATAAGGGAAACAGATCTTGCCACCAATTTGATCTCGGGAATGGCTGTCATTGTTATCCTACCTCGAAAGATCATTTGGTTCCCTTATCCAACGTCCCCAGTCACGTATCTACCGAAGAAAGCGTTCTTCATTCTATTTAAATTAAAAATACTGTTAGGTTAATCAATTTTACAATTTTCAGTCAAACTAAGACATTACTAAATATGCATGAAATTTACAGCCACAAAAATTTTAGTTGTATTGGCAAAATGAAGTAGGTAGGAAACCGAGAAATTTAGAATCCTCTCAATCCTGGGTGTATAGCTATAAAAAGTTCAATGGGAAGCAATAGTAGCTAGCTTTGATTTTCCGCATTCACGATCTATAATATAATCACTGCAAAGAAGTTTGGAATACAAAATGGTTACATTGTAGGGGCGAATTCAGCTGTCCCTTCTCTTTTTGGAAAAATATTGATGTAGTCACAGGGGTGTCGCGTTCGGTTAATCTGTTAACATTTAATCTCTTAAGGCAGTCTGCCACATATTTTACTCAACTCTATTTCACAGGAGTGAAATTCATGCACTGCTGAGCTTTATCGATACTTAAACGATTTAAACCAATCAGAGATAACATTGATTCCAGAGCATTTGAATCCACCAGCTGTGTTCCCGTTTTAGTGAAGCTGTGGCTAGAAACTTTGGCTCCCTGTTTGGTTTCTGCAACAGAAATGTCAACAGCGAAAGGAAATGCTTCCATTGTCATCATTCAATTCCAGTAATTATTTTTGCCATTCCCGATAGCTTTATCTCGCAGCTTCAAGTGTCGTCCACTACGGCAGTTAGGCCAGCCCTTTGCAAGCAGCGTAATCCGTTAAGGCGGGAAGACCTATTGTTCATATTAGCCAATCAGGACAGACGGCCTTTAAGTGGATGCAGTGTTTTAGGTAATCCAGAGACCATTATCAAGAATCAGGCACCGTCGCAATGGTACTAACTTCGTTTGTCAGATATGATTTTCCTGACAGTCAACGAAACTTGGCGATTATGATTTCAGGTAAAGCTTTACCCTGTGTCAAATTTCCTACGACTTTTCAAAACAAGCCTCAACTGCATTTCACAATGAGCTCCAGATCTTTTCTAAAAAGGGGGTATTCAGGGATGGAAAAAGAGGTCAATTGAAAAATAGTGCTGCTGGTTACATGGTTTTAGAAGAAACGCGACAACTTTGTATTCTGAAGACTACGACGAATTTCTACCAACCTTTTTACATCTGCGGCAACCTTCGCAATTTCATTTCTGGGGATTGCATGTTGCTGGTTAGCAAAGACCGAGGTATAACTTTTTGTTGGGGGGAGGGGTGGGGGCAGCCATGATAAAAAAACTTAAAAACAACCATATCTTAGAAAATACAAGTATTTTACTTATATCAGTTTAGTTTTTGGGAGGCCAAGGCCCTCCCCGGCTCCCCGGTATCTCGGTCCTTGCTGGTTAGTGAAAGGATCTCGTAGTTAGCATTGATCTTACCAAGGTAACAAAGAATTTCTTGTTTTTTTAAAATTGCTTTGAAAATGTCTTATATTTTTTCATGAGACATCATTATTACCTAGTTTTAAACCTTCCGGCTCTGTCTGGACAGTCCCGATATCAGGACTTTCTCCCGACCACCCGAACTGAAAAATTTTGTCCCAATCTGAAGAAGATCCATCCCACTAAGTTATTCACTTAACAGAAAGGATGCAGTAGAGAAAATTGCTTCAAAATTGCCTTCTCCAGCGAACAGAAAGCATCAAAATTGAAAAGTTTTTCCTTTTCTTCGGTGGCAATCATGGTCCAAGCTCAACGAGTGCCAAGCTTGGGTAGCAACTACATTCAGTGCTTGTCCGGATATGAAGCTCTGTAGTATTGGAAGATCTGTTATTATCATGAAATAGAAGTTGCGAATAACGTGTCATTGAGTCAGGTTGACATATTGTAATAGAGAGGTGTGTATCAGTCACTAATTCAGGAATATATTTTTTCGAAATGAGGTAAATTTGTTGTGCAAACCAACACCCCCACCCCCCTCAACAACAAGGCCCCTCTCGCGACGGCCCTGTGTAGTGGAATGGCATTATGATGCACATTTAATCGTGTAACCTGTATGACGCTTTCCCGAACTTTGAACATTGTTAACGATAGTATTCAGGAAAAATGAAAGATGTGAAACACAAGGCAAAGTGATGCATATTCCAAGTAATTTTGGCAGGCCAAAAGTGAATTCCAACTAATTTGTTTTAGCTCGTGTATAACTCTAATTGCCGAAAATTTGAGAGTTATGGGACTTTATAAGACATTTCTATCTATAGGAGCAAAAATCATATTTCTCTTTGATAGGAAAATTTTCTGGTAAAGACAACTGTTGGAAAGAAATATTTTGCCTAAATCATATTTGGTAGAGGATAGACCGCCCATTTCAAAGAAAATAAATTTTCACTCTTAAGAACAAAGGAACATTGCTTAGGCTACCGATGGATGGGTCAGTCAGCGCATTGCTGGTTGAGTGAATCAAATAGAGTCCGTTTAAACTTTAAAAATAGAAGATCATTGACCTTCTGTTGAACAAACGATGAATAAATTTTAAAGCTCAAACTAATAATATCAGCAAAAAATTCCTTACCGGCTTCTAAATTTTGAAGCATTCCATCCCATGAATCACGAAATCCATTGCTACCTTCTTTGTATGTGATCCGAATATAGTCAGATCCTCCGCCTTCTGCCATAAATGCCTTGATTGGATAATAATTGTCTTTTGATAACTGTGCGGCATTCATCTCAACCGAACCTGGGTTAGCATAGCTAGAAATCCAAAATCGCTATATGAAATAATATTTTATTGAATACACGAAATTGTGCTGGTTTCAATTATCCTTTTCTAGAATATTTGGTGGAATGCAGATATATAGAATTCCGATAAGTACCTAGACAATGTTATTGTTATGTCACATAAGAGTACGTATAGGAATATTTACAACAACAAACATTCCAAAGTGGCAGAAGTGAAACATTGCTCTTAACATAAAGCCTTTCTTTGAAAGGTTTTATGGAACAAGTTGAAGTTTCTTTCAAAGAATATTGAACTGGTGCTTCCATAACATAAAAATCGTAGATTTATCTATATTCTACAAAATACGAAGCAATGATGACATTGGATAATGAGGTATCGATTCACCAACGCAATCTACAGTACTTGATGATAGAATTATACAAAACTACAAAACCAAACATAACCTGAACCCTAGTTTCATGAGTGAGATTTTTGAAACAAGAAATGTACATCATGATCTGTGAACTGAAAATTTCTTTGCATTCCAAAAGCCAGGACAACTTCTTGTGGTATAGAAACTGTGAGATATTTAGGTCAAAAACTGTGGTAAACACTACCTCACAGTATAAGAGATTCCCAATCATTGGCAACATTTAAAAAGAATTAAAAGCACACCCTATAGAATGCGACTGTAGACTATGTAAGATATTTATTGCTGGGTTAGATTTGGTTTATAATATTATACCTTAAGCATGTTTAACATTGTACCATATATTTATTCTATACTAATTCTTCATAGATAGTTGGCCTTAATTAGCTTCTTTATAGCTATTAGATGTTCATTTAGTACGCCAACTTTAAACAAATTATTTATTATTATTATTATTATATCATTATATAAATGTTTTATAGAGTTGAGATCTCAGCAAAGCGAGCCGGCCCAACTACCTTGACCTTGTGCAAATAGGTTTTCTGAATGGCTTGTTTGTTGAAGAAAAAATTCAAGTGTGGAAATGAAGTACTTATTTAAAAAAGCTCTTTAGCTTTAATTGAAAAGTAAAGTTTTATGATTAGTTAGCACAATTTTGCTTAAAAATTATCAAAAAACACATACTTTTTGATGATGAATGATCCTAAACTTGACTCCACATTGTTCCTGGTAATAAAGAATTCACAAATCTCGTTGCACCACATTTTAAACTTGTAAACACCAGTGGATGGCACTTTCAAGTAGCCAATGTAGCGCAGCGCATAAGAGTTTCCGAAGTCTTGGTACTGGTATGGATCATACAATGAAGACTTGCATGTGAATGATGAAGGGCTACCTGGATAGCTTGGATTTCTGCTATACACAGACGCTATTGACGCTTCATATTCAAAACTGAAACTGTCGTATTTTTGAGCAAGCAAGCCAGTCCATTTGTAATGATCTTTAAAGATATAAAAATTCATCACTTCAAGTTGTCTCAAAATTAAGAGCTTTCATTCAAGGGTGAAATTCTTAGAATTTTGAGCATGTTTGTGTAAAACTTTGGCTTCCGCATACAAGAAATGAAAATGAAATAGAAAAAGATATCCGAAGATACCTAAAATATGTCCTCAAGCAAAATAATCTAAAGTGCTCAAAAACTGATCGCAACTGCTATTATCATTAAAATTTAGTACCTTATCAGTGGACTATCAGCAATTAAGTTTTTATGTGTGCAGAAAGGATACATACAGTGCAACGTTCGTTAATTCAGTTGACTGGGAGACTTTCTTCCCCTTATGCAAATACTCTCCCAATTCTTTGAGTTCAGATATTTTTGTCAAAAATGCCAACAATGCTTTCTAAAGAATGGCCAAGAATTCTGAGGACCTAGTTCTACAATGCTTGCCTAAATTAGTTAGAAAACTAATATTTTTAGTCAATTAGTCAATTGATCCTATTTTCATTTCATGTCCATGGAAATAGCTGAATGTTCCTCTCGCAAAGCAAGGTTGAAAAAAATACATATCAACCTTTCTGGCTTTTAAGATACAGGTTACATTCAAGTTATTAATTTGCGAGGAGAATGGAGAATAATCCAACATTGATGGAAAAGGAAGTAGCTAAACTGCTAATCTGAAAGAAAAGATGCTATTGGGTGTTCCAGAATTTTTTTCAAGCATTGTAGATACAGCAATAGTAATTTAACTGAGCATAGCATACCCATGGATCTGAGTAAGTATTGGCTTTCTATTGGCTTATTTTCTGTTCCATCAGGAAATTGAACGCCAAGCTTGAAATAATCATTTCCTGTGCAGTATCCAATATGATATGCTGTTATTTCATATCTGTATCCTTGGAGCAAATCTATTTCATTCGATGTTTTCCTAAATGTGATATACAAGAGATGGATTAGAAGAATAGTTGAAGTTGAAGAATAATTTACTAAAAGGATAATCGAAGAATATTGGCATTTTGAAATATTTGAAATTTTTGTGGTTTTTCTATTCGTTTTTTTCTTCTATTGTAAAAGACTTGTATCATTATCTATTTGGGGTGAATCAGTAGCAAACTTCAAACTTACAATTGTATTAGAATCACTATAGTTTGAAATTATAATTGCAGGTCTAAATACTAAGTTTGGGTCTTTCACATTAAATAAAGTTTGGGTCTGGCTGAGTACCGTTGGCCAGATTGAATCATTAGGGGCACTATTGCTTTAAAACAATTTGAGCGAAAGATATTGTTCAGTGGAATCATATGATTCGTATGATATCATTTGGGGAGGGGGGTGGGTGGGTTCAAGCAATAGTAACTACAACCATGTGGCCTTTTGAAAGTGTTCTGATTCCTCTACTTTAAACTGACTTTCGTTACATTCTTCATAATTAAGAAAAAAAAGAAATAAATAACCCTGACCGTGAGCTCCAGTCAATCCCGGTTTGGTAATTTACATCTATTAGTTTCATTGATCCACTAGGATTCTTGTAAATGTGGACTTGACATTGATTTCCACATACAGCAAAAAATTTGTGCTTTCCTGTTTGCGAGGAAACAAAAAAGGCTCGATAACGTCCGTATTGCTTTTTGCTTTTTACGCACAGGCCATTTGTTGCAAAGCTGTTTCCGTTTTGCACATATGTTGGACAGCCAGGGTAGTTTGGAATGTTTTTTAGGGACTTGAAGGTGAAATAGTCGCTTGACAACCAAGTATCAAAAACTGTTCCATGTCCTGGCTTGTAAAAAACTAGAAGGGAAAAATTGTTTAGAGTATGATTGATTGTATGGTGCTATTCTTAAAACTTTTGATATCATAAGCAGGCTATTGAAGATGGTGATGACTAGTTATTCTTCCTTTTGTACCTACGTTCAATTTCAAAAACATTCGAATTGAAAGCTTAGAATGCTTGAACAATTTTGCTGCAAAGCTTCCCATTATTTCTTCAATGTTGTGCCAAAGAAGGGGCTGGTGTTAAGGTCTAAGAAATATTAAATGTTTATTAATTTGCATTAGTTGATAGTCTACATACTTTGGTTAATATAGCAAGAGACAGCCCCATCCTTTTTTAAAACCCTGTCTTTCAATACCCTTTTTTCTACAAGATATCGATTATTTTACTTTAACTTTAGAGCCTATGCTTGTTGATTAAAGACATATGACATATATTTAAATGGCTTGAGCCATCTGTCAATCAATATTAGCCAATCAGTAAGCGTGTGTGCTTTATCACGCTCACTGATTGGCCAATTGTTGACTGACAACTGGCTCAAGCTATTTTGGTATCTTCGATTGCCTTCAACTTGGAAGATGTTATTTAATGATATTGGCAGATGTGATCACAGAAGTGAACAATATTGAAAGGCTTTTCAACAAACTTACTTGATGGTAATGACGAAGATCCGTAGACTTCATAAAGAACCAAATGCAGGATGTTGCATATAAGAAACAGCATATTCTAGAAAATATTTTCGAATGTTTTTTAGTGGATAAAACGGTATGCTAGTTGTTTTTTCATTTCAAGTAGTTTTAACAAAACTCAAAAGACACTCTGAAATCGCAAAGCATGTTTTAGCAACTTTTTTCCAGCACTCCGCGCATTGCGAAGTGTCGGATGATGAAGTAAACAGAACTTTCTTTACAAGTGGGATCGAAATGATCTCCAGAGGAGTAATTATAAATAAGGTTAGATTTATGTTTTGGCCAATCAGCTACCGCAAAAACCCTAACGCAGTTGCAGGGCCGGCGAAACGTATTTGAAAGTGGAGGGGCCAAAATATCAAAGTCTTGAAAGGGCTTAGGAAAAGCCACCACCGCGGTTGGCGGCAAGAAGAATTTTAGATTCATGGTGTCTTAGGGATGGCCAGAAATTGTATCTAACACTAATTTTGATTGAAAGTGTCGCATAGTCGCGTCTATTGTGATGTTGACTTGAAATAGAAAATTTCTGCAAAGTTTTGAAATAACCACTATCATACAGCTCGTAATGAAACCTCTCTTTAGATTTTAAAAGTACCCGAAATAAGATGGGGGAGAAAAATAAATGAAACGCGGATAAATAAAAAACATTAACGTTGTCGATATTTTCTCTTTCTTAGTAGGAATGGATTATCCAAACGATCAAACTCTGAAATTTTCTTAATGATCTTTTTAAGAGCAAATCTGCCCATACTTTATTTCTCATATACTCAAAAAAGTTCTTTCCAGCTGTTTCTTTTTCTTCAACAGCTGATTTCTCTCTTTTTGTAATGTTTCTGAGAAAGTTGTCGTTAACAAATAGACCTTGCGTGCCAAGTTTAGGCAATGGAAAAAACGAAACTCTGTCAATTTGTGCTGGCACCAAGATATTCTGGACTAGGTTTCTCGATCTATTTGCTAAGCCAAGCTGTTAATCGTTGTAAAACTTAGACAATGACCGATTTCTTCAATCTAATTCCCATCTTCAATTTTATGTATGTCTTCTATGGTAAAGACATAGCAACCAAGGTAAAGCTAAGGACACATTTATAAGAATACCAGGCAAAGTTACTCACAGAATCATATACTACATTTATTCCACTTTTGCCTAAAATGTTTGTTTAGCCATGGCCCCCTCCCGGCCCCCGGTTTCGCCAGCCCTGAGTTGAACAGTCTAAGACCCTGTTTACACGGTGAAAAAGGATCAATCTGGATTGGGAGTGATCCAAAAATTTCGCAAGCGTTTACACGGGATCGATCCAAAGAAATATTGTGTTTACACGGGATCGATCCCGGATCGGACTGCAGGGCTTTCTAAGCCCTTTTGAAAGGAATGGTCAAGAGTATTGCTTATGCCATCAACGACAGAAAGAAAATGCTGTTAAATTTATAGGTAGGCTAAGAAGAAAATGGCTTCGAATTTGAAAGGTAGCAACAAAATGTGTTGCGATGAAAATAGCCCTTCTCCTGAATATAACGATGGAGTAAAAACATCATAGGTTGGAGCCTGTTCGCTAAATTAATAAATAAACTCGTGATAAAAAAAATTCCCCCGTCTTGTTTTTTATTTCCCATCTGGTGGGCGAAGAGGGTGCGCAAGATCTGACTAAATGTAGAACACCGTGTTCAAAGCACCTCAATCTGGAGAATTCCTATCCGTGCCAATTCGGGACTGACCCCATCAATTTCGAGCCTTTTAATGAAGCGGGATCGATCCCAAACTGGAACGCCCTCGAAAGCGATCCCAAAGTAGCACGGATAGCGGATCGATCCCGAGCGTTCCCGTGTAAACGGCAGGCTGATCTGTACCAGCCTGGAATAGATCCCGGCTTGGATCGAGCCCGTGTAAACTGGGTCTAAGAAGGAAAATTAAAATTTTCTGTCTACTCGAATTTTTATTCTTTTGTTTTAATGTAAACAGATTGTAACATCCATAAGGAAAAGTTGACCTTCCTTGCTCAGCAATTCTAAGAAGTACCATTATGAAAATTAGAAGTTCTTGCAACTTTTCAGAGAAATATAGCAATTATGTGCATTCCTTATAACATCCGAAATTTCTAATAAAATAAGTGACAAAGCATAACTATAGTGGAGTGGGTTCAAACTAGATATCAGACAAATAAGACATTATGACTTGTATAATGTTAACGTCATTATTTAAAGCATGCTCACCTGTACGGACTGACTGTCTTTACCAAAATAAAGGCGCTACAATATCAACCAGGTATACCTGAACATCTGTTTTTCGCCTTCGTCATTGTAAATGATCTGCATGCGAAAACTGTTTAGCTATTCTTTTGCGGTACGTTAGGGCCATTTAACGAGACAGTGCATTCTAATTTCTCGAGAGAAATGAATGGAAGATGTTGCCACCTGCTAACTTGCGGAAAATCTATACCTAGATACAATAAATATGCTAGTGAATATGATTCATGGTATGAAGTTTCATTAGCATCATTATTGTAAATAATTCATTACATAGTGACATAAACTATGTTTAGTTACATCACATTTTTAAAACAGGAATATTCTACGTGATCGAGCTAGATCAAAGTAGATCGGAATAAATCAAACAAGATCAAGTCAGATCGGATTAAATCAAACAAAATCGAATCAAAGCAGACTTAATCAAACAAAATCGAATCATAGCAGACTAAATCAAACAAAATCGAATCATAGCAGACTAAATCAAACAAAATCGAATCATAGCAGACTAAATCAAACAAGATCAAATCAGAACAAACTAGATGAGACTTCTTCCGTCTACTCTAAGCCTGGGATATTGTTTTCATGCAAACAGATTGTAAAATTACAAGATCACGTTTATTGGCAATGATTATAGACATATTTTTTATCGTTATTAATCGTAGCAGACACTTGATTCTAGAGTTACCGTTTTATTTTTTTAGAGCACCAAATTTCAGGACTATATCTCCTAGCTTCTGAGAGTGCAATCTGAATATTAGTAAAATATTTCTTAAACATCTTAGATTATTGGTTGAGGAAAACATTATTACGTATGGTGCTACGGACTACGCATAGCATCACAATGAAAAACAACATTTGAGGGTATTTTTATATGACTTTTCTAGTTCAAGGTTTTTTACACAAACAGACAAAAGGTTTATACAAGCAGACAATTTCTAGATTGTCTGGAACATTTTTTATTTTGGCGTTTCAAACAAATTTCAAGGAAGTTTTGTGATAGAAATTTCACAGTGCAGGAAGCAACTTGTCACCAAAGTGAAATGTTTTGTTTCTATAATGAGCGTTCAATTTTTGTCAAAAACTGCTCAGAACGTGCTACAGGTGTTTATTCATCATCATCCGGTACCATCTTCCATCAGAAGGTTGGCTACCATGACCCTCCAACCAGTGGCGGACTGGCAACCGTTTGACCAACCGTGAAAAATAGCCAAAAGGGCGCCAATAGGTGCTTAAGTTGCATAACTTTGGGTCTTGTAAAACTGGCTCGGAAAAACTTTGCTTTACCTGAGAATCAGTTTGTTGCAAACACTGTCATAAGAAACGAAACGGGGGGTCAGGGGCTGGCCCTCGGAAATTTTTCTAAATCACCCTATTTAGAATGTCAGAACATGCCCCATGTCGAAAATCAAAGCTTTTTATTCACGATTGGCATTGGCATGAAGAAGACTCTCTGTCAAATTGACTATATTTGAAACGTCTACACGGCTGGTCAAATTTGTAGGTATCAAGTGACGTATTTTCCTCAATTTCATGCATGAAATGATGTTATCAAATGATAGATTTTGAAAGTTGGACCAAAGCCCAAAGCCATTTTTCAGCTAGCGAGACACTTTTTTCATAATTTTACAAAGAAAACAACTTCTCTGGCCTAGGAGACGAAACTCTTTTCGATTAAACTCTATCTCGAAATCTTTAAAAATTTGACGAAATACATGACATCATTCTCATAAATTTTCGAAAGTTTTGCAGCATATCTTTGAAAAGAAGTAAAGAGGTGCCTCAACACCTGCTAGCCTAATGACTGTATTGCTCCTGCTTCCACGCTACAGTTGCAAATCATTTACAAAAGATATCATTTATGATCAGGTATTGAACATGTGCTTTAAACCGTAGACTTGTCCGAAAGATATCTGATAACATATCTTGGACAAATGGAATTTAAGAGATCTTGCTGCCATCCGTTTTGCGCAAATTGATGAGTTTGCAGATTGATGGCTCCTTCGGTATGACAAACTGTGCGTAGACATGGTAAAATGGATAAAGAATTTCTTAAGAAAAGACACAGTCTCTATTCCGGAATATTTTAATAATAAAATTTGAAACCAGTTTCATCAAAACAGCCGGTTTAACTTTTCATTAAGTTTACAGAAGGTTCTTACACGAGGGCATCAATCCTCAATAAATTTTGCATAGAGTTTTTAAAAAGTTGTCGAGATTTTTGGCTTCAATTAGTCATAGTTTTTTAGGGTACAGAACTCCTGGTTGTAACGTACAAAAAGCATGATGCATAGGAGATTTTAGTTGAATCGCAAAGTAAAATAGCTTGCCAACAACAGGACGTTGAGAAAGTATTGTCCTTTATCATACCTAGAGCAGTTCTCACTATTAAGTTTGTGGCCCAAAGAAAAAGGACTATTATTCAAGAGAGACAAGACAATGAATATGCACATATTATGTCATCAAAAACAGCATTATTTGAAAAACCCCCTTCTCCCTGAATAATTATTTTAACAAGCTTTAAGAAATAACCATAATGACTGTTACCGTTTGTGAAATCCCCCCCCCCCCCTCACTAACCCATCTTTGATTACGTAATGACCGAACGTTACCATACCCAATGGCCAACACACCGATAATTTTATCCAGTTATAACTATTTTGATTGATTTGAAAGAGCACAGGGTAGTGCTCAATTAATTTTTCCAATGCGCGAGCCCTCTCAGTTATTCGATATCAGATACTCGAAATAATTCGCATTAGTCATAAGTCAAAAAATTAATATGGTTAGTCAAAAGTCATGGGTTTCACAAACAGTGCGCGAGTTAGCTAGTGAAAACCCCTACTACCCCCTCAACAGATATCGAATTAATTCAAGAATTGCGCACTTGCTTGGAAAAATTAAAAGCTAATGAGGGTTGGAAGTGAGAGTAGGCTTTCTGGCTGCTACCACATTAACTGCTGCCAATAAAAAAAATATGAACATTTTTTTGGCGCTGCGAAATTTAAAAATGGCTTTAAAAAAAGCAAAAGATTTTAAGAAATAAAAGCTTTTTCATCTGAATCTCTTTAGAGTTAGAAACGTAAGAATAAGATGGAACAAGATGGAGAATAAATACCCATTTGTGGATCGAATTCTCCATCTTGTTCTTTTGGACGTTTATTCTAACGTTATATGCTCTGAAAAGTTTCAGACGAAAAAGATTTGATATGTTTAAATTGTTTTGCTTTTTTCAAAGCCATTTTCAAAACAAAATATGTTTTTCTCAAGGTTCTCAAAAATCTTGCAAAAATTGCTGATGAAAACTTCGTCTTCAATGAATTTTCTAAACTTTTCATGGAAACGTACTTTAGACAGGAGGTCAATTTATGATTGTAATCAGTTATAGTTTTATCCGAAGGTTAGTTGCCTTTTGAAGGTTTTCAAGTTTTTGAAAAAATAACTTAGGGGTAAAGGGCGCACCGGGAAATTTCCCGGTGTCCCAGTGGGCCAGTCCGCTTCTGCCTCCAATTATCCCAAAATCTGAGTTTTGGTTTGTTGTCATGGTCATAGGTAAAACTAATGGGCTAATAGTAGAGATGGGCCCCCGGAACCACCTCTACTTGTGTTTATTAGGACCTGAAAATTCACTTGACTAGATTGCTGAGAGTCAAAAACTTTCCAACACAAAAGTCAGTAATTATCATTTTAAATTTCAAGAAACCTTGAACTAAATTCTTAAGCAATAACTTTCAACACATTTCAAGCCCATGAAAAAATTACACGTGCTTTCGTGATAGATTGACTATGCTTTAATAGTCCAAAAGCAATACAAAATTTGATTTTAAAGAGGCACTAACACAGTTAAGATAATTAAAGAGGCAATTAAGATAATTAAGTGATTTTCCGAATGCATGGAGATCCGTCTATGTAGATATTATGTAGTTTGTAAGTACAAACAATTTTGTGTTAAACGAGACAGGAACAGAAGTATGGTGGTATGATTTCGGTGAAAGCCATGGTGCAAGAAATGGTGCGAGGAACAAGATTTGGTCGTTTATACCGACGACGAGCACTGAAGACGTTTCTTTTGCTTCCACCTGCACTAAAACGGTCTATCGCGTCCTCCATCTACTTTTACAAGGGAAACGACGACCACCCATTGAATCAGCCGGGGCAGCAAGCCCCGACCAAAACTGCCAAATGACGTCCAACACTTAGTTTCCGCGCAGCAGACCAGAAAAGGAATGGGATATCAAAATGTATATCCCAATCTTCAAAGTTTCGAAACTTCACTTCCACAGCGAGTACAGGAAAACGAAATATATTTTCGGGTCTTTCAGCCCCCAACCTGGGGCTCAAAAATTGTCGTTGAAATCTTCGTATGCAAAAATTTGCGTCAGTGCCTCTTTAATGGCCCTGGGCGCACTGAACAAGATTTTAGGAAAAACTTCTGTTCTTCATGGACAAAAGGGATAAAGCTTGTTAGTAAACAAATGCATATTTTCCAGTGTGTCCACCCAAATTGCCACTAAACCAATTTCACTAATCCTTGAAAGATTCCGTCGTCCTGCCCCAGAGCAGGACGAACTCTGGAAAACGGAAACCATTAGCGATTAACGAATATTTTCACGCCACAGCCCACACCAAGTCAAATGCGTGCTTTGTTTTAAACCACTTTACATCAACCAAACAGCAAACAACCATTTTACACACCAACTGTAGAGCGCTTGAATTTCCAAGCGGAAATCAGATTAACTTTGTCAAACTTGAAAAAGTATTCTCGATTTTCCACTATGACAAAGATAATGAGTTTTATGTCAGAAACCAGTGCGCCCAGTGTCAATGTTAGGGAAAGGCTCATGAGCCTATAGCTAGGCCCTAACAAGGGAGCCCTTTGTTAGCCCTTTGTTAGAAAGGATTAGGAAGCGAGAGAGGAAAGATTAAGTATGTTTACTTTTGTTTTGAATAAAGACAGGCTGTAAGAGTCTGGGGAAAAGGAAGGGCGTAGAGCATTCCAAAGTTTACATGATCTAGGAAGGAAGGGAGAGTTGTGGGATTGAGTTCGTTCCTTAGGCAAAGAGACTTTGAAAGGGTGAGCACTGGAAGAGTGTATGGTATTCTGTGTATGTCTCAAGGGACCTGGGATCATATCTCGGAACTCCTGAGAGTAATGGCTAAAGGGAAGAGAGCAGATAGGCTTACTGTGGCAATCATAGTGAATTCTTCGAGGAGTTACCTACAAGAAACCAGCCAGCTTGCTGCAAGTCATCGTCGCCGTCAAGTTGCAATATTAAGTGTTCAATTGTACATGACCAACAAAAAGAGAACCCACTGTGAAACTATACATAATTGAGAGGGACCGATATTTTTGTGCAATTATTGCTAATAGGCAAATAGTACCTGCAAAGGCTATGCCGTTGTTTACCCTGCTGGTTTATCTATAAGGTCTATTGATACATGATTCTATTGGTGTTTCAAAGCAGATTTTCCGAAGTAAAGCATTCATTGAAATGGCTCATTTTAAGTTCACTGATATAACTTGAAAACCGCAACTATTTCACTCTATGGGAAATGCTTCACAATAAGCTACTATGACTCACAACAAAATTTCAGGAAATTGTAGGAAAGCAGATATGTGAAAAGCACTTTAGTTATCAAACCACACTACTCGAAGCCCAATCGATTTCTAAGGGCTTTATGAAATTTGCACTTATAGGTGATACATTGATGACAAGCAAAACAAATGCCTGTCACGCATAATGAAATTTCCTGCTTTTACTTTTTTGTTCAAAAACTGGATCCCTGAATAGCTGGATATCAAGCTAAATATTTGTTCAGCTAATAATCTCAAAAGTTTCATGAAAGAGAGCTCAAGATGCAAACTGTTTCTACTTCTAGGCAGGGAATTTTCCACTACAATCTAAGGACCTGGGTAACCAAAAATTTTAATGCTTAGAATGAAAGTATATATATAAGGGATCAAGATTCCGAGTTGGGACATTTTGGAAAATTGGTTCTTGTCACGTGACAGTGACGTAATTGATCGAGCGACAAGTCACGGTCAGAAAAAAGTAAACTTTTCGAATTTTAGATCTAAATACATTTTTGGATTGCTCTTTTAAAGTTATTCCGACTTTATAAAAGAATCATAGCCCTACAAGCATTCGTGAGTGGAAAGCAAAAGATGGAAGTTTGGGTGATTACGACAGTTGTAATTCAGAAAAATGCCCCCCAAGAAAAAGGCTCGAAAACAGGTTCGAAAACGGAGAAGAAGAAAAAAACAGGCTTAGATGATCTACCGCCGATCAACCAAACTATATCCGATGAAGCAGAAGACAGCCCGATGGCAGAAACAGCGATTATCAACAGCGGAGAGGAAGGGGATAAAGAATCTGATTAGGACAATTCAAGTGACGAAAGTGAATGGGAAGTATTTGACTTTATGTCTAGGGAGGACTCTTGTGACGAGTGGCTGGCTACCTTAGACCATTTTTTATTGGTCAGGTATGTTTTTACATAGTTTGTTTCTATTACGGATCTTAGTGCTACCCGTAAGTGGGGCCCATCTCATTCTTGCAACTCAGTAAATAGCCAAAGCCACTAAAGAATGAAAATTGTACATTTTCTGTATATTCTTCAAATTAAATAACATTAAACCAACAAGGAAATTTGAAATTCAAAAAAATCGGGGGGCAACATGCAATGAAAGAAGCTCAATAATTCATCTAAAGCCCGCGATTTGTAGCATAAAATGTGCTTTAAAATAACTGTAATAGAAGCAGAAATCAGGCTTGTTATTATTTTCTGGCTCACTTTTGTCAATTCATCTGAGACAGACAAACATACCATTAGAATTATACAACGTTACCCCCTGATTAACTGCAACTTTAAACGCCTATAACTTTGGAACCGTACGTTGTAGGGCTATGATTCTTTTATAAAGTCGGAATAACTTTGAAAGAGCAATCCAAAAATGTATTTAGATCTAAAATTCGAAAAGTTTACTTTTTTTCTGACCGTGACTTGTCGCTCGATCAATTACGTCACTGTCACGTGACAAGAACCAATTTTCCAAAATGTCCCAACTCGGAATCTTGATCCCTTATATATATATACTTTCATTCTAAGCATTAAAATCTTTGGTTACCCAGGTCCTTAGATTGTAGTGGAAAATTCCCTGCCTGTTCGGAGTAACGCGAATTTGTTTTTTATAAAAGTACTAGGAAAGTTGATTATAAAACCCCCCATTGCATATCTTGACCTTAGTGTCTACTCGACACCATACTAACTTTCTTCTTGCTTATTTTCAAATTTGTGGATGCAAAATAAGAACAGATAGGCGGACTAGTTTTGTTTGAGAGGTAGATCTTGTGTAAACTATAAAGATATTCGCATATTCCGATTATCCGGTCTTAAAGCGGGAATTCAAAATATTTTCAATGAATTCATCGTCTAACTGCTAGACTTCTTTCGTTGTGGGTGTTGCTGTATCAAGTTGTTTTGTCGACGTATGCATCGGGAATTTCGATTGTAGGTGTTAAATAGAGAGCAGTCAGGTATCTAATGTTTCGTAGCTAGATAATAGAAAGGCATATTATTATTTTGAAAATCATGGAATTCTTATAAGATTCAATGTTGACATCGTTTAGATTTGATGGAATGAAAGGCCCGACAATTTGATTGAAGTATACAATTTTTGTTCTCAGTTGGCAAAGACGATATTTTCTTATTTAAAAGGTGTGTAAAAAGGAGGTAAATTTCTTACTTTTTTCAAAGCTTTCGTTCACTGAGCTGCAATTTTAAACCCATCTGTTTACACACCAGGAATAAAGTGATTGCAGGGCCTGGAAATTTTCACAAGCAATTCCTCGCAGGAAATTGATTACTGTTTGGCAGGAAATTTTGAGTGAAACCACTCAAAGGCAGCAAATCTTGTTACGTCAATTTTATCAAAAGAGGTACATGCCCAAAACACCTATGTGGATCATCAATTTTTTTGGATATTTTGCTATTGGCATTTTCATTATCATCGGCAGCTTAGGAGAATAAGTATCTTGGACCTCGAAATTTGACCCTAGCGCCATCCCTTTTTAACATTATTAATTTTAATCATTGAAATTTAAAGTAGTATTCTTAAATATTATGTAAATATTAAACGACTTGATTTGATGATGCAAATGAATAGCAAAATTAAAACCCATAGTCTGCATAGATCTATGATATGATATGAATTAAATCTTAGATCTTAGAGATTTCAGATTTCCTATCTTTATCCTTAGAAAAGGTATGCGAGTGTTGTGTTCAATTAAGTTGTCCTTCATCACAGAATACAGTACAAACAAAACGATTTCTATGTTTTTGACGATAATGTTTTTTATATGAGCCAAAACAGTAATTTGTTTGTATGACCATTTACAGCTACGATCAAAATTGAGGACTCGACTAACAATCAGTTGGTTGGTAGTATGATAGTTAATTTTTAGGACAAATAGTTAAACAGAATATGCAACTTGAAGTATCACTTGCAGTTGCAAGTTTGCTTTAGTTTTGCAGGAATTTTTGCTTTAGTTTTGCAGGAAATCTTGACTTTTTAATTTTGCTGCCAGGAAGAAAAGTCTTTTTTCAAGCCCTGATTGATAGTATCAGCTAGCTACATTCTGAGAATTGAATTAATTTAATAACACATTTTAAGGCGTGTCCAAGTTAATCTCAACATACTGTTACCTTTTCTTAATATCTTTTTAAAAGTGCTTCCAAAATTACCATGTAAAATGGCTGGGCTTGAGTTTTATTTCAAAACCATTTCCATAATATTGATTAAGGAAGCTTTCCGAATAGTTTTTGAGCTATCCTTCATTTCCAGACAATCTCAAGGCTCCGTATGGCCTAAGATTAACATGTCGCCGTATAGATCTATATTTGAAGGTAGCACGGAAGGGCTGGAACATATTAGACTAAAGCACTTTTTTCCAACACTTTTCAGAGTGTAA